TATTATTATTATTATTGGCCTTTTCAACTCTGGCTCCGGCCTGGTGGAACGCTCTGCCTCATGAGACCAGGGCCCTACAGGATCTGATTTCTTTCCGCAGGGCCTGTAAGACAGAGTTGTTCCGCCTGGCCTTTGGCTTGGAGCCAATTTGATTCCCTCCCTCCCTCCCTTTCTTTTTTTTCCCTTTTCATTCTCCTCCTGCAATGAGGCTACATTTTAATATTTTAATGTTCCGTTATTTTAATGTTTTATTTTATTTCTGTTTTTAAGTTGTAATCATTCATCTTGTTTTTATTATTGCTTGTAAGCCACTCTGAGCCCGGCCTTGGGGTATAAATAAAAAAATATTATTATTATTATTCCTAAAAGTGTACATTCCCAAATGCAGACCTGAGGCTTATGTCTCTCAAAGAAATCCTGAATGCATATCATGTTGGTTGGGGGGGGTGAGGTCTATAGAAATGAGAATTCCTCAGTTTGAAGCACATACTCTTGGGTGAGTGCATCTTGTCCCTGAGAGCAGTCACACAGGCACGTTCAGCTCAAATGGCATGTGACTTCTGGTCTGTCTCTGACTACATCTGCATCTCTGGCCTTTGTGACTGCTGTGTGGCGCATGCTGCTTAAAGGGCTGTACTGCTCCCTCTGGATCCTGACTATCAGCCTGCCTTGGTCCTCAACATCTGACTGCCTGTGACAGAACCAGGCTTTGCCTCAGTTTCACCCTGAAATATACTCAGAGTCGAGTGGGAATTTCATGCTCTTTATTCAGCTCGTAGTACCAATGAATGAAACTTTCCCCAAAACATCTAGCTATACAGTGGTACCTCGGGTTAAGTACTTAATTTGTTCCGGATGTCCGTTCTTAACCTGAAACTGTTCTTAACCTGAAGCACCACTTTAGCTAATGGGGCCTCCTGCTGCGCCGCCACAGCATGATTTCTGTTCTCATCCTGAAGCAAAGTTCTTAACCCGAGGTACTATTTCTGTGTTCGCTAACACAGACTCCGCTGAGTCTGTAACCTGAAGCGTCTGTAACCTGAAGCATCTGTAACCCAAGGTACCACTGCATATACATTATTTGCACAATGGGCCCCATGTGATTGGCTAATTCCAGGCTGCTCCTGTAGGCCAATCAGGTTGCGGATTTACTTCCTCCAGAAGCCTGATTGGCTGCTCCAGCAGGCCAATCAGGTTGCTGATTCACCTCCACCTGGAGCTGGATTGGATGGCTCCTGTGGGCGAATCAGACTGCTGCATTCTGGATCCTATTGTTCTAGAATTCAGCTCAGTACATAACACACCCTATCCCAGTACGACCGCCAAGGCTGCCTAGTGTGCAACACTGATAGCATATATACATACCCTCCAAATCCAGTGTGTGAAGGAACCTTAACAAGTACAGGCAAGAGCTGCCTAAAAGTATACACTTAAGTTTTGATACCAGAAATCAAGAGACCCACGTTGTGTCAGGGATGGGGAACCTGTGGCCCTCCAGAGGCTGTTGGACTCCAACTCCAGTCAGGCCCAGCCAGCATGGAGAATGGTCAGGGATGGTGGGAGTTGTGATCCAGCAACCAGTCCTGGTCTATGTGCTGGGCGCCGACTTGTTTGCTAGGGCACTGATGATCAGGAAAGTCCTGGTGCAAGAAGATGATGGGACAAATAGAAAAAGCTCCCAGTTCAGCACTGGAGAAACATTCTCCACGGGATTTCCTTCTGCAAATCTCTTTCTCTGCTCTCCCTTTAAAGCCAAATAATCTGATGCCCAGCAGGCAGAACTCACAGTAATTGCATTTCTACTAAATGATGAACAAACTCATAAACTGTTTCCTGAAGGCAGGAAGGCAAAACTAGAGCCATTTAACAGCCAGGGAAAGAACCAATGAGTCAAGGGAAATTAAATGTAGGAGGATAACTTGATCCTGTTGCGAACGCTGCAAAGATTAGGTGGTGCTGTTGATGAGCTGCCTGCAAGGAGAAACTGAAGAATCTCCTTTAAGGCTGCTGGTGGTTAAAATTTCTATACTGCCCTTCATCCAAAGATCACAGGGTGGTTATATAAAAACACAAAAAATGCATAACTTAGCAATTAACAGAAACAATAACCCCACCCCACCAAAGGCCTTTATAAGGTTCCCGGACTGTATGGTGGAAAATAAATGTAAACGTGGAAAATAAACAAATATTATTTTGGGTATTTGTTCCACACCGCAACAGGGTCTGGTCGGATATTCTGGTGCACATGCCACAGAGACTTCAGGGCCTGCAATGGAGAGGATGGAGAGGAGCTGGCGGTCCTTGTTCCATGCATCCCACTTCTAGGTTGCCAGTGACAACTCAGGCACAGTGCTGGGCTTTGTAAAGCAGAGTGGCCAGCACCCTGGTCTGAGCACTGGGAAACATCAGCTCATCCAGGCTGAGGTGGGAAGCACCGTATTTTTTGCTCTATAAGATGCACCCGACCAGAAGACGCACCTAGTTTTTAGAGGAGGGAAACAAGAAAAAAAATATTCTGAAACAAATGTTGTTGAAGAGGCTTTGTGCGGCTATCCCTGAAGCCCTAACAGCAAGAGGGATTGCTGTGCAGCTCTCCCTCTTGCTGTTCTGGCTTCAGCGATAGTTGCGCAGCCTGCATTCGCTCCATAAGATGCACACACATTTCCCCTTACTTTTTAGGAGGGAAAAAGTGTGTCATAGAGAGAAAAATACAGTACTTGGAACAAAGGAGGCAGCAAACAGGCTTTCAGGCTATGTAGGATTTGATGTAATGTTGGATGTTTTATTGTGCTTAAATGTGTTGGAAGCCACCCAGAGTGGCTGGGGCAACCCAGTCAGATGGGTAGCATAAAAACAGATTGTTATTATTATTGTTATTAAGCTGCTGACCCTGGAGAGAAGCTGCTGACCATGGAGAACTGGATTCAGGTATGGTGGCTTATGGCCCTGATGGGATCCAAGAGCTCAGAACTGCACTGAGTATAATTAGCCAATACAATCCAGATTTTGGGCTCATCCACACTTCCCTTTGTCCTGTGATTGCTTCCATGACTTCTAGGCATGGGTCTGAGAGGTTTTCCTGTTGTCCCACTGCTTTCCCCAGGAAAACCTGCACCTTACTGATGAACTGGAGCAAACATCATCAATCTGAAGAAAACCTGATTGGTGTTTGCTCTGATTCGGAAGTAAACTGCTGGTTTTCCCTGGGAAAGCAGAGGAACAGAAGAAAAACCTGCTTGGGTGAGTCCTATATTGCATGTCACAGTAGTGAGCAGTAAGAAACAAGGTATTTTACACATTCTGTGGAACTATACAGCATTATGTGCACAAGATCAATCCAAATCTGGAGCGTATTCTGATTAGGGCACTGTGTGACTGCTTTTGCTCCGAAATAAAAGTATCTGGGGTTTTTTTTGCATATCGGCTTAAACATCTGACTACCATCACATGGTACAGGTGTGGGAGAAGTTCCAGAGTACCATCTGGTCCAGTTACAGTACAGTGGTACCTCGGGTTACTTACGCTTCAGGTTACAGATTCCGCTAACCCAGAAATAGTACCTCGGGTTAAGAACTTTGCTTCAGGATGAGAACAGAAATTGTGCGGCGGTGGCATGGTGGCAGCAGCAGGCCCCATTAGCTAAAGTGGTGCTTCAGGTTAAGAACAGTTTCAGGTTAAGAACGGACCTCCAGAACAAATTAAGTACTTAACCCAAGGTACCACTGTAATGCAATTCCAGACTTTTAAAAACAACCCCTAAAACAGCAATTTAACATTAATTTTACTATCTTATGAGACCATCGATCTATAAAATGAAAGCAACAAACAATGTAAAGGTAAAGGGACCCCTGACCATTAGGTCCAGTCGTGGCCGACTCTGGGGTTGCGGCGCTCATCTCGCTTTATTGGCTGAAGGAGCCAGCGTACAGCTTCTGGGTCATGTGGCCAGCATGACTAAGCCGCTTCTGGTGAACCAGAGCAGCGCACGGAAACACCGTTTACCTTCCCGCTGGAGCGGTACCTATTTATCTACTTGCACTTTGGGGCGTGCTTTTGAACTGCTAGGTTGGCAGGAGCAGGGACCGAGCAACAGGAGCTCACCCCATCGTGGGGATTTGAACCGGCAACCTTCCAGTCAGCAAGTCCTAGGGTCTGTGGTTTAACCCACAGCGCCACCCGCGTCCTGTAATGTACTGTACTATAAAATAAATAAAACAGTATTGTACATGATTAAAAATTCTTACCGGCACTGATGATAGTCATTGTTTGGGTAGGGGGCTTTTATCCATTTCTGCAGTCACACAATCAATCAATCAATAGCTGAACTGGGATCCACACAGTCACAAAAACAAATTACTGTAACTGAAAAAGCCTCAAAACAAAAAACGCAAAATAAATAGCAAAAATAAAAGCACCAAATATAAGCTCCAAATATCACCTGAGAACACTGCAATAGAAAACGGAAGGCTTGAATTAAAATGGAGGGGTGCAAATTAGCAGTGCAACAGAAAACACAGGGGGACTCAAAATGGAGCATGTTCAGCTTCCGAGAAAAAGTTTGAAAACTGGAACACCTCTTCCGGTTTTGCAGAGTTCAGGTTCCAAGTTGTTTGTAAACTAAGCTGTTCAAAAACTGAGGTACCACTGTAAATAAAAATAATCCATTTATCTGACTCCACTATTCTTTCTGACTGCCAGTCTGAAATTTTCTTGTCTGTCAGTTATGTGTACCCATATAATCTGTTGTGGTGAATTTCATTTATTCACCTGTATACCTACTTTTGAGCCACCCCCTACCCCCCACCTTGCCTCATTCAGCCTGAAGAAGAGTTATGGAGAACTCAAAAGCTTCCCCGCTACTTTGCAATATTTTTCTTTGGTATTGTCCAGTTGTGCATGTTGAAATAATGCCACTGCTGTTCACAGAACTACCACATGGAGCTGTCCAAAGTGCTGGAGAACTTTGCAGCAGATCCGCGTGTGCTATTTTCTCTGAATACCAGCAGAAAGATAGCCCTACGGGGCCAATACTAAGTGTAAGTCTCTGTCTCGAATATGAACATTGCTGGGGAGAGTGGGCTGTTAGCCAATACAAAAGTTGTTCCTTCCCCGGAGGATCAGTTAAGTATTTGACTAAAGTCAATTATAACATTATAACTTAAAGAACCACAGTTGATTTATCCCAGTCTTAAATAACTAATTAAATATGCATATAGGTGAAAAGTAGACAACATTCTGCAAAGGATACGATATTTGAAATTCACCCCAAACAGACCCTTGGTTGCCTGAATGTCTCATTATCCTGGCCTAGCAGGAAACATTTCAGGCGTAATTTTGTGTGTGTGTGTGGAAACAATCCCTTTAAAAAAAGGCAATTGGTCTAACATTTAGAATAATAGAATCGGAAGGGACCATGAGCGTCATTTAGTCCAACCTCCTGCAATGCAAGAATCTCAACTAACAAATCCACCTGCATCCAGGGCAGTGGTTTGATTGCCTGACTCATAAAAAGCCAGCTCATGCTGTAATGCAGGAATGGGGACCCTGGCATCCAACGTCTGGAGGGCTGCAGATTTCCCCGCAATTCGTTTTGTGCAGGTGAGTTGCCAGTTGAAAACTGTAATCCTCAGGGGCTTATGCTACTGCTTTTTTAAGGTAAGCCACATGATTTAGCAGGGAATAAGTACAGTGGACGCTTGGGTTGCGAACATGATCCGTGCGGGAGGCATGTTCGCAACCCTCAGCGCCGCATCTGCGCACGTGCGGGTCACGATTTGGTGCTTCGCGGCATGTGCAAAGTGCAATTTAACACTTCTGCGCATGCACGAGCGCCAAAACCCGGAAGTAACCAGTTCCGGTACTTCCGGGTTCGGTGCAGTGCACAACCCGAAATCGTGCAACCTGAAGCATCTGTAACCCAAGGTATGACTGTACTCTAGATAATGGAGGAGGGATATAAACCCACAACGGGATTGTAGGCACCTTCAACATCAAGGCTCCCACCAAAGCCATCAAATTAGGTTTCAGTTCTTCAGCTTTAAGCCCAATAAAGCACTGGGAAATATAACCAAGAACACCATGCTTGGACTCCAGTTTGGCTGAGTTCTATAAATCAGAGCCTCTTTCCTATGTGTTACAGAAGCTGTAAAGATAAAAAGAACCCTCTATCACTTATGGTGGGATTGTACTAAGGTGGACACACTTAGTGGGCATTCATTTTTACTTGTATTAGTCAATCGTACAGCAACTTCACTCCTGAACCTCTGCTTGCTCTCCTGTCTATTTTGAGAAAAGGGGTTAAGGCAGAGTTTTCCAAGCTGTGAATGTCTGTTGCATGAACACTCCCTGCGCTCCTCCTGGGACTGGAAAGGGGTTAGTTTAACCTCCAGTTTGCTAGTAAAACTGAATTACTGTGTCGCAACATGATGCATGTCTAAAAAGTGTGCCACCAACATGAAAAGTTTGGAAAGCTCTGGGTTAAGGGGTCAATAAGCCTCTGGTCCACAGACATCTGGTACTAAAGCAACTGGCAGCTGCTCAATTAGAAACTGCATGCCTCTGGAGGGAATTGGGAATTTAGAATCACATAATCACAGGACTATAGAATTGGAAGGGACCCATAGGTCATCTAGTCTAACCCCCTTGGCAAGGCAGGAATCTCAACTAAAGCATCCACAACAATGGTCACCCAACCTCTGCTTAAAAACCTCCAAGGAAGAAGAGTCCACCAAATAATTACTATCTGAAACTTCTTCCTGATGTTTAGTCAAAAGCTCCTTTCTTGTAACTTGAAGCCATCGGTTTGTGTCCTACCCTCCAGAGCAGGAGAAAACAAGCCTGCTCCATCTTCCATGTGACAACCCTTCAGATATTTGAAGATGGCTATCGTATCTCCTTTCCGTCTCTTTTCCAGGCTAAACATACCCAGCTCCTTCAAGCGCTCCTCATAAGGCTTAGTTTCCAGACCCTTGATCTTCTTGGTTGCCATCCTCTGCACACTTTCCAGCTTGTCAACATCCTTCTTAAATTGTGGTGCCCAGAACTGGACGCAGTATTCCAAGTGTGGTCTGAGTAAGGCAGAACAGAGTGGGACCATTACTTCCCTTGATCTGGACACTATACTTCTGTTGATGCAGCCGAGAAGAGCATTACCTTTTTTTGCTGCTGCATCACACATAATGCATCATGCATAAACAATAACCATCAAACACTTGTCCAGCAGTACGTCTAAGGGTGCTTGTTTATCCACTGTCTGTTGACATACATTTACACGTTCAACATTCAAACATATTACTTAGCGTAACCTCTCCACTGAGAATATTGAACAGGTGGTATACCAAGGTCTTGATTTTGGTCATTAACAGAGTTAAAGAAAGGGGCCTATGTGTCTTGGAAGGTGTCTCTATTCAGTATGCCTTTAACTGCCCTCCTGTGTCTGGTGAGACGCTCAGACATTGCTGTATCCATATATTATTTTCCCATGTAGTCCAGGATATTTCACTCTGGTTCTTCCATTGGTGAGCTATCGCTAATCGTGCTGCGGTCAGTAAGAAGTCTACTAGTTCTCTATGCTGCAGGGTGAAGCCTAAGTCAATATCTGAGGAAAGTAGGACTAAGCCAAGATTTGGAGAAAGGGGTTGGCCTGTAATTGGGGAATACTCTATTCCAGGCATAGGCAAACTCAGCCCTCCAGATGTTTTGAGACTACAACTCCCATCATCCCTGGCCGCTGGTCCTGTTTGCTAGGGATGATGGGAGCTGTGGTCCAAAAACGTATGGAGGGCCGAGTTTGCCTATGCTTGCTCCATTCTAAAGGTTTTTAACATTGGGGCATTCCCACCAAACATTAATTAATGAACCAAGCTTTCTGCACCCCTTCCAACATAAAGGTGAAAGGGGGGGTTCACACTGTTGACTTATGTTCAGCTTGTGGTCTGCTAAGACCCCTAGATCCTTTTCACATGTAATACTGGCAAGCCAGGTGTTCCCCATCTCATATTTGTGCAGCTGGTTCTTCCTGCCTAAGTGTAGGATCTTACATTCGTCCCTATTAAATTTCATTTTGTTAGTTTGGGCCCAATACACACTCACTCTCGCTCTCTCTATATATATATATCTCCCCCACCTCTTTATCTATGGTCTTAAATCATTCCTTTGTTGTCTTGTCACTGCATCCAGCCATTTATTAAATAAATACAATATAACGCTATTGTCAAAAGGCCAGGTCTTCTGAGAAGGAGACGTGCTCTGTGCTAGGCAGACCTGCTTATTACTCAGCATTTGAATTATGAGTAAAGCTAGAAAACGACACATGAAAAATTGAAATTGTAAAAAAAGAGCCATGAAGGCATCTCCCATGCCCACCTGGTAATACAATAGCCAGGTGGCAAAATACCATAGGCAAGATCTAGTGAACAAACAAGCTTTGATAACCAGGTATGACTGTCTGGTCATTATGACAAGTGTGGCTACAAAACCTGCCACAGAAGACAGGTCTGTTTCTTCTGAGCAAAGTTCACTGATGCTGCTTTGACAGCTGAGAGACTGGCCTACTTATTCAAAGGTTTCTCTCATAACAAAAATAGTGACAGATTTGACTTAAGTTGTTTTGGTCTGTGCCAAACATATGTGGGCGACTCACCTTTGTTGCTGCCACCGCTGCCATGGCACTTGACACTGACGAGTTGGAAAAATGAACAATAGATGACAAAGCTTCTGTTGCAAGCCTGAATTCAAAGTCTTCTTCAAGTCTTCACACTCTTCCTGAGAGTTTGCCCCTGCTCCACAGACCATAGCCAACTGGAGCTTGCCTCTGCCCATACAGGGGCTGCTGCCCTCTCTTCATGCCCGTTGATTGGCACCTGGCATGAACCAATTAACAGACAGGGTTTCCTTCACAGCACCAGTCCCAGGTAGCAGCCCTAGTTTGGGTTTTTGTTTTAAAACAAGCCCCTCCACGCACACCTTTGCGCCAACCAAGCTACCTTTCTGTGCACCCTATTGCCATTGAAGAGGTTTTTGGCCTTTGTGGGGAGGGACCCGTCCAATTTAGAGAACCGGTCTAGTGTAATGGTTAGAGTGTTGGACTAGGACCTGGGAAACTGGAGTTTACCGTATTTTTTGACCCATAGGACGCACTTTTTCCCCTCCAAAAATGAAGGGGAAATGTGTGTGCGTCCTATGGGGCGAATGCAGGCTTTCCCGGGCTTCCTGCAGCTCTGCACCACCCTCCGGATCCCGGCGCGAAGCCGCGCGGGGCTCCGGAGGGTGGCGCGGAGCTGCCTGCATTCCGAAGCCTGGTGCGCGCTGAAGAGCGCGCCCGGGCTTCGCGCACCTCTCCGCAAGCCTGGGGAGACCGGCGCGGCTCCCTAGGCTTGCGGATAGCAGGCTGTTCTGGGGGCTGGGGTCGGGGGAAGCTCGGGCTTCCCCCATGCCTGCCCCGTGCCGGGGGGGGGAATAATTTTTTTTCTTTATTTTCCCCACCCCCCAAAACATTAGGTGCGTCCTATGGGGCGGTGCGTCCTATGGGGCGAAAAATACGGTAAATAGCTGCTCAATCATGAAGCCCACTGTGTAACCTTGGGCCAGTCACTGTCTCTCTGTCTGACCTACCTCACTGGGTCATTGTAAAGATAAAAAGGGGACATGGCGTAGGAGTGCATAAACCGCCTTGAACTCCTTGGAGAAAATGTTGATATATAAATGTATAAATATATAAAACAACAACAACAATAATAAAATAAATTTTAGCATGGAGTACCAGAGTCAAATTCGCACTGTCAGACTTACGCTTATATCATGAAGCTGCATGTTTATGTTAGTTGAAGGAGTGGATACGGTTGAAGAACACTCAGCTGTTAGATTTAGAGGGGTATGATATTAAAGTTGGTTGGCATGCATGTCTATTGTGTAAGGGTAATGCTCCATAATGCAAAGGCAAACCTCGCACAAAATATGCCACAGCATGTCTGGGAGCATCACGCTTGCTTTCTCTGACCTTTTGCCTTCTTGGCTGAAAAACAGGGTTTTCCCCTTGACCTTTTGTCCTTTCGCAAACTGTCTGCTTAATGTTTCACTTGGCTGGAGCGTGATTGGTGGATCAGACTTGGTCTAACGTCAGGGGAAGCACCTGTTTGACACGTGTATCACTCACGCTAGAAATGTGCCCTTGCTGGAAATATGTTATGTTCAGGGTTTACACTACTGTTTCCAATTGTTGACTTCTGCTAATAAAAAGAGGCTCTGCAAAGCTAGCCGGCAGCTTGCTTCTGCATAGCTCACTTGCATCCCAACTCCTGTGTCGTCTCCTTGTTTATACATATTGTATGGTAAAGCCAACATATATAACAGCTTCTTGAATCATGTAGTTAGAAAGAATCTATAGAATATGGGAGAAATAAAAAAACCTGCTTGAAACTCTCACCCAAAGAAGCAATTTATTTGAAAAGATTGAACATGGACCAGCACTGGGGAACATACAGAGATCTTCTGGATTGTTTAGAGCAAGACGTAAAACTGAATAAATTAGAAGATGTTAGTAATATGGTGAATGACTGGCTACAATAACACCAACGAAATGTAATGTTTAGACTACATAAGCAGTATGGTTTTATGGATCAAAGTTTCCAATTCAAAAGCGAATAGAAAATAGAGACCAACTGATCTCTAGAATGTACAAATTATGAGAGTGGGAAATAAAAGATGAATCGGTAAAATTTGATACGATACATTGGGCGAGGGATATGGAACATGATATTGAATTTACTTTGTGGGAGAAACTGTGGGAAATGGATTTAAAATTTACAGCTTGTTATGCATTGAAAGAGAATTATATGAAAATGACATATAAGAGGAACCTGACACCGAGTAAGTTAGCAAAGATGTATAGCTCAGTGTTAAGTTGTGGGCGAACATATCAGACGACACAGTGATTCTTCCAAAGCAGCCCTTTATTTGTAAGCTGGAACAGAACTAACTGAGGAGCTCAGTCAGCCTGCTTATATAGAGCTCCAGAACAATGTAACTGTTGCCATTTTCTAAAACTATCCAATCACTGAACGTCACTTTTCGATCCTTCATTTGCATAACTATCTACAGTATCCCCCTGCTGGCCCAGGGTGAGAACTTCAGTACATAACACTCAGAATCAGGTAATGGCAGGAAATATAACAAAAACCACCAGAAGTTACGTTTTACCTATGTGGTGGGTATGTAAACTAGCTAAAGGCTTATGGGAGATGATATATAATGTAATGGGGGGGGGATGTTTAAAAGGTCTTTTATAAAAAGACCAGAAGCTTTTCTTTTAGAAATAATTGAGTCAGATGTCCCCAGAAATAATAATTATAAAAAAAATATTAATCTATGTAACTACAGCAGCCCAAATTTTATATGCTCAGACATGGAAAGAGGGGGCATTTCTGATGAGGGAGGAGTGGCAGATGAAGATGATGGAATATGCAGAACTAGCGAGTCTAACCAGCAGAATAAGAGATCAGGAAGGGTATTCAAGGAAAACTGGAAAAAGTTTGTAGAGTATACGAAGAATCACTGTAAACAAGTTAAATCATTAATGATAATAATTATTATTATGCCCCGCCCGATGTATAAGTGTGGGGTGGGATAATATTGTTTTTGTTTGTTACTGTGGTATGCACTTTTGTGTTTTTGTGCATTTTTGTGTTTTCCTAAACAACTTTTGTGTCCAGATTTTCACTTTTTGAAGTATGTATTTTTTCATTTGTATTTGCATTTTCAAAAACAGGAATGGGGAGCATATTTTAACCCCCCTCCCCTCACAACTTCATACCAAATACAGTGGTACCTCGGGTTAAGTACTTAATTCGTTCCGGAGGTCCGTACTTAACCTGAAACTGTTCTTAACCTGAAGCACCACTTTAGCTATTGGGGCCGCCTGCTGCTGCCGCGCTGGCGGAGCACAATTTCTGTTCTCATCCTGAAGCAAAGTTCTTAACCCGAGGTACTATTTCTGGGTTAGCAGAGTCTGTAACCTGAAGCGTATGTAACCTGAGGTACCACTGTACATGCATACATATACCATGTCCTGGCTTTTGAAGTTCGGGTCACTGATTTACGGGGCATGGGCTGATGGAAGGAGACGTCCGAGTTGGGCTTGCCAGCTGGCCTCCCAGCCCCTCTGCATGTCGTCACTCCCATCATCCCTGACCACTCATCCCACTAGCTAGGGATGATGGAAGTTGTAGTCCAACAACAACCAGGGACTCAGCTTTGAGAAATATTGGTGTGCTCTGATGGTCAGTGGCTGTCCAGAGTTTCCCATCTTGGCCCTACCTGGAGATGCCAGGGATGGAACGCAAGGCCTTCTGCATGCCAAGCAGGTGCTCCAAATAACAGGGGAAGAGCCCACCGCTCCTTGGTACAGCACATCCTTCGCATGGAGAAGGCCCCAGGTTCAGTCCTGGGCAATAAATCCTCTGCTTGAAACCCTGGAGAGCTGCTGCTGCCAGCCAGTGTAGCCAACACTGAACTAGATGGACCAATGATCTGGCTCCATAGAGGGCAGCACCTTATAATCTTACGGTCCACTCTGCAGGTCACTGGGACTTGTGGGCCTGTCTCCCTACGTGTCTTCAATCTGCAATTCCCAGTGCAATCCCAGGCAAGCGGGAAACGACCAAAGAGGCAGAAGTCACAGCAACGGGCGAAAAAGAGAACTTGGCCAACCCCAGCCAGCAACGTTGGGCAGGTAAGCAGTTGATAGGTTGGGCAACACTGGAAAATGAATCCCTGGATCCCTGGATCCTTGTGGCTTCACTGCCTGGGGCTGCAACCGAGAAATGAATGGTTGGAGATCCTGAAGCTGTAAGGAATGCACTTCTGAGCATGTGCAGAGTACTTTCTTTGGGTAACACTGGACAACCTCCAGCCACTTCCACCCCTCTGGATTTAGGAGGCCCATTGAGCTTGTGCTTCCTACCAGACTTTAGCCCTGGTGGCATCTCCTTGAAATAATAATAACAAATATTTTTATTTATACCCCACCATCCCCAGCCAGAGCCTGGCTCAGGGCGGTTAACACCAGTAAAATTACAGTAAAAACATAATAGGAAAAGAAAAAAGAAAAAAAACCCAATTTAAAATACAGGTTAAAATGCAATTTAAAATGCAGCCTCATTTTAAAAGTAGCCCATGGATCAAAACCATAAGGGGAGGGAAACATAAGGGTCAGGCTGAGTCCAAACCAAAGGCCAGGCGGAACAGCTCTGTCTTGCAGGCCCTGCGGAAAGATGTCAAGTCCCGCAGGGGCCTGGTCTCTTGTGACAGAGCGTTCCACCAAGTTGGGGCCAGTACTGAAAAGGCCCTGGCCCTAGTTGAGACCAGTCTAACCTCCTTGCGACCTGGAACCTCCAAAATGTTGCCATTTGTGGACCTTAAGGTCCTCCGTGGGAACATAATACAGTAGTGCCTTGGTTCTCAAACGCCTTGGTACTCAAACAACTCGGAACCCAAACACTGCTAACCCGGAAATAAGTGTTCTGATTTGTGAACCTTTTTCGGAAGTCAAACATGCTCTGTTTTGAGTGTTACGCTTCCAATTTGAGTGCCACACTTCCTTTTTGAATATTACGCTGAGGTCTGTCTGTTTTTTGCTATTTATTTTGCGTTTTTGCTTCTGCGGCTCTTTTTGTTGTTGTTTTTGTGACTGTGTGGAACCCAGTTCAGCTGCTGATTGATTGACTGCGTGACTGCAGTACATTGTTTATTGCTTTCATTTTATGGATCAATGGTCTCGTTAGATAGTAAAATAGTTAAATTGCTGTTTTAGAGGTTTTTTTAAAAAAGCCTGGAATGGATTAATCAGTTTTGTATCGCTTTCTATGGGAAAGCACACCTTGGTTTTGGAACGGACTTCCGGAACGGATTAAGTTTGAGAACCAAGGTACCACTGTAAATGAAGGCAAACCAACCATGGCCCTCAATCTCTCTCGCCACCAATGAAACCTAATTTTCTATTCGTTTATTGCCCTCTTGGGAGCTTTGAACAGATAGCGCCTGCTTTTTCTTTTCACTCTCTGTGCCTGTTTTCATGGATCTGCAAGAAGGAGCACCTCGACTCCCGGCCAGCAGAAATCGCAATCACCATTGAGCAGGGGTAAGCGAGCTTCCTTCCAATTTGACAAAGACATCTCTCTGCTGTGTGCTTCGGGATAGGGCTGGGCAGCTGTACGGCCTTGGAGCCAAATCTGCTATGATTCTGACGGCTCCAACCCTGAGAGGCCAAAGAGGGCTGTGGGAGGAGACCTCTGACACTGCTGTGGAAGTGACCTTTTGAGGTCCTGTAAGTTCATAAAGATGCGAGTGGCACTGTGGTCTAAACCACTGAGCCTCTTGGGCTTCCTGATCAGAAGGCTGGTGGTTCGAATCCCCGTGACAGGGTGAGCTCCCGTTGGTTGGTCCCAGCTCCTGCCAACCTAGCAGTTTGAAAGTATAACAGTGCAAGTAGATAAACAGGTACCGCTCTGGTGGGAAGGTTATCAGTATTTCCATTCGCTGCTCTGGTTCGCCAGAAGCAGCTTAGTCATGCTGGCCACATGACCCGGAAGCTGTACACCTCAGCCAATAAAGCGAAATGAGCGCCACAACCCCAGAGTCGTCCGTGACTAGACCTAATGGTCAGGGGTCCCTTTACCTAAGTCCATAAAGAATGCTGTATTATTTTACTGTTGTTAGCCACTCTGAGCCCGGCTTTGGCTGGGAGGGCAGAATATAAATAAAATATTATTATTATTTATTATTATTATTCAAAGAAGTGTCCCAACAACCAGATTTACGAATCTGAACCATTTGCTTCCTCTTCCAGATCCAGCCTACAAGAGCCTTCAATCATCTCCTGCCTCCCAACCCAGAAGCCCCCCAGACTCCCCGCCATATGGAACAGGATGGTGATGATCCTCAGCGCCATCGTGCTGCTGCTGCTGTTCCTGGCCAGCCCCTTTCCTCTGTACCCGTCGGAGCTCTCGTCGGAGCTCTCCTGCCTCTAGAAAAACAACTACGCCAGATCCTTCCATCTCATGCTCACGTACAGTGGGCCACCACCCACCTAGAAGGCAGGGAGTGCTGGTACGGCGTGGACTTTTCATAATGCATGGAGAGAATAAAGTTGTCTCTGGGAGTTCCACAGGCTCTTCCTCCAGCAGGTTCCAGAATCTGTTCCTGCAGTGCAATGCCCGGCTGCATCTGGCCAGAGTTGGGCTGTAGGACCTGGTGAAAAGAGAGAGAATACCCCCCAAGTGTTCAATTATTAGTTGTTAACACAAATATTCACTGTTAGGCCTATCCTCCTCCATTCATTTAACTGTTCTTAAAAAAGATGGAACTTGTACCCAACTACGTCTAGGAGTTCCGTAGATCGCAGGTGGCTGCATTTGGAAACACAGGACCTTAGGTGGTAATTCTGGCAACCTCTGCTCTTTGGTTGCTGTGTTCCACCGAGCCACGTTCCCTCGCTAGATGTGGCAACATCTGGAATTCCGGGTGGCCTTTTCTGCAGAACATTTTGCTGCCACAGACTCTGCTTGAACATGAACAAGCCAGTGCCCAGCAGAAGGCCAGAGAAGATACACCTCCTGCCTTCAGAGATGCAGAGCCACCAGAACTGAGCATGTATATGACCCCTTCATTCCACTACCCCTTCTTTAATATATTTGGCATCAAAGGTTTTCTAATAAAGAGGAGAAAAAGAGGTCTGGTGTTTGCTTGCTGGACTTCCATTCCATCCCACCTTAGGATCGTCTCCTCCTAGCAATCCCCCCCTCCATTCCCACGTTCCTCCAAGACGTGTGAATCCCCTTCCACCAGCAGCCAGGTCGCTGTGGAAATCGGTGGGGTGCCTGCGTGCCACTTAGCCCCTTCGTACAGGCCACGAAGGAGAGAGCAGGCGGCACGGGGTCCCGCCTGTGTGTCACGCGGGAACGTGAATTGCAGTTCCTGGGATTATTCAGGGGAGTCCGTGTGTTTTAAGTGCACTCTGTGTCTTACGCAGCCCTGAAGCTGCAGTTACAGTGCCTTCCTTGCCAGGTACTCATTTGATAGCTTGGGATTTGCCAGCCCTTTTATCTTAAAGGAGCAGAGATGGGCCAAAAATAACAAATGAGTGAACAAATGAGGCCTTTAGGAAGGATGGGCCACCCTTTCGAGGGGAGCCAGTAGCATAGCTGTCAACTTACAGATTTGAAAATAAGGGACCAGCAGCCAAAATAAGGGACCTGCAGCCTCACCTGTTCCAGGCACTCCAGTCATCCTGTCCTCCTGCAGTCTGGTCAAACTCATGCTGGTAGCTTCAAGAGCACTGTCCAACCAACTTTGTAACCATAGGTTCAACTGACTAGAATCTGAATCACATGCACCACAAGGCCTTTGCAGCCTCAACTTAAGATGGCTCCCCGGCCTGGCTTTGCACTGCAAAGTTTGCAGCAGCACGTGCAACAAAATGGCGTCCAGCATTCAAAAACCCCCTCAGCTTGCATTAACTAGCCACACACACACAGCCTCCCCCCCTCGCCACGAGATTGCCAGTCACCCAGCATTTTAGTCAACCAGCTCCTTTCTTTTCTCCCATAAGTCAATTGAAGGAGCCTCCAAAACAAATTCAAAAGGCCCCCTCCCACGAGATCTCCTTTCCTTTTCTTCCACCATGTGCCCCCGCTGCAGACAGACCTTTTTGCCGGCAAGGGTGAGTGGGCCGTCGATGACGTATCCATCCGATTCCGATCCGAGCACTCAGCACAGGTATGTTCAACTTCTGAGCCGCTCTGAGCCAAAGGCAGAAAGCCCAGCCAGCAGCCAAACGAAGCCTCAAGGAAAACCACCGTCGCCTCTCTGCTGGGAAGCGCTGAGCAAAGGCAAGTCCCCAGGCAACACAGCCGATTTGATCGACACAAGGCATGCAAGATCCACCCCCCCAGGCGTTCTTAGACTCCTTATTGGGTGAGCAACACAGCCAAGCAACACAGTTGGAGCCTCCCACCTCCCTGGCCGGCCGGCAGGGAGGGAGAGGAGCTGCTTCCTTTGAAATTTAAGGGACATCATTGAAGGGACATCCATCAATAAGGGACAGCAGCGGGACATGGCGCTGGAATAAGGGACTGTCCCTCCAAATAAGGGACGCTTGACAGCTATGGCCAGCAGGAGAGAGAATGCGCCTTTGTTCTCTTCCCCACCACCATCACCACCACCACCACTGACACGTTTGTGTGAATTAACAACTTTTGAAGCCGCAGCAATCCTGGTCACCTTGTGTGTGTGTTTGTGCACGACAGAGAGGAACGGAAAGATGAGAACGGCTCGCTCAGAAATTCATAGCGCTCAAAGGAAGGCATCTTGACTGCCAGCCAGCAGGTTGAATTGCTAAAACGGAGACAGTTCTGGGACTCGCTTAATTTTGCAGTGGTGCGTTAACTGACATTGTACCATCACTTATGACGAACACAATTTGCACGGAAATGTTGCAGGCGCTGTGACTTTTGCTGCTTCTGGGTTAACCGTCTCTCTCCCTCGTTCTGTTTGCTCAGTATAGGCAATTTATAAAGCACCTATTATTTACTTATTTATTTTATAGGGACATCCATCAATAAGGGACAGCAGCGGGACATGGCGCTGGAATAAGGGACTGTCCCTCCAAATAAGGGACGCATGACAGCTATGAACCGGGCTATGTCCATGTGCAGCCGCCAGGCCGCCCGAGGAGCCCTTCGGCCACAGCCCAGGCTGCGGAGGAGGCACTTCCCGGGGAAAGACGTGTCACCTGGGCATTTTCAAAAACAGGCCTGGGACGCGCGAGTGCCGGCTGAGTGGGGCACCTCTCATCTTTGCTTCGTATCTCTCTATCTTCCCGGCGGCGCCGCCGCGGAGGCGAGAAAGCGGTCGGCGCACGCGCCCCCATTGGGTGGGAGAAAGTAACGGCGCGGCGCGAGGTTCCGGAAGTGACGTCGAAGCGGAAGCGGAAGCTCCGGAAGGCGGAGGAGGCAGCAGCAGCAGCAGCGGAGGCAGCAACGCCGGCAGGAGGGCGGCCATGGTGGACTACAGCGTCTGGGACCACATCGAGGTGTCCGACGATGAGGACGAGACTCACCCCAACATCGACACGCCCAGCCTCTTCCGATGGCGGCACCAGGTGAGGGGGAGAGGGAGGGAGCCCGTCCCGCCCCGCCTGCAGAAGCTCCTCAGGTGCAGCAGCTTCCCTTCCCGCCAGGCTCCTGCGCCGGCGGAGTGTCTTCCCTCCGCTTTCGGAAAGGCCGGCCTGCTCCCCCTCCTCCGTCTCCTTCAGGCTCCCCCCGCCCTGCCCTCTCCGCCGCAGCCTTTGCGAGCGACGCTCTCGGCCAGGGCGGCTCTCGAAACACGCCCGCCGCCACCCCGACCCCTTTCTCCGGCGAGCCTTCTCTACGCGACCCCTCGGAGGCCTGGAACTTCTTGAGCGCGCGCGGCTGAACGGGACGCGCCACTTTCCCGTTATGCTCCTCCCTTCGCTTCTACCCCGAGCAGTGCCGGATTTACCTATAAGCTAAACAAGCCATAGCTGAGGGCCCCGCTCTCTTGGGGGCCCCCCCAAAAAATTAAAGGGAAAAAACCCTAGATGTACATTTCCAAAATATTAGATAAAAAACAAATAAAATAAAGCCTAGATACAGCAACAGTGTTTTGTGTTGTGTAGGCTCCTGTGATGTAAGTAATGGGCCCCGCCAGCTCCCTAAAATATCACTGGTTTGCTCCTTTCTGTATATAGGATGCCTACATTCTGCATGTGCACATGGATTTAGATATCGATTACGTCCATCGATTACCATATAGCATATATTCACAAAAACCAGCCACAATTTGTTGGTGACAAAGGACAGGTGGACATACAGTGGTGCTTCAGGTTACAGACGCTTCAGGTTACAGACTCCGCTAACCCAGAAATAGTACCTCGGGTTAAGAACTTTGCTTCAGGATGAGAACAGAAATCGCGTGGCGGCGGCAGGAGTCCCCATTAGCTAAAGTGGTACCTCAGGAACAGTTTCAGGTTAAGAACGGACCTCCAGAACAAATTAAGTTCTTAACCCAAGGTACCACTGTATCATCATTCATCATTTTAAATTTGTATACCCCCTTTCTATCTTACAATACTCAAGGCGGTTTACAAGCTGAAGAAACAAAAAATGTACATCTTGTAACAATCTAATGCAATACAAAAATGTGATAGTAAAACATAACTTTAAAATAGGCAACCTCCATCAAAAAAGTAAAATTCAACAATCATTAGAATAGTATAAAATAATAATAGCAACATATAAAAGTTAAACAGAAATCCACTCAACGGTTACAGTAATATCTAAACCATAATCAATAAAACAACGGCAAGTTACAGTACATAAAACAATACAATACACATTGAGAAGCAGAGGGTGGAGCAAGGCAGGTGGAAGGAGGCCTTGCCTGATGGAGTCTCTCCCCTATAAGCTAAACAAGCTATAGCTAAGGGCCCCGCTTTCTTTGGGGCCACCCAAAAATTTAAAGGGGGAAAAACTGGATGTACATTTCCAAAATATAAGATAAAAAACAAATAATATAAAACAGATACAGCAAGAGTGTTTTGTGTTGTGTAGGCTCCTATGGTGTAAGTAATGGGCCCTGCCTGCTAGCCGGCTCCCTAAAATATCACTGCTTTGCTCATTTCAGTATATAGGGTGCCTACATTCTGCATGTGCAAATGGCTTTAGATACCTATTACGTCCATCAGTTACCGTATAGCATATATTTAACACAAAAACCAGCCACAATTTGTTTTGCAATTTTGCTTTATGAACAAGATTGGTTTGCAGCCAAATAATGAATTGAAAAACCTTAGTTTGCAACTGCCCAAATGTTTAATAAGATTAGTGTTTACCATGTGGGAATGAATGTGTATGATGCACATGAATAAAACTGATAAATGCAAAAAATTATGCTTGGTTTTCTCAGCAGCTCAAACTTTTTCCAGTTTCTAGCCTCACCTTATGTAGGTTCAGAAGACACACAGCCCTGCGTGTATTAAGTTTAATGTGTGTCTTGTCAGTTTCCAAGGAACAGCAAGTTAAAATGGCAAGAGTGTAAAGGCAGCATAATGCCAAAAATGTCTAGATCCCAGCTTACACTTCACAGTGTGTGAGATCAGAGGAGATGATCATCTCTTCTGACCTCCTTCCATATAGGCTGGGGGATTAATCCTACTAGGCATATCTTTTGCTGCACACAGGAGCCTCTGTCTAAAGCTTGCAAGCATGAGCTTGATGGAATGACAAATCAAGGAGAGGTTGCCAAAAAGAGTAATGATCTTGAAATTGCATATACAGTATGTGATGGCTATCCCTTTTGAAGGAAGAATTGGCTTTGCTGCTCCTATGTTTACATTTTATTTGCCCATTTTAGTTGTAACGCTTCTTACATTTGTAACGGCTTTATCCTGCCTGAGCTCCCTGTTAGGACTACTGGTCCCCATTCCCTTGCAGAGGCTAGAGGAATTTGTCAAATAACACAACGTTGCCTTGAAAACTCTGCTTGATTCTTGCTATTTTAACTTGCTGTGTTTAGAAACTAGAAAGTGTGTGTAAAATGTTGGCAGAGCTTTTTGCCTTTGAAGCTTAAAGACTAGCAGATTTATTTGTGGCATATGTTTCCATTAAGCCCATTATATGTTGTGTGAAGTGTCCTCAGTTGACAGATATGGAGATAAACACACATGAGTACACTGCAAAAGGTAGCAGCAGTAAGTCTGTAATTCTGTTATACAGAAATTTATGCAAGATAAGAATGAGTGATCCATTCACAATATGAAGGAGTAAAGACATTGTAATATTATTGTTCTGTTAGTCTGAACTCCTGAAGTGAGACTGCTATTTTCTATGGAGTGAAAGACAAGCCAGGAATCTGAATTGAGCTATTCAGCTTTGCTGATAAATTCTAGTTCAGCAATCTCATTTTGGATATGCTCCCTTTTGAAGTCTTGTAGTTGCTATTGAAGTATGATGACTTCAAGGTCAGAGTAGCAGGGTGTACTTGGAATTTGAAGTATTCTCCTACTGGTTGCTGAATATTTTGACTTGCGATACCAGATTTCTGCCAGGAAAGCTTTGCCCAGAAAGCAATGCCAGCCTTGTTTCCTGGGTTCCAAAACTCTCAGCGACCACCGCAGCAGCTACTCCACCCACCCACGCTGCTGTGTATGCAGGAGCAGAAAGATGTTTGTAGGTAGGAGGTATTCATGTGCGGAGCAGCTGCTGCTTCTTTGCTTGGCTGCTGTCTTTGTGCGGTATACATGCACTCCCTTTCTGCACATGTAAAGGTTTGTGTGTGAGAGTTTTTTATTAGTACAATAAAATCCCAACAAATCGGCGAGCAAAAAATATAAATATATAAAATTGTAAAATTCCAACATAGGAGGGCCAAAAGAAAGCCTTGTCACAAGGATGAAAATATGCTCTCATCAAGCTTTTTATATCCCTCATTTTTTGAGGCTAGAAGCCTGAACTGACATTGATAAATATTAAGGGTGGGATCCACCTAGCAAGACCCATCAGTGGAAGCCTTGCGCAAGGTCTTCTGCTTGTGCAACACAGCTTTCACACACACACACACACCCTCTCCTAAGACCTTAAATTTGCTGGGTGTATGTATCAGGCAGACTCCTTGAACGAGGAGAGGGGGCTTGTTCTGTCTGATAGGCTGAAGAGCTTGCTCTGACGGAACAATCAACTTAATGCAATGTTGAATTCTCCTCTTTAAAAAGCTTAACGCAGCCAGAAGAGTTAAGGCTACTCTCACCACCACTCTGTTCTAACCATCCAATCTGTGTAATAACTGCTAAATAACTTTTTTTAAAAACTAAAATAAATTGAAATAAAATTACAAATACTTACAATGTTAATAGTTGCCATAAAAAGAAACAGTCCAGTACCCTACACCAGGCTTTCTGGCCAAGTACAGACCCCTAGAAGCTTAGAATAAGAAAGATTATATCTTTGCTTTATGCTGACCCATGGGGGCCTTCAGTAGCAATCTTCCCTGATGCCTTCTGGTGCCCTTGCACGTGCTTACTAGTTAGTCTCCATGTGGTGAAAGTGGAAAGTTGTTCCTTGGGCTGCAGGCTACAGGCTATGAGTCAAAGGTTAAGAGCCCTTTAGCTCTTGTTCTTCAACTTGAGCTTCTGCCAGGAGCTTAATATTGCCTGGTTGGGAGGAGAAAACAGCTAGGATTTTATTTATTTTTAAAAAGATGAATACATCAGATGTCCACCAGCTGGTGGCAGGGGACTTTGTCCCACATTTCTCTGTCAACTGGAGGTTGTGTGTGTGTGTAAGGTCCTGGTCTCAGCTGACAGCACTACTCTAAACTAGAAATGAACTAACCTTTTTGCGATAGAAGGTGCCAGATGGCTATATTTCATACAGGTAACTTGGTGTACCTCATTCTGGGTTGGAAGTGTCCCAGTATTAACATGAAGTAATAAAGAGGCTGTAGTCACTTGGACTATATTGACTGAATACAACCCATTTTTCAGGCCCGAGTCGAGAGAATGGAACAGTTCCACAAGGAGAAAGAAGAGGTGGACAAAGGGTGTCGGGATTGCAAGCGGAAACTAGCTGAGTGTCAGAAGAAGATAAAAGAGCTTGAATTGGCCAACGTAGATAGCACCAAAAGTGAGCTGCAAAGGCTGCAGGCTGAGGCACAGCAACTCAAGAAAGAAGAGAAGAGTTGGGAAGAGAAGGCGGACGATCTCAGGAAGAAGGAAAAGAACATGCCTTGGAATGTGGACACACTCAGCAGAGATGGCTTCAGTAAGGTGGGTCTCGTTGCTATGCAGCTTTGATTGATATGCACTCATTTGCTACCGGGAAGACTCAGTGTCTAGCCTTAAACTAAATTATGTGAATTGCACATATCGGGGCCTTGGATGACTTTTTACACATATCAGAAAAACTGTATGAAAGATCTTGTTCAGTTAAAAATCTTGTTCAATACCCTGGCCTATATAAATTCGGATCCAGTTACTTGAAGGAATGCTTTCTCCCATGTCCACCTGCCCATGCATTGTTAAGACCTGTGGCAGAGGACCTTCTGGTAGTGCTACAGCCACCTAAAATATTCCAGGCAGCAACTCAGTGGAGGGTCTTCTCAGTGTTAGCATTCCAGTTATGAAACGCCTTCTGAGTTGCGCCTGGCACTGACTATTAAGAGCTTTATTTTTTTTAAAAAAAATGATATTTATTAAGGTTTCAAAAAAAAGGTTACATAGACAAGAAAAAAATAAGAAAAAAATTAGAGACAATAAAAAATACAAAATACAAAAAAAATAAGGGACACTTAAAAACAAATCAATCTTTCCATGCCTTACATTTCATTTCCTTGTTTCCCTGACTTCCTCACACCTCCCTTTTTTGTATTCCAGTTCAGTTAGTTAATTCAGCAATTTCTTTCCCTCTTTGTTTTTGTCTTAATCCTTTAACTTAATATATTATAACTTTGGATTCTCATCTGTTAACAATCCATTTTTACATACACCTTTATAACATTGCTGCTAAAACCACTTAACTTCATTCTGACATCATTCTAACATTCATTAATTTTGCAGTACAGTGGTGCCTCGCAAGACGAAAAGAATCCGTTCTGGGAGTCTCTTCGTCTAGCGGTTTTTTCGTCTTGCGAAGCAAGCCCATTGATGGGATTAGCGGATTAGCGCTATTAGCGGCTTTTAGCGGCTTTTAGCAGCTTATCAGCTTATCGGATAAGCAGATAAGCGGCTTAGCGACTAGAAAAGAGGGGGGAAAGGAAAAAAAACCCAGGAACTCGCAAGACATTTTCGTCTTGCGAAGCAAGCCCATAGCAGATTCGTTTTGCGAGGCACCTCCAAAACAGAAAACTCTTTCGTCTAGCGAGTTTTCCGTCTTGCGAGGCATTCGTCTTGCGGGGCACCACTGTATTTCTGTAAATAGTCTTTAAATTTCTTCCAATCTTCTTCCACCGACTCTTCTCCCTGGTCTCGGATTCTGCCAGTCATTTCCGGACTATTAAGAGCTTTAAGCGCCCGCTCAATAATTGCTTTTTCACTTGGGTGTTTGCTGTGCATTAGTGTCTGTTTTCTAATTACTGAGAGTGATATGCTACATTTATTTATGGCTTGTTGTGTATGTTGTCTCCTTCTTTTTACTTATACTCATTTACTCTTATCAGTGATAAATAAGTAAGTAAAACATTTTGCAGGCAAATAACTTTTGGGGGCTTGATAATAAGGCTTCTGGAGGGATCAGAATTTTTAGCAAAGATTGTTGTTTGTTTCTTGTTTCTTGTCGATGAAAAGTGAACTCTACAAATTTTTAAAAATACTTGTATGCCACAATTTAATTTAAAAAAATCAAAGCAGTTTTTACAGCAATTATATCTGTAAAATAAAAAAAATGCAGTTGCTAACAATTAGGTTTTAGGATAGCATACCAAACACTGGTTTTATTTCCTGAGTACTGAACTGAGGGAAGCAAGAATGGGAATCAAGCCTTAGAAATATTCTGGGATGAAGAAATGAAAGCCTCAGAAAGACTCCCTTAAACCCATTTGTTAAGGCTCAGAGTATTATGAGTTGAGTGACTCATCTTCAAGGGCAATGGAATCAGTTTTAGTTAAGTTTGCCAAGACCAAAATACTCCGACATTCCATTCCAACTTCAGCACAGTTTTGTTTACTAGATCTGTGGGATGATCATTTGAATAGTTTCAGCTCTCGGGAACTCTTGACATAGAGTCAGTGTTGCCTAGAACCTCAGTTGCCCAGAAATGGAAAACCTTGCTGGATTTGTGGTGTTTGTTTTGGTATAAAAATATGTGGAGTTTGGCATTAGCTGAAAAAATAATTAATAAATTATGTGTTGCCAGAAACTTGGAGGACCCTGAAAAATTATCTTACATACAAAAAATAAACACATAGGACTCATTCTCCACAATAAAATGTGAAATTCATCTTTCCTAATGGTCTTAAGTACTTTACCAACTTAATATTAAGTCTCACTTGAATATACTGTGCTGCTTTTTAATTTATTTGATTTTTATTGTACTGATGATTTCCTTCAATAAAATGTTTAAAAAAGAAAAAAAGATGACTAAATTAATTCCAAGGCTGCCAAATATTTTACAGCAGTGATGGGAAACCTGTCACCTTCCAGATCATGTTACACTCCAACTCCCCCTTCCCCACCTACCACATAGTCAGAGATGATTGAGTTGTAGAGCTGCAGGTTGTTCATCCTGGGTTTTCTGGATTGTTTTATCTGTTCAGTTGCACTTGATCCTTTTGAAGCTGCTTCATCTCTTCATTCTTTTGCTGGTATTTTCCTTTTCTTACTGTATTCAGCCTAGGACTATCCTGGCCACCCTTTGTTGGTTTGGCCAACCTTGACTGCATTGTGGTAGCAATAGTGATTCTAACCATGCTTCCTTTGCTGTTGTAGAGTGTCTTCAATGTCAAGGCGGAGCAGGACGAGGAGTCAGAAGAACAGAAAGAGAAAAAGCACAAAACATATGTGGAGAAGTATGAGAAGCAAATTAAACACTTTGGTAAGGGAAAACTCTGCACTGATCTGAGAGTACTTGGGGTTAAACAGCTTCTTTTTCTGTGGCTAAGAGCACTTGAGATCAGTGTGGCAAATTGCAGATACAACCTTTGTGGACTGATATTCATTTGCTGGCTGCCTTGGTTCTACCATCTGTCTGTCTGGTCGTTTTAACTGTATCTAGTTTTAAAATTATTTTATGTTTTATGGGTCTTTGAACCACAATAAAGTATTGATTGATATTCATTTGCAGTTAGGTGGACTTGGTGTGGCTGGCTTGTAATTCTAGCTTAACGTTCTTTCAAAGAAGATCAGAAGAAAGGGACTCTGCAGTCATGAGTACCAGAAACCAATGAGTAGTTGTACACAGTCAGTATGGTCTCTCTGTCTTCCCTATGTGCAGGGAAGCAGGGTGCTCTGGACCCCCTTCAGCGAAGTCAGATAGCTCTCACTGTAGTTAGGAGACTGTGTAGAAATCTGTCTGGTCACCCAGAGCTGGATAACAGGATGTTATGTTCTGTGCCCTACCTTGACTCATGTTCTACTGCAATCCCTTTTTGTTTGCTTATATCAGGAGAACATGGGTATCTGTTTTTCCCGGTTACAAAATTGGATTAGGTCCTATTCTGGGAGAGGGAATGGTACAGTAATCAACATAACCATGTGCCTGATCCTGTCAGGCTGCAGCTAAAGGTAACTGGAGCTTGCCTGGTCCAGCTGGCAGCATTGATTGGATTGGGGACTGCCAATTTCCAGCGCCTACTCTGTAAATAATACATTGGAGTAATGCATCTAGAAAAATGAGGATGTGCAGATGTAATACTCCATGAGTTGCTTACAACCTAACCCTAAACCAACTCCAACCGTAACCCTAATCTCCAGCCCAGCGTTAGGATATTGGAAGATATGCTTTGTTTTTCAATGACCAAATTGCTTTTTCTGTGCAAAACAAGACAGAGTCTCTTAGGTCTTAACCATGCTTTAGGAAGACGCCAAAGTGAGCAATTCCTGGTCCCCATACAGTATGAAACTGTAGTTGGGGGGGGGGGGCAGAAGCAAAAGCTTCCAGTCTCCTTGTGGCTATAGTTGATAAAGTGAGAGGAGAGGAGCGTTTGAGCCCAATACTTGGCAGCCTTGCTACTGTAGTTCTAGACTGGTTTATTGCTGCTTCTGAACCCTGCCATTGCAACAAGGACCAGCAATCACATTTTGCATTGAGGACTGTGTTCACAAAAAGGCAAGCCTTTTTAGCACTCGTGTGGAATAAGTTTCTTATACTGTGTTTAAGAAAATAAAAGCAGCTCTGCTTGATCATTTAAAAATAAATAGCATTAACTTACATGAACATCAATGCATCTTACATGAACATTGATTCAGGTTATATAAAGTAGCTTTTAGAAACCAGTATCCTTCGCCCTTGTACTAATTGACCAATTGCAATTTTTTCTTTGTTTTAATAATCTTGTTACTATAAGGACTTAACTTCTTTAATATTATGTATGTTCCCAAGTCAAACTTCATCACTATTCTGGCTTCCCCAGTTGCTGCTTATGTGTTTCCTGTTATAGGACTGTAAAGTGCTAGCAGTTTTTTACAGTGCTGTCATCTGTGTGTTAGAAGTCCAAAAGCCTGGTTAGGAAATTACACCCCGCCCCCATCTGATTTTTATGCTCCTATTTTCTTGTTCCAAAAGGAATGCTGCGGCGGTGGGATGACAGCCAGAAATATCTGTCTGATAACCCGTATCTTGTGTGTGAAGAGACAGCCAATTATTTAGTCATTTGGTGTATCGATCTGGAAGTAGAAGAGGTGAGTAAAGCTGATGTAGCTTTTCCAGAAGCTGCAGTGGAAAAGACTGAGGACTGTCAGTGTATGACTCAAAACAAATGAGGACAGTGTGTTTGAGAAACTTTGGTGACTTCAAGGCAAGCCCTTAAGGGCCTCCTGCCTGCATTTACATGCAATCCCCATTTACACGGGGGTTATGTTCAAAGGCACCACACATTTAAGTGAAATCACTTGTATTTGAAACACCATTGAAAAAGCCTGCAAGCACCCTGTTATGCCCCTTTTTATGATGTTTTAGGGTCACTTCTAGGTTCGGCATGATGTGCGTTTGCGCAGTCGCACATATTGAACGTTCGTAAATGGGGTTTGCCTGTATTTCAGGTCTTATTATTAAGGTTCCAAATAAGTATTTAGATCTAGCAGTTGCTTCAGTACTAGGAGTTAATAGCAGAGTTTTCCGTGAACCTGCTTCAGTCACTTTGTGCAGTTTGATGGCTGGCTACCTCATAAGCAGCCAATGTGGTTCTTCTGTCACATTTAACAGATTGCTTGAACCTGTTGTACAAGATTTATTTCCTCTGACAGTGGAATTATTTCAAGTATTGTTTTGTGTCTGGTACTGTAGCGGCTGGGTCTTGCTGAGTCAGCCACTGCTGTCTCACTGCCAGCTATATGCCCAGAAGAAAATTCCAATTTTAGAGATGGTCTCGTGAATTTGCAAAAAAAACACAAAACCACAGCATTGATTCTAGATACTATCCTGGGAAAATGAAGGGACCAGGAAGGCAGAATGCTGTATAATTGATGGACATGGTTCTGGGTCATCTGGTATCCTATGGTTGTAACCTTGGGAGCCTGAAGCTGAGATGGAGGGAGGGAGGATTGGGAGTGAGTTTTGAATGACGTTCTTAATGTAATCATTTGCATGCTGGGCCAGGCTCAAATGACATATTGACAAGGGGAGTGTGAGTGTGTCTTTAAAAGTGCAACTCTTCTTTTGTCGCCTGTCTCAGAAACATGCCCTGATGGAACAAGTGGCTCATCAGACCATAGTGATGCAGTTCATCCTAGAGCTGGCTAAGAGCCTGAAAGTTGACCCTAGAGCTTGTTTCAGACAGTTCTTTGCTAAAATCAAGGTGAGACTATTGCCCAGGTAATAGAGGAAAACCTTATCTTGGCTCTCCCCCACCCCCGGACCAACTTTGACAGGTGAGTTGAACCATTCACCTGTCAGTCACATGATGTCATAATGACGTCAGATGAGTAATATATGAAAATTGAAAGCTGATTGGTGTTAGTTAGCTGATCAGTACCTACACAGCTTGAAAGAGGTTCTCTGTGACTACCAGTCAACTGATCATTGATTATACTGGGCCCCTTTGAAGTCTCTGCAGAGGGGGTAATGCTTCTAAAAACTCATTTCTTCTGGTAGTTCAGCAGAGTTCTGGCTTGAGTGTATTTATCAAATAGCATGATGTATTTAGGTTTTGGCTGGCATTTTATGGACAAGTTCAGCGTAACATCTTGTAAAGTTTGATTTGGTCCCCTGTTAAAGGGCAAGATATCTGCTCAGTACTGTGTTCTCATGTGTGTCCTCCACCACTTTCTTACCTGCCACCTTTTCCAATTTTGTACAGACTGCTGACCAGCAGTACATGGAGGGTTTTAATGATGAACTGGAAGCCTTCAAAGAGCGGGTGCGGGGCCGGGCTAAGGCACGCATTGAGAGAGCCATGAAAGAGTATGAAGAAGAAGAGCGCCAGAAACGACTGGGGCCTGGTGGCCTTGATCCTGTAGAGGTGTATGAATCACTCCCACCCGTGAGTCACTAATGCTTCTAACTGAACAAATTGATTGTATGAGGTTAACCCTTTTGCTTCCCTCTGTGTGTGTGTGTGTGTGTACGCACGTGCGCATGGTGGTTAACTTGCTTTTGTCCATTCACTCTTGGCCTATCCTTAGGAGTGGGGGTGAGTGTGAAAGCAGACAGCGTGGCCGCAGAACATTTCCCACACAAGCACACAGCCTCTCAGCCAATCCGTGTAGATTAGCTGAGGCTTCCCTCATTACCCTTTTTTAGCCTGTGAGATGTGTGATGACTGGGGAGCGGGCAATTTATATGCCTATCAAGGTTCTTGGCTGAACAGAGGTGCTGTGACTACCTGTGTATTTTTTTCTCTGCTGCTGCTGCCACCTAAATCGATATCGTCTTGTGAGCTCAGAAGAAAACATTTGGGGCAATGGGTCTGGCTCCCAGGCTGGAGGGATAGCCACCCCAGCTTATATTCAATTTTAACCTTATTTTAGCCCCAGGGTTCTAGCCATTTCTGTTCTTATCTATCTGCACCTTGGGGTGTATGGGGTGTTAGGGGAAGAGGAGTACTCCTGGCAACGGACAACGGACACATCATGCTCCCTCTAAGGTAGTTTGTCCAACTTTGATCTCCATCCTTCACTTTGCTCTCACCTGTGGCTCCTAGAAGCTTGTTGGCGTTCCTGCACTGCAGTGGGTTGAACTAGATGACCCTCAGGTTTCCTTCCAATGCTACACTTTTGAGACTCTAGAGAGTTTACTTTATTAATAGCCAATTTATTTGTAATTGAATGCAGGCCTTTCTGCTTGCACAGCATGTGCTCTGCCTCTGAGCTTTAGATAGTCTGTACTGTATACACTGGGACGCGGGTGGTGCTGTGGTCTAAACCACTGAGCCTTGGGCTTGCCGATCAAAAGGTTGGCGATTCGAATCCCCGTGATGGGGTGAGCTCCTGTTGCTCGGTCCCAGCTCCTGCCAACCTAGCAGTTCGAAAGCACATCAAAATGCAAGTAGATAAATAGGTACTGCTCCAGCAGGAAGGTAAACAGCATTTCCATGCACTGCTCTGGTGTTGGGTTTTTTTATGCCAGAAGTGGCTTAGTCATGCTGGCCACATGACCTGGAAAAACTGTCTGCAGAGCAGACAAACACTGGCTCCCTCGGCCTGTATAGCGAGATGAGCGCCACAACTCCAGAGTCATCCGCGACTGGACTTAACTGTCAGGGGTCCCGTTACCTTTACTGTTTCTACAACTCAAGATTTCTGCAGTGCTTTCATCTCTTCCCCTCTATATACATGCATACTTCTTCTTCCCAGGAGCTCCAGAAATGCTTTGATGTGAAAGATGTACAGATGCTTCAGGATGCTATCAGCAAAATGGAACCTGCTGTGAGTATTCTCAAAGTTAGGATTAGACTCCTTCCTTTCAAGTTATGGGACTATGTATCCAGATAGATATAGGAGATGTTAATTTATACGTTTAAACATGTATGAGCACTCTTTGCCATTACTCTCCCCTCTAACGCAAGGCTTGAAGACGTGCTCACATCTGCCACAGTCAATAATTAAACTTCCTCTGTGCCCTCCAAATCCGTAAATTGTGTGATTTTTTGCAGCAGCCCATTTTGGGAAGTTTGGCGCATACAATTCCGTGCTGAAGCACCCTAATCTACACAGGTACCATAAGCATTATTGACCTTCCACTACACAGCTTATTAGCTGTGTTTGGTACCCTGCTTAAATTTCAGCATTGCATGCTGGCTCCAAGCCTGATAAGCTACTGAAATAAGCACCTGTATATTTTACATTAGGAATCAGACTTGCAGGGGGAAATCTCCCCTTCTAATCAAATTTCTTTTTTCTAACCAAAATTTTCCTTAAGCATAGAGCCACTTGAGGGAATTTTGTCATCATTTCTATAAGAAATTGATACATCCCAACAGAAGCTTCCCTTTTGCCTGTAAAGACCTATGGTTTAGTGCAGTGATGGCCAAACTTGGACCTCCAGCTGTTTTGGGACTACAATTCCCATCATCCCTGAGTACTGGTCCTGTTAGCTAGGGATGATGGGAGTTGTAGTCCCAAAACAGTTGAAGGGCCAAGTTTCGCCATCACTGGTTTAGGGTAAGAGACTTTATGCCTCTTGTATACTTTGCTATAGCAGCCTCTGCTGCAGATTTGTTTAAACTACTTACCTTAAAGACTATTCTTGAAGTTCACAGTCTTGCTTTATTTTCTAACCTTTCATTTTAGGATAAAAGACATTCAAACTTAGTAATAGATGAGCTCCCCTTAGCTCAGTTAGGAATTGGTATTTACTCACGTTCATTGCAAAAGTTTTTAAAGAGCTTACCTATTTTCCAAGAGATCTCTCCTAGTTTGTAATGTTAGCACATCTGCTGATGGAGTTGTGCAGGCAGCCTGCAGACTGCAGTGTTATGTTGCCTTCCTGGGAATTGTAGTTTTGGTTAAATGCCACATATTGGTCAAATACTCCTCTAGTTCAGAGATCATGAACCTTTGACTCCTATTAAAAAAGAACAACAATGTTTTCCAAGCATTTTTCAAAGCTTTAGGTTTTATCAGTAGTTTCCATTGCTTAGAAGCCTAATGAATAAGAATTCCTTAGAGTTGTTAGGTCATGTAAAGTGTAACATGCATATGGCCCTTAAGCAGGATGTGTTTTGTGTCCCATTGTAGGAAGCGAAATACCACATGCAGCGCTGTATCAGTTCTGGCCTGTGGGTGCCAAATGCCCGAACAGCAGAGGGTGCAGAGAAGGATGACAAGCCAGATGTTGTCTATGAGGAATTTAAGAAGGAGACTTGTGAAGAAGACAAAGGAAGCCCCTGAACCTTTGGCGCAGATTTCTTTAAAGCAGACTTCTCCTGTCACCCTCTCTCCTTTCTTTCTTTTACACCAAACTATTCAGCGATGATGTGCTTTTACACACTTCATGAATTATATGAGCTGCTTCCTGACTAGCTCTTGCTCTTTCACCACATCAGAAGCCCCTCCCTGTAAGCCCTGCAGAATTGTAAGGAAACTGTTGGAAGGCCCTGTGTTCCATTTTAGGGGAGGGTCTGCCACACCGTGCAGGCTCATAGGGGCCTGGCAGGTCCACCTCCTCTGTCTTGTGGTAACGCCAGTTGGTGTCATAGCTACAAATGTGCTGTTATATCTTTTTGTTTGGCAACCAGTTAAAGGCTATTGAGCAAATAAAGACGGAACTAGCTGAGAGTGGAACGGAGTCAGTGAGCACGGTGTGTCTTTTCTCTTGGGAATCGAACCATTGATTTTGTTGTTGTTTAGTTCCAGATCAGGATTGACTGCGGGAACAGCCGGGGGTGCATAGTCCAGTGACGGAATACATGAAGGTGCGCAAGGTGCAAATTTGATCCCTAGCATCGCCAGCTAATGCATCTTGGGTAGGAGGGCTGGAACATGGAGAGAACTGCTGGGCAGTCCGATTAAGCAATACGGGGCTAGATAGAACAGTGATGTGACTCACTAATGGACAGCTTGTGGTACACCACCCGAGTTCCAGTGTGGGTTAGTGGTAGCAAATTTAGGGCTCATCCACTGACACATGATTTTTGATGCTTGGGCAAGATACCAGAACTATTGTGTCTACTTTCAAGTCTGTTAGAATTACCTGCCGGGCCCTCGGAGCCTGTTTCACTTTGCACTGTGTGGTGCCTTGTTGACGTCCCCACCACGGCTTGTATAGATAGCCTGTCTTTTTAAAGGCCAAAGCTGTAGAAAGAATGCTTCAAGCTCTGCAGGAGTGTTCAGGGGGCAGTTCCCTTACTGCATCTTCCTGCAGGGCAAGGGGGCTGGACTAGATGACCATAAGCATCCCTCCCAACTCTGCAATTCAACGTGTAAGAGCAAGAAAGACTCTCTTGAGTATTACACCATAGGGAAGGACTTTACAGTACATAGAGATTGCAGTGCATTATAATGCACAGACATTTCTCTTCAGTCTCCCACAGTAAATTGTAGCGTTAGACCAAGAGCCTCTCTCCAAAAGAGATCTGACTGTAAATTTCCAAAGGTGGCTGGTGATGGACCCGTAGCCTCTGCAACCTCCCAGAACAATTCAATTGTTTCCTCAGAATCAGGGTCCCAGCTGAGGTGGCCCGCTGCTGTGGGGGACATTGTTCCTATGGCTTCCCCATCTGAGGAATCAGCAGAATAAAGAGGACTGGGTACTCTCTAAGAAAGCCTTTACTTCTATGTAGCTGGGTGTCGAACTTCCACTTCCAAGCCAAGTAATTAGCCTTATGCCAGCCTCTCCTCAAGTCTATAGGGTGATAAAACTGTTGTCACCTGACCTGCACTGGGAGCTAAGTGGTAAAGAACTGGAGCGTTCGCCCTCCCATGTGAGGGCAAAAAGGCTTAATTTATGTCTGTCCTGCCTAGTGGGAGGGACAACTCATGCAAGGATCTCCTCCATTCTTTGCAGAAAATGAACCTTTATGGCATGCCCAATGCCACCTTCTCTCAGATGTTGGTTTTATGTATTCTTGCATCATAATGATAGCCTAGAGGGGATCACATCAGTATTTTACCTGAGCCTTTATTCTGAACTGATGATTAGTGTTTTTGCTTTGCTTTTAGTTCTCTTTCAGGTATTGGTTCCAGGGGCTTGAGCTAAAAAATAAAATATTCTGTCTGGTTCTTGGTAAAGGTTGAGTTCTGCCTACACCTAAGTCAACATCATTCATTGGAATAAATTATATTCTTGCTTTAAAAAGTTGCAAATAACTGTTTAGCGTTTCACAAAATTTGCAGGGCAAAATAATCGGTTTGCAGCATTCCTATCTCACTGCCATGGAAAGTAGGACAAATGCTGTAGGCCACTATAGATGCTGCAGTTTTAGCTACAGGGCAATAAGTAGCCGTTTTGAAACAGGAATATTTTAAGTTGTCTTGGGCATTTTGTGGGCAGATGGAGTATAAATCAAACTTGGACCATACTCTTAATTGCTTCTCCCCTACGTTTGCAGGCACTTTCTTAAAGAACTAATTTGCTGTGAGTGCAGTCCAAGCATGGGCAGGGAGCGAATACCCTCATGAACAGGAGGGCAGAAAACCAAGGCCAGTCATGATTCAGGATGTTTAGCAAACATGTTCTCCAGATCTTGGGAGATGACCTGGAGCCAACCAGAAGCAATGTTAGGAGAGAACAAGCAGCTTCCCTAGGCCTGGGAAAGAGAGGTGGTTTGTACAGGAAATTCCAGGACCTATGCATTATATGTGCTCAATATCTACAAGTACCAGACTTCTTAAATTCCTGTTCATACATCCTGTGCACAGGCATGAAGCTGCTGACTGGAAGCAGGAGGAAGATAAAACTAATAACCAGGGAACATAGAGATCTTGTTGACGGTGGGAGCCGGGGCTGGTGAGATTGCCCTACAGATCCCAAAACATGGGAGCAAATGTGACGGGGAGAGAATATTGGTTTCTGCATTAAATAGAACTTGACACTCTTGGTGAATGGGAGTTGTATATAGTCAGAATACATGTCGGGGAACCAGCATTAACCTGTTGTAAGGCTTGTAGCATTTCTTCTGTAACTGGGATGACATCTCCGGGTAGTTTGTGTCCTTGTAAGGCAGAAAACAATGGTGACAAGGTGCTAGTAGGCAGATTAAGGTAATTCTTTATCCAATTCAGGTGTCCCAAAAGTTGTTGAAGGTCAACCAGCCGTAGGCGGGCAGGAAAAGACAATTGGGGAACAACCGGAATGGCAGCTTGTTGTGTCAATTTATGTCCAAGATAGGCAAAGTTTGCTGAACCTTATCTGGGGCAATACACAGTCCAAAATCTGTCAGGGCAGATGTAAGGTCTCTTAATAATTCCACTGATATGTGCTGTGCAGCCACAAGGATATCATTTGGGTGGAGGCTTTGACAGGCTGGCGCTTCTCCCCCGACACCCAAAACCTGTGCAGCTGCCTTTGTGGGCCATTCGGGAGGCCAGTCTTGTTTAGCAATCACAGTAACATCTGCCCCTGTATCCAGAACCCCCTCCACCTCACGTCCACCCAGTGTCATTTTTAATGTAGGGCGCTGAGCTGTGAGAGGCATTGCAGCAGCAATTAAGGGGGGATTTGTAGGAGTTGTGGTATCCGCAGGGAGCAGTATGACTTTAGCCACTGGCGTGCCAGATGAAAAACCTAAGAGGGGGGCTGCTTGTTTAATTGCAGTCCCCAGTGGCGTCGGCGGAGGCTGATAATCTGGTGGTCGTGGTGAAGTAAAAGGTGGTGGTAGAAGCGGTGCAGCCGGATATATGAAAGGCATATTCAGGACTGTTTTTTGTTGTGGTGGCAACGAAGCCAAGAGGATGTTTTTGGGCGTAAGAGTTGCTATGCAGCCACGAACTTTAGCCCAGGCACTAAGGACGTGAACATTTATGCGGCCATGGCCATGAAAGTGGTCGCCAATTTTGTCCCAGTCTGGTATTTCCCATGTCCCGTCCTCAGGGAACCATGGACAATGTTCATCTATGGCCAGAATCAATGCAATTAGATCACCTTCAGGTACTTGCTGTTTATTTTCCCGAAGGAGGTGCTGCATGTCTTTTAAAAATTGTTTCTGAGGGTTGGAGAGCGCAGAACCCATGATAAAATAGAAAAATAGCTACTCACCGGGGATCCGAAGATGAGAAGGCGCCTTGAGCCACAGTCGGGCGGGTGAGTAGCAGGGAGGACCGTCTTTGACAGCACGCGTCCTGGAAGCCGTTCAGGCAATCACACGGGGCACCATTTGTCGGGGAACCAGCCCACCAGGTGCGGAGGAAAATGACGAAGAGTCATGGGTGAAGGTTTAAGCAAGGAGTGAGCTCTCTCTCCCAGCAGCCTTGCATGTTTATTAGCCTTGCGCACATTACATCATGTTGCATATACACGTGTAGCACTCGGATGGAAAACAGCTAGGGTATGCATTTCTTAGAATAACTATTCTCTACCAGGACATAACTCCAGACAGCATGACAGCCGCGTAAGCTTTGTGGTTAGGCAGCGCGACAGTGACCCAGGCATGTGGGGGAACAAGTCAGCAGATGCTTCCTCTTGCACAATCTTGCACAAGGGTGCTATTTTTCTATTGCATCCCCACAAATACATGCCATGTTATCTTGTGAACTGCCCTGAGATCTTTGGATGAAGGGTGGTATACAAATTTTAATAATAATAATAATAACGCCATGTCTAGCTATAAATGTTTGGCAGCCAGAAATTTAGATTGAACAAAGGGAACGGAAGTTGAAAGACATTGCAGGTGAAAGCTATCCCATCTGCTGCTGCACGAAAGCCATTGTGCATGGGCTGGGCATAACTAGGACTGAATGTTCTACTCTTTGCTAAAAAAATAAAAGGCAGCCCTATGCCCAGGAAGACTGAATTATGTGGCTTTGCATAATTCCATTTTGCAGGTGCTAGGAGCCCAGGAAGTAACATTTTTGTTTCTGACAAAAATGTGATATTGATAAGTGATATTGATGCAGTATTATGAGCTGGGAATAAAATGATTAAATATTCCACCCCACCCCCCTCCTAAACTACAAGGTCTATACATAGACTTTACTCAGGTATTTGTGCCTGACCATATTTAAAAAACACCAATAATGCACTGAATATTAATGATTCAATATCTCCATTTAATAAAGTAAATTTGTATAGAGGGGACACGCAAAACACTGCCATTCTCCTTGCACAACAAGCTACCAGAGAGAGCCAGCTCCCTCTCAGACGCTTAGAATCAAAGAATTGTAGGGTTGGAATGTACCTTGCAGGTCATCTAGTTCCTGCATTGCAGGAATCTCGACTAAAACATCCAGGACAGATGGCCATCCAGCCTCTACTTAAAAGTCTCCAATGAAGGAGAGTCCACCACCTTCTGAGGGAGTCTGTTCTTGTTTCAGACTTGCTATCCTCACTAAGAGTTTTTCCTATCCTGTCCTAATGAAGGCAAAGTTAATGCTCCACTGAGAAACCCTGAATTCTTATGTATTTATGTGTGAGAACGCAGGAAGCTTCATAACTCAGATCCTCATCTGCCCCTTGTTTTTTCTTTAATCTAAGCCATTGCCCATTGCCTCTCTCCAAGTGTTATCACCAGTGAAGTTTCTGGTCCTTTTTTTGCCAGGTGTGGCAGTGGCAGGGAGAGAAGGTATTTGTTTTTTGAGAGAAACTCACAATATTAGTTTCAGAATCCCTGTTTTAGCCCAATAGCATCTGACTTGCTGTGTGTGTTCTTTTCCAAGGCAGGATAGAATAGTAGTGAGAACCAGCCCACCTTTCTCTGTACAATGATTCTGGTTGTTTGCTTGGTCTTCAGAACACCTTGCAAATTGTATGGTTGATGGCTTCTCTTGGAGTCATGTATATCTTTGAGCGTGACTGTGCTTCACAAGATAATTTAGCTGTGTAGACCGATAACCCTTTTTTGAGCTTTGTTATATTTTGCATCTTTTTGACTTGCAGTCATCTCCACTAAGTGCTTGATGCTCCCAGTGTTATAAAGATACCCATGCAAATGCTCTTCATTGTCATTTCTGTGCTCCTTCCCCACCCACATACATTGTGTAGCACAGAAGCTTCAAGGCCATCAGACAAATGGAAAAAGAATGCAGAGACTTAGGTAATTATAACAAAAGCTCCCTGGAATTATTTGCAAGCTGTTTGTGAGATGAGGGAAGATCATTCCTCACAAGGCTTTAACTAGGCTAGAAACTTAAGAGAAGTGGGAGCAAGAGCAGCTAACTAAACACACATTTGACAGTAAATGACCCCTGGACGGTTAAGTCCAGTCAAAGGCAACTGGGGTGCGGCGCGCATCTCGCTTCAGGCCAAGGGAGCCAGTGTTTGCAGACAGCTTTCTGGGTCATGTGGCCAGCATGACTAAACCGCTTCCGGCGCAACGGGACACCGTGATGAGTGCCAGAGCATACGGAAACGCAGTTTATCTTCCTGCCACAGTGGTACTTATTTATCTACTTGCACTGGTGTGCTTTCAAGCTGCTAGGTTGGCAGAAGCTGGGACAGAGCAACAAGAGCCTACCCTGGATTCGAACCGCGACCTTCCGATCAGCAAGCCCAAGAGGCTCAGCGGTTTAGACCACAGTGCAGTATTTGAGCTCATGTAGCTAAAGAGTATGAGCTTTAAGCAAAGAAATTCCCAAGTCTGTTCTTGCCCCTGCCATATTTCACTGCTCTCAGATCTTAACTGCAATATAGGAAGAACAATACTCTCATTTATATGTTTATTTCTTCATAAGGACTATGGAGAAAACAAAGCACTCTGAACACTTGACTGCTAATATAAATGGTGTTGCTGATCAGTACTGTACAATGATTTTTCAAGTTGTCCCTGCACAATGCTTTGTATGTACTGGGGGGAAACTGTTTTGCTATTTATTTTTATGCTGTGAGCAGCCCTGAGATCATCAGACGAAGGACAGTACTGTACTGTATACAAATTTAATAACAACTTTTTAAAAAGCTCAATTTCGATGGTTTCGTTAAAAAAAAAAAGCTCAACAAGTTCGAGGTCTTCCTCAAAAAAGCTGCTCAACAACTTTCGGGGTGTCCTGGTTTTTACTTTCTGAAATACGGCCACCCTACGCCCTTGCTGCGTAAAGGCAACCCGTCTCCCTCCGCTTCCGCAGCAACAACACTAAGCAGTGCGCGCCTCACCAGGGAAGCTCAGGCTGACAAGAAGTGCGCATGCGCTCCCGAGGCCTCCAAGTAAATCCCTTCGCTTGGAGCCGCCAATGGAGAGGCGCGCGGGCCGGTGGGTGGAGTCCCGGCGGAGGGGGGCGGGGCGCCGCAAAGGACGCGCCTGGAGGCGGAGGGCGAGCCAATGGGAGGCGGCGTCTCATGGAGCCTATTGCGAGCTGCGTCTCTGTCCGACGGGCGCGAGCGGCGGGCGGGCCTTCGGCTGCGCTTGGCTCCCTGAGGCGGCGGCGGGAGGGGGGGCGTCGGTGTCGAGGGGCTCCCCTCCCCCAGGTCGCGAGGTAGGCGTGAGGCGGAGGAAAGTGCTGTCCGGGGGGGGGGGGAGTAGAGGACTCGGTTAAGGAAGGCAAACTCGGAAGCTCTGGCGACCCTTCAGGAACGCCTTCTGAGCCCCAGCCCGTCGGTGTTTGTGCGAAGCCCGGCGGCCGGTGGAACCTCCACGCCCAGGGGCAGTCTACCTTTGGGAGAGCTGGGGCAGGCGGAGGCCAACCGCGAGAGGCGCTGGCGCCGACAGCCGCTTTCCGCCTCGAGGCAGCTTGAAAAGAAAAGAAAAAGTAAGATACGCGGTATTTGGAGGATCGGTCGACCAGTCCCCCCAAGTCGTGTGGCTGCTTCTGCGGCCCCTGACTTCCGCTGGCGCTTCTCTCTAGTGGCGTGATCTCTTCCCAGAGAGCTGACGAGTGCAATGTGCGAACTAGATGTTTTGATAAAATGCGGAGCCTTGGAAATGAGCACGAGGATGGCACCTGCAGCGAGAGGAAGGATGGCTGTTGGGAAAAGAGTCGTGGGAATAATGTGGTGGAAGTTAGTTCCTCTAGCTTTTGTGTTGTTGAGTCGAGCTGATTTTAATATGCGTCGAAATTGTATTTCTTCTTCTATTCATTTACACAGTTTATTATGTTTTGTTTACTTAAGAGAGCTGTGATGTACGCGTTGGGGAAGATTGCGTGTGTGGAAGATTAATGCCAAATCAATGAGTACAGAGAGATCTTTCAATGTTCCTGTTGACCATGCTTATCTGCATGCTTACCAGAAGCTAGATGTAGACTCCTGATTTGAAACAAGACCTGCTGGTGATGGTGACATTTTCATGCTTCTAGCTGGCAGCTTTGGGGAACCAAGTAATGAAGCAGGTTTGATCCAGCAAAGTTATTACGGGGCTGTTGAGGAGGTACTTGTGATGGAGGCGGCGAAAGGTTTAGATTCAGGGTGAGGGGCATCTGGAGGCCAGAGAGAGGCTATGAGAAGAAAGAAGAAGAAAGCTTTGAAAAGGTGGTGGTGGATTCACTATTTATGAAGGCTTGTAAGAATCACTGGTGCATAATACATATTACATAGGGTGCACTGCACAGAATATTATGTATGCCTCAGAGCACTTATACATAATCTTAGTAATACCAATAATACCAGTGCAAGATAGCCTTAGACAATGCAGATGCCCCCCCTCCCCGTTTCTGCATCCACATTTGCAGTATGAAGATAATACTGCACACTGTCTGGTGTGCTCATGGTAGAGATGAGATCTTTCCTGAGGACTTCCTGACTCACCTTCTTAGCCAGTATTCAACACCAGATCACTAAGTGTCATGGACAGGCTGGAAGCAGAGGAGCCTTGGGAGGCACCAGCTGGGGACACCCCCCCCCATAAGACTCAGAGCCAGGGGACTGGAGGTGGGATGACAATGAGTGGTCAGAGGGAGAAGGGGGAGCAGACTGAGAAGAGGAGGTGTCAGAAGCTGAAGAGGCAACAAGGTTTATTGAGCGGGGAGAGCCTGTGGCAGAGAGCAGTCCAGAATCAGATGCCGAAGCAGAGGCTGGAAGGGAGGGGGGGCAAGAAGCAGAGATCATGCAGGCTACTGAAGAAGCCAGGGGGTGTTTCCTCTCTTGATGCAACCAGCTTCCCTCCCCGCTGGTCTCAGATTGCTTTGGAAGGACCCAGGGAAGGAGGAGGCTTAGGCAACTGTGGGAAGGTGAGGACCTTCAGTTCTTGCAGCTGCCTCATAAGGGACAAGATCTGCCAGGACAACTTGCTGCGCTCACAAGCCTGGCCTCCCGAACTAATTGTGTTTCCTTGAATAACGAGTTGACTTCATTGATGCCCTGTGATTTATTGCTGACCTGCTCCTGACATCTGCCCCTGACAGTGCTGCAGGCAGAGGGCGATAGATGAAATGAAGAAAGTTTTGTTTTTTTAAATAAATTGTTGGTGTTCTTTACCTAAACAAGTTCACAAAGAAACTTATAACATGGTCTTAGCTAGTTTGTGCACTGTGGGATGATGCAGGATAGAGAAGCTGACCTTGGCAGTTGGAGGCAAAGTAAAAGTCTGAGAGAGAGTGGGGGTTGGGAGCTTCTGGATCCAGTGGACCATCTAATGTAAACTGCGGTTATATTGTCTGCAAACGAGTCTCTGTAGATGGTTGGTTGAGAGGGAGATTTGAAACCAGAGGAAGCCTGCCTTTGACTATTTATTGGTGCTCTGGATTAAACCACAGAGCCTAGGACTTGCTGATCAGAAGATTGACGGTTCGAATCCCTGCGACGGGGTGAGCTCCCGTTGCTCGGTCCCTGCTCCTGTCAACCTAGCAGTTCAAAAGCACGTCAATGGAAGTAGATAAATAGGTACCACTCCGGCGGGAAGGTAAACAGGGTTTCTGTGCACTGCTCTGGTTCGCCAGAAGCGGCTTAGTCATGCTGGCCACATGACCCGGAAGCTGTATGCCAGCTCCCTCGGCCAATAAAGCGAGATGAGCGCCGCAACCCCCGAGTCAGCCACGACTGGACCTAATGGTCAGGGGTCCCTTTACCTTTATATACCACCCTTTGCCATGCAGTCCCTGGGTGGGTTACATGCATATAACATCTTCCACCCCAAAGCCTTTGCTGAAGTGAGGCACACCTTTGGAGGGGAAGCGATTCCACAATCTGAGGACCACCACAGAAAAAGCCCTCCTGTGCATTGTCGCTTCACATGGTGGTGGAAATTCCAGTGTATTTCAACACATATTTGCTGCCCAATATGAGAGCACTGATTACTTACATTAGTGTTGATAAACCAATGAATCAGGAAGCCCTTGATTCAAATCTGTCTTCTAGCATGAACTTACTCAGTGATCTATAGCAAGCAAATCTCTCAGACAACCTCATTTTCCCATCTGCAGTACAGAGATAGTAGTGCTGACCTGCCTTACAGGGTTATTGGAATTGCAACAAGATAATGTGAAGACTTGAACATTATAAAAGCATTAACTCAATGCTAGTTAGCATTATGGAAAGAAGGCAATTGCTGGGCTGCATAGAGATTTGTGCAGGGAGTTAGTGGACTGTTTCTGGGGGGCGGGGAGTTCTAGGAAGATCATAGGATTTATAAACGTGTTCAAACCAGTATAGGTTGAATTGTGCTGTGAAAGGGGTAATACAGGATGTTTCTACAAGCTGACATATTGTGGTTTTCGTTGGAAGAAATGATGTGTGCAGATTGGAGGAACACTTGTGGGTCTTTCTAGGATTGCTGTATGTATATGAGAAGAAACTGAAGGGATGTGAAATGAATTGAGAAACATTACTGTGGGACAGGTATTACCCAAGGAAAGGAGATGGTATGGTGGGCTGGACTCACTTGTCTTCTATATCAGGCCTTTAAGATGGTAATTTTTATTGCTTATGAAGGAGCTTGGCCAGCATAGTGTGATCTGATTTGTAACTTGTGGAGGTGTTTATAGCTTTTGGTATCCTGGCAAGTGTTTTTCCACTTGGCCTTCTCCCTTGCCAAATGCTTTGCTCATGGGATTATAATATTTGCTGTGGTGTAATTTTGTATTCTTTGGTTAGCATGGAAGAGCACATCAGGTAAAATCTTAGCTTTAATTCTTAACTTGAATGAAGTTGTTTTCATTGCCAAAGTATGAGCTAGCCAACTACCTGACTGCTTGGGTTTATATAATGGGTTTATCATAAAATAATACAAGTGTTGTAATAGGAAAACATAGAAGGTAGTTTCTTAGTGTATTGCAGGTTTGAAAGTTTAATGGGAGCCTAATAAAAAGAAGGGTCTAGGATGTAAAGTCTCTTGCTTATTATTCAAATGCCTTTCATAGATGCACAGTTCAACTAATCAGGGTTCTGAACAGAGCACTGTTGCACATATTGTTGTGTTTGTTTCTCTAAGACTAAGCAATAAGGTAACTGTGGATGGATTCCTGTTTGTTTTGTCGTGCTTGTTCTGTCCATTCTTGTTCAGACTGAAATCACTTCTTGTTTTATACATCTTCCCTTTCCCCCAAAGTAAAGAGAACTTGATTTGCCCATGGGCCACCGATCTGAGTCAGCAAGGATGGCAGCCTGGATCTCAATCTCCTTTTCTGTTTAACTATTCTCCCAAGTGATTAGTCCTGTATTATTTAGTCCAGCAGATGTGCAGATACTGAATGTGGTCTGTTAACGTTAGTGCTTTGTAGCAAAATCTTTCCCATTCCTTCTAATTGAGGTGAAGAAGTTCTGAAGTTCAGGCCTTACTTCAAATGCAGCTGTGATACTTTGTTAAATGGAAGATGCGTATACTGTATTTGTCTTGGAGTAGAAATGAACACATGGTGTATCTCTCAGCACTGTACTATTGTACTGGATAGTGTGTGTTGGCTTTAATATTGGAGGCTTAGCTACAGGTTGCTGCACAATTATAAGACTGTGCAAATGGCAGACAACATATATTAATGATTATTATTCATTAGATTTATATCCATCTCCAATGGACACAAGGCAATGTACACTAGCTCCCAAAAAACCTGAGAGGTGGGATAGACTGAGAGACTGACCAGCCTATGCCACCCAGTGGACTTCATGACAGATCTTTGCTCCAGTCCTAACACCCTGTAACCACATACTTCCACACAAAAGGATAAATAAGATAAAATATGCTGAACAAGAAGTGCTGTCAAAATACATGCCGATTGCTTGCTTTTCGTTCCTTTGAGGAAAGGGTGGAGGCAACACTTATCCTCAAGCTTTGCTCAGAAATTGACACTGGGATGCAAGATTAGTACCTGAGACAACCCAGAGAGTTGGTAGATTATGTCAGATTTGAACTGAGGTTTTTCAAACTCCAGGTTCAGGCATTTTTATCTGCTAGACAATGCTGACTCTTACTGCCCATAATACTTGGTTTGGAGTATAGGATGCTGCACGGAAATAAACTTGTTAGCTTTAAAGGAAAACCATTTGCTTATTTTTGCCCTTAATAGAATGCTTGTGCATGTGTGCCTCTGAAACCTGGCTTCCAGTTCCCTTTAAAGTGAAACTCTTGGAATTGAAAGATAGGTTCCAAGAGATAGAAGTTAAAAAAATCAATTCTGCATTGTTCTGCACCCTTCCTCTGGCTTGGCATTCCTTTCCATTTACCTCAGAAAATCTGGCCACACATGCAGTGTTAGAAACTCAGATATATAAGGTAATTGACAAATGGCACCTTAAACATAGGTTATGGTTACCACAACAGAATGTCTAGGTGCCATTTCCCCCAGGTTAGATTTATTATTCTTGTTATTATTATACATTTTATTTCTATACTACTTTATATTTTAAATGAAAAAAATCAAAGTGGTTTACAACATATTAAAACATCAAATAAAGCAATCCAGAATAAAACAAATTCAAGCTTCAAGGAAAATATTTCACATCCTTCTCTAAGTGGCATTTTGCCTCCTCCATATTTATTTACCTATTTAATTTAGCTCATAGCATAGTAGAGGTACTCTAGGAAGCCAGTGTGGTGTAGTGGTTAGAGTATTGGGCCAGGACCTGGAAGATCAGGGTTCAAATCCCCACTCAGTCATGAAACTCACTGGGTGACCTTGGGCCAGTCACAGCCTCTTAACCTCCCTCATAGGGTTGTTGTAGGGATTAACTGAGTAGTGGGGTGAACCATGTACTCGTTGGATAAAAAGGTGGGATATAAATGCAATAAATAAGCTCTTCTGCTTACCTACTTAAGAAACCTGGGGGGCCAGCCAGATTGAGATTTCAGCCATCAGCCTGGCATCCACAGATCTCCATGTGGTCACAATTGGACCTGCCCCAGTTGTAAAGTGCACCTGGCTAATTTCAGACACTGCACACATGTACTTCTCAAGTTAACTTTGAGTTGGGGTCGTCCTCCCCAGCCTGTGTGTATGTGTGTGTGAAAAAATGTTAGGATAAAACATACCAAGTTCAGATAAAGAAACCTAGATTGCAGAACCAGTATAATTTGTAGAGATATATTTATTTTTAATTACTATAATAGGAATGCTCAAGGAGAGGAAAAGCAGCATGTCCTTTGATCAAGTATGTGTCCTACATGAACTTGAGATGAACTCCTTAAACAACATACACATAGATTTCAGTAACAGGGATATAAATATATATTCCATATAATTTGTGATGCTGAAGTGAATCAACCTCCCCTTTTTCAGAAGCCAAATAGTAGGTCTGATTTTATTATATTTATTTTATTTTAAATACCAGGATTAGAGAGGAACAGTTGGGTGGCGGGACAGAATTCTGCTCTTCCTACTTGTTCTGCATGAACAACCAGCAAGAAATTGCATTCCTAGACTGGAATTTTACTCCTACATAGTATAACTGCTGGCTGGTATTATGATCCTTTGGTCTCTGTTGAAAGAAATGAGACCTCTGGTTTGACCAGATGTTTGAGTTAATGCTTGCTGCACCTACTTTGGTATGAAAGAACACTTCATTGTACATGAAGCAGGAAAGTGTGTTTTCATTTGGAATCACTAGTGTTAGATTTAGAGATGGTAAAATATTTCCTAATGTTGACCATGTCAGTTGTTTGTGAAGAAAAGAATGGTTCTTTCAGGAATAGCTTCAACCCAGTGGATTGAACTGACTGATGCATGAGGTCCATTGTAGTTCTTGGATGAGACTCCTATATAATGCATCCCTCCCTACCAACTAGAACAGTGAGATGATGAACTGAATAACACTTGGCTCCTGTGCCCATTTCTGCCTTATGTGATGATTTATAATGTGCCTTCTTTCTCATGTGCTGGTGGGTAACTTCACTATCACCCATGAAGTATGGTGAGGCAGTTGCCTCAGGTTGGCAGGCTCCGGGCAACTGGGACGGGTGGTACCACCACTTACACCACCTTATGAGACATGGGTGGCACTGTGGTCTAAACCACTGAGCCTCTAGGGCTTGTTGATCTGAAAGTTGGAGGTTTGAATCCATGTGGCAATGGTGAGCTCCCGTTGCTCTGTCCCAGCTTCTGCCACCCTAGCAGTTCGAAAGCACACCGGTGCAAGTAGATAAATAGGTACTGCTGTGGCGGGAAGGTAAACAGTGTTTCCATGCACTCTGGCTACTGCCATGGTGTCCCATTGTGCCAGAAGCGGTTTAGTCATGCTGGCCACATGACCCAGGAAGCTGTCTGTGGACAAATGGCAGCTCCTTTGGCCTGAAGCAAGATAAGTGCTGCACCGCATAGTCACTTTTGACTGGACTAAACCATCCAGTGGTCCTTTACTGCTGCTAGAGCAATGCTGCCCCTCCCAGCTGCAGGGGCATCATTTTCAGTTTTGCCTGGAGTGGCAGAACACACTGGGCCAGCCCTGCTGTCACCTGTGCTTTAGAGCTGCTAGGAACTATTGCAAACTGAGCTGGTTGTTTGGGTACTAGTATATGTGGATTCTGGGAGAATCAAACAATTTGTGGATACTCCACATTATCCTTTTGCTTAAGCTGCCTTTCCTCTACAAACTGACTGTAACCCCGTTTCTCTGGTTTAGACTTCATGTATTTGGAAGCTCTTCCTGATACTATCAAAAGGGAAGTGGTGTAGGGGTGTGAATCATTCACTATATATATTACATTGTATTACACACTCTCTCTATGTTCCTGAGAGTATGCGTTGCTGAAGACTACGTTTCCTGAAAGCGTTTTAGGTTTCCTTAATGAGGTCTCTGTTTCCTCCCACCTAGGGACTTGGCAGAATGCCACTGTGCCATTGTGCAGTGAAGCACAGTGAATCAGACATGGAGGGGTGTCATTTTTCACCTTCTGGAGGGCTGAGGGTATATCTTCACTGGAAGGGTGAGCAGGAGGAACAGTACCAGACTTATATGCAAGGGACTCCTTGTGCTGAAGAGATCTGCATCGATATTGCACAGAAGATTGGTAAGTGGCCCATAGGGCTTGTCTAGAGAAATGTGGGAAACATGTAGCCCTTCTTGGAGAAGTGCCTTATCGCCCATGTGGATCAATATCTATAGAAAACCATTGGAATATGACATCCAGAGGCTTGGGCTGCAGTGGAGCCTTGCAATTGGATTTGAATGGAGTTGTACTCCCCCTGAAGGAGCAAGTTCACTGTCTGAGAGCCCTCCTGGACTCAACATTTTACGTGGAGGTATATGTGGTGGCAGTGGTGGCTTCTACTAGCTTAGGGTTGTAGCTGGTGTACCATTCCTAACTAGAGAAGGCAGACCTTGCCTTGGTGACATCCAGTGACATCCAGACAAGACTACTGTAATGATATATAGGCACTGCACTCTATGTGGGGCTGCTTTTAAAGATGGCTTGATAAAAAAATGCAGCCACTCGGATGCCAGTAGGGGCAAGGCTGTGGGAACATGTGACATCATTCTTGTACTGGATGCACTGGTTGCTGGTGTATTTCTGAGCCCATTTAAGTGCTGCTGTTGATCATTGAAGCCCTAAATGACCAAGTTGTTAGAGCAGCTTCCATCACCTGTATGAACTTTATCATTTAATTGGCCTACTTCCCCAGTCAATTGTGTATAGGATGCCTCTATTTTATTGACTGATCCTTCTAATCTTCTCAATTTTCTAATTCTTCTTCTAAAGTCTATTGATCTCTTAAGAGACTTTGTTTGCTCTGTCGTAACCTGCATAAGAATATTCACAGTGAGCAGGGACCCTGAAGATCTCATTCTCTCCCCCCCTTCTCTTTCTTCTTTTCCTTTTCTTGTAAGCAGCATTCTGAATGTTGAAGTTTTTCTTGCTTCACTTTATTAGAATTTCTGTCTCTAAACAGCTTCTATCCATTCAGCAATTTAACCATGTTTTGGCAACAATGTGAGATATGGCAAATTCCATCCTCAGGAATACAGTGTTAGCTGGCAAAGTAGCTTTGAATTACTTAAAACACTTTAGTCAAAGAGTAAGAAAAAATAAAAAGCTTCACATATGTCCCTTGTCCATTTAAAACTTTCTCATTTCACACCATAAATCCAGCTTTTTGTCACTTTGATGATGGTGTGAACAGTAGCTTGCTTGCTTGCCTTCTTCTTATTATGGAAAGCAGTTCACTCACCAGGTGTTGGTTTTTGCTTTTTGCTAACAGACTCAGAAACTCTTTTAGGTTGTAAATTATCTCATTCTGAAGGCAATTAAGAAAGGGAGGTGGTCTTGGTGCCCATAATAGGACTCCAGTGTAGTTTGAGCAAGTTGACAATTCTCAGCTTCCAGTCACTCAACTCACAGGGCAGGAGATGAGCCCCTCAGCAGTCCCCCTGTCCCACGAGGAGCAATCCCTTCTTTCCAGCTCCTTTTCAGAAGTGAATAGGTGCAAGTAGATAAATAGGTACCACGCTGGCAGAAAGGTAAACGGTGTTTCCATGCACTGCTCTGGTTCACCAGAAGCGGTTTAGTCATGCTGGCCACATGACCTGGAAACTGTACGCTGGCTTCCTCGACCAGTAAAGCGAGATGAGCGCCGCAACCCCAGAGTCGTCCACGACAGGACCTAACGGTCAGGGTTCCCTTTACCTTTAACACCACGGAAACAAATGCTAATATGCCCAGGAACATCACCAAAATGCTGGAGAGGATGTACCTCCGCAGGCACATACCTCCACATGTGGTGGGAATGTCCTAAAATCCAACTCTTCTGGACGTCAGTCATATAAGAAATATGCAAAATAATTAAGCAAGTATTAGAAGTCACCCCAGAACTGGGTCTACTAAACATCTTCCAAGACAATAATGCCCACTCACAAAGAGCTCATAACCCACCTACTCTCGGCAGCCAGAAACATCATAGCCAGACACTGGAGAGACCTGTCAGGAGTAAGCATAGACCAATGGTATCAAATAGTATGGGAAACAGCCTTATTAGAAAAATTAACCAACAAACTGAAACTAACACGGGGACAAATAGAAGAAGACGCCTTCACCCCGATATGGTTACCCTTTATCACATACACAGCTCAACAAGAACCCGCCAACAGCATTTGAATCAATCTGGCTAACCTGATCCAAAAACACACACACACATCCCACTCAAACATGAAAAATAGGTTCACCACAGCCAAACACAAACAACCACACCCTAGGCCAACTCCAACCTCTCTCACCACCAAAGGAATACAAGTGAATAGTAAAGAGAACCCAGATAAGTGACGCTGACACAAAACCCCACATATACAGTAAGTAGAATAGAAGCATTGCCACCTGACCCCACCCCACTCACCATTCCCCTTCCCCCTCTTTCCCCCTTTTCTTCCTAATGTAACACTAATGTCTCAACAAATGAAACTGATCTGTAGAAAATGTAACTTGAAGAAAGAGACATTGCACATAAACCAATAAATCTTTAATAAAAATATATTAAAAATGAAAAGAAAAGAAGTGAAGCTGGCAGCCAGACTTGTGTCTAGCTATCAGCAAACATCACACTGTTATCACCATTGGTAAAAAACTGACAAAATACCTTCAGTCTGCTGTGATCCCTCCCCTGGAAGTCCCCAGGATAAAAGGATCTCTAATAAAAGGACTAGAAAAGTATTTTGCAGGGGGATGAGTGGTTTGCTTGATTTCCTGCAGCTCCTTATCACATACAGTTGTATAAATCTGCAGTTACATAAAAGAAGTGTGGTAGATGACACTGGACTGCAAATTGCTTTACTGTTGAAGCTGTTCAGCTAGGCTTAAAGCCTTGAGAATTCTGCCTATTTTTTTTAGCTTGGCAGGGCCTTAACGCTTGGATCCAAACCTAGGAGTACCTTCACATTCTATACATTTTGGGGTAGACTTGTGGCATGATTTGACTTTATAGAACAGTGGGATTTTATGAGCTTTGTTGCCCTTTTTATATTTGTGAATGTATTTGAGCTGAAGCCTAGTCCACACATTCAGTGGAACTTCACCTGGAAGGAAGATCCTGAGATCCTAAAACCTGGTCCATTGGTCACCAGCTGTCAGGGACTAGAAGAGACCACCCCTGCAACCATGCCAGCATATACCTAATTACATTATACCATTGTGTAGATAGTAGACCACTTTGGGACCCAACCTTAGCTGGAAAACAGGTTATAGATAAATGTTTTGAGGTAGAATAGACTGTACCACTTCAGACTGCAGGCAAAGTAGCACATTTCTAATGCTCTCTGCAGATAGCCTGCTCCCCATAGTGCTAGTTTTCTAAACTGAAATCTTTCTTGCTGGTGTGCTAGTTCTTAATGCTGGGAGCTTTTTAAATTGTCCTCATGATTTTTTTAAAAAGGCACCTCTCACCTGCACATGTAGACCATGGGCCCCAGGAGCAGAGGAGTAAAATTTTATGTGCCGCTGACTTCTGTTCTGCCCAGCACAGCAGCTGATGCAGTTCCATATACAGTACTTTAAGTCAGGTTGGAGTGATGTGTGTGTGTGCCTAAAACCTCTTCAGTGGAAGTTCAGAGCAGGAGGTCCTTTCTCTAAAAAGAAAAAAAGCATTTGTGTATGCACCCTAATCCTGGGGATAGGAACCTCAGTTCTGCCTTTAGATGACATTGGGATGCAGTAAAGATAATGTTACAACTGACAAGGGTGCTTTCTTGGTTTCATTTAATATGCTATCTTATTTGTATTGATTGTTTCCCCAACCCTGGGCTCAGGGTTATCTCAGGGAAAGGGTCAGTTAGAAATTAGTGCCTTTTAAGGAGTGTCTATCGAGCTGTGCCCAATATAATTTCCTTCAACATTTCTTACTAGATCTTTTTGTCTTCCACAGGAATCACGCCAATCTGCTTGAGCTTCTTTGCACTGTATGATCCACTGGCCAAATTATGGTTCCCTCCTAACCATGTGTTTGACATAGATAGTGGCATTAAGTTGATTCTGCATTTTCGTTTGAGGTAAGAACATCCTTTCCCCATGTATTTCACCTTCACTTCTGTAGTTTTGGGATTAAATATTTATTGGCTTTACAACTGGGTGCTTGCAGAGCCCCCTGCCTAGCACCCATGAGCCCATGAAGATGCTTGAGCTTTCATTTAGATAGAAAGTTATGGAGCAAAATGTGCAGGTACCCTTCTAAGTGATTTCTGTGAAATGAGCCAACCTAGCTTCTCCTGCCTGTCAGTGATTTTAGCTGGTGAAGGAAGTCAGAACTGTGATTGGTAAGTGAGTAGTTTGGACACCATGCAATAGAAATCCCCAGTGCTATTTTCCCTTCTTGTTTAGTACACTTCCCTTCTTCATCTTAAACATTTATATTCCCCTTGTGCGTTTAACTGCTGTATCTCCACAATCGGAAATAGCAGGACATAGCTTTCCATGGTAAACCTGAGATTGTGCAGGGGATGGGGTGAGAAGCAGGAATGACTGCACTCCCTCTAATTCTGTGTTATGCCATGACCTCATGGCAGCCATTTGTGACTGGTACCCATGGCGTCTCTGAAAATACAAAATGTGCCCATCAGTCTGGTAAGGTCGGTGGCCCCTGTTGTAGCAGGTACCGGGGAATATGCTGACCCCTGAATTATTAGGTCAATTGATCATAATTGGGTAGTGCTCAAAACTAATCAAGAAGCAGGTTGATCTCCTTCTCTGTGATTTATGTCCAGAGCTCAGACAACATACTGTAAGCATATGCTTTCTAAAAAGTTCACACACTGTATATGGTGATTACCTGGATCTGCATACCTTTGGGGTCATCTCTTTTCCCCTGCGTTCTGCCATTGTGTAAAGTCAAGTCAGCCTTGGCAAGTATAATGGCTTTTTTATGGTGGTCCTGGGTCTGTGGAATAGCATCTTGGAAGGGGTTTACCGAATCACGGTCTTTGGTGCATTCAGAAGGGGCTGCACATCATTCTTCAGAAAGATGTTTAGAAGACAGTGGATTTGGGTACTTAACTGCTGCTTTTTATGTTTTAAAAACATTGGCACAAGCAGCATATAAATAATAAATTATAATTATTAGTGGGCATTTTATCTATAGTTGCAAGGCCTACTTTTTAGGAAGTGGGGTACATGGCAGCATTTTTTTGCAAGTTTTCTTACATATAATAAAGTAATTTGCCCAGGAAAACCTACTTGTGCATAGCCATTTAGGCTTTCTGAAAGCAGTGTAAGATTATTATAATCAAGAAATGTTCAGTAAGTCTCATTTATATAAGTTCCATTAGACCGAGCAGGTGTTTGCTTTATTACCCATAGAATATCCAAATGACTGAGTTATTGTTGTGTATTAAAATGGTTTTTCATGTAGTGTTTGGTATATTGAGATGCTGCTTTGGGCATGTTGAATGGCAAGGCATGAATGCAATACATCCTGCATTCATAATAGTTAGTTTGCCCTTGTTCTAGAAGCATTAAGTATGTCCACATTTGCCAGTAGCAGTGTCTTCTACTTTGAATTCAGAGTAGAATAATGGCACAGGACATAATACATTGATTTAATAATGGGAAAACACATGCGCCATTGCTGTTGGTGTCAAAATTAAATTGTGTTTTTTTTCCTCCTCAGCATACTTCCTCCCTCAAGTTAGGTGAATCTGTGTCATGGTCAGTGTGGTTTGGCTACATAATTTAAAAGAGCTGGTTGTTTCTGCCAGAGAGCATGTGCTAGTATAAAAAGAGCATCCTGTCTGCTGTACCACAACAATACTGGGGTGTTTGAAAGTAGAGGGAGAGGTCTCAGCCTGGCCTCATTTCAACACTTCCCCAAATCTAATTTTCATATGTATCTGGAATGTTGATGCTCCTTGGGGCATCATATACACTTTTAGAAAAGTAACCTTAGTAGGCAATGGTGACTGGTGCCCACTGGAACTGGTAGGGTGACACCAGAGCAAATGACAGAAGGGGCCAATTCTTGTTTTGTCCCCATCCTCCCTGCTGAGTTCTACAAGGGTAATAACTGAGACTAAAGAGGGAGCTGGCAGTAAGAAAGCAGTCAGGTGGGGGCTGACTGAAGGAAGGCTGGGCTTGGTTTAGGAGGGCCCTGCTTGCCCCCCAGTGAACCAGCTTCCACCACTAGTAGGGTATTCTTTCCTTCTCAGACTCCTTAATTGTGCAGTCCTAAGCATATTTACTCAGAAGTAGGTCCCTCTAAGTTTAGTGAGACTTGCTTTCTAGTAAGTGCATCTAGGATTGTGATCTAGGTCTATTTGTTGTGTGTATTTTGGTACAAACTGTTGTAGATCCTTCAGGCAGATTTGCGTGTGTGCAACTGTGATCTGAGAAGGAAGTGGGTGGGAAGGAAGTGGGCAGGGTGCCTAGTACATCAATGAAGAGAACATCCTTCAGTTTCTGCGAATGCTGAGCTGAGCTTGGGCTTTAGTTTAGATTGTGTGTGGTGAATAGAATGAACCAGATGAATAGAACCAGAGTACACTGCTTTAACATTGGAGCAGTATTACCTTTTGACAGAACCTTTTCAGGAGATATAGCTATGCTTATCAGTATTATAAGCTTGTTTCAATCTAATTTACCCTAGCAAGTTCATTTATCTTGAAACTCATCGGTTTTCCTGTCTGGTGAATAAATTCCACTTCTTTACTACCCTGGAATCAATTTCATGAAGTCACAGACACACACACTCTCATACTCATTCATATATTCAGCCTTTATTGGCGTAATATATATACGTATTAGTGTGTGTACTGTATTTCCTGAACAAAATTTGCTTGCACATACATCTACAGACAGCATCTTTGTTTTAACTCTTAAGTCAGCCTAGTTAGGTGGCCTTAGTTAATCTCTAGGAAGAGTGTCTGAATGGCTTCATAGTTCATGTACAATTTTACTTGCATCTACTGCTAGGATTTTAACTGTTTTTAATTGGCTTTAACTGTATTTATTGATAATTTTAATTCTTACAAACCGCTAGAGGTTTTATTGCAATCACATGGTATACAAATTTTGTTAAATAAAATAAGTAAGGATACCTTTTATCATACTTGTTTAGAAAACAGATTTTCACTGCCAGCTGAAGTATCCCAGAAGAACCTTGATACTGTTTGTCTCTAAAACATAAACAATAAAGAATTGCTTTAGCAATTGTAGCTAGCATTTATCCAGCACTGTTATTAAGTGCTGAAAACACTTTACAGGCATGCTATCAGCAATCCTTGCATCAGCCATGTCAGGTGGGCCAGTATTATCTGTATACTGCTAATTAAGTCACAGTGGTTTGCCAAAAGTTGCCCAGTGAATTCATGGCTAGGTTGAGTCCTGCTTTTTATCACTCTGGTAAATCAGCTGCCATAAGATTATATTAAGTTCAGTAAGTTAGAATTTCTAGAGGGGCAGGGTTCGAAATTAGCAGGTGCCAGGAGCATTTTGTGCCTAAAGTTTCTCCATTTGCGAGCACCTCAGAAAGTCTGGGTGCTTCTTTTTTACGCCTGGCCGACTCTCAAGTTTTACTGAAATTTATGTGCTTTGAAGCCTTGAAGTATATGTTAAGGATAGACAATACAGTGGTACCTCGCAAGACGAATGCCTCGCAAGACGGAAAACTCGCAAAACGAAAGGGTTTTCTGTTTTTTTGAGCTGCTTCGCAAGACGATTTTCCCTATGGGCTTGCTTTGCAAGACGGAAACGTCTTGCAAGTTTGTTTCCTTTTTCTTAACAGCGTTAATACAGTTGCGACTTGACTTCGAGGAGCAACTCATAGCACGCGGTGTGGTAGCCTTTTTTGAGGTTTTTGAAGACTTTGGTGATTTTTGAAGCTTTTCCAAAACTTTTCCGACACCGTGCTTCGCAAGACGAAAAAAACCGCAAGACGACAAAACTCACGGAACGAATTAATTTCGTCTTGCGAGGCACCACTGTATGTTAAGGAGTTTAACAATAAAGAGTAGAGTGTTTTGAAAACTGAAGTATGGTACCAATATTTTTATTGTAAACACCTAATTAAACATGTATTAATAATTTCTGCTAAAAATGTGATATTAACAATTTGTCACTTGTGTGAATTGCGTATTAAATCATGCCTATCAAAATAATAAAAAGTGTTTCCCATCCCCTCCAGTGGCCACGAGACATTCTGTTTTGGCACCCACAATCCAGGCCCCAGGAGCCACATGGCTCCTAGCTTTTCAGCCTAGTTTCTAACACTGTAGAGGGGGTAGCTGTGTTAGTCTTGTTGTTTCTTAAAGACTAGCAAATTTATTGTGGCATAAGTTTTCATTGGTTGCAGTATACTTCCTCAGATTAATTCATGCATCTGATGAAGTGGACTGTAACTCACAAAAGCTTATGCCATAATAAATGAGTACTTAATGTGCCACAAACATTTTTTTTTTTGTTAAGTTTAAAATATTTACAGTTGAACTGTGTTGTGTGCTGTGACCTGTACAGATGGTTTTCTGGTTTGCACTGACTACTATTTTCTCACGGAACTACAGGACTTCTGTCTAGAACCATTGTTCTAATAGTTTTCTTGCCATGAAACATGTAAGAAAAATTCAAAAGTGGGCTTACCACTGGTGAACAGGTTGAGTGACTCATTTCCTCCAGGTAATCAGACAGAGAAGCGCTTGGAAAGAGTTCGACTCCCTTCCACACATTTCAGGCCACTTATATGTCTCAAATAGCCTGGATGGAAAAGTGGCCTAACAAATTGTGAGCTTGTAAGCTTCTGTGAACTCATTAGCAAGGCATAGATGCCATGAATTAGAGTTGGAAGAAGTAGAAGAGCACCTCTCTGACCTAGGTCTTGCGTTCCTTGAGGAATATGCACCTTGCCTGGGCAAAGTTTAATCATTCCTGCCTCTCATACATCAAGTAAGATGTGCATATTCTCTCTCTGTCTCTCAGGTATTATTTCCGAAACTGGCATGGGACAAATGAGAAGGAGCCAGCTGTCTGTCGCAGCCTCCATCGCACAAGTGACTCTGAGGACAAGTCACAGCAAGCAAGGGGCGAGCAAGGCAGTGCCCTGCTGGATAAACCATCATTTGAGTATCTCTTTGAGCAAGTATGAAGCTTTGTTGATGTTGTTCTGTTCAGATTAAGCCTGTTATGTATCTGCCATCCCACCCTCTTTGGACTGTCCAGAGAGGTTTCCATCCTTCTTCCTTAAAATTAAGTTTCGTTGAGATTCCATGGCTTCATCTGGCAAACTTAGATATCTCTTCAGTTGCACTTTCAAAGCCATAAAGGCCTACTCCATGCTATACAGCAGATTCATCCATCTCCCCTGACCAGCCTGTGCAATCCAGACTGCAGCATGCCTTGGGCAGAGAAGAGGTACACCACAGTGAAGCGCACGCAGAAGAAATAACTCTATATGTCAGGCACTTGGAGCCTAAGTGTCTGTCAAATAGCTTAGGCGGTAAATAGCAATCCAGGAGGAAGAAATTACTTACACAAAAAATGCAAGTAAGGAAGCAGGAGTGGATAAAAGCTGTTGAAGCTACTGGTGACATCAACAGACTCTAAGCCAGCACGAGGGAAGTGATGAAATGGGGCATGCGGGGGTGGGGAGATTAGTAGACTTCTCAGCTTTCCCCCTTCCTCTGAGGAAATGTGATGCAGATAGTCAGTTCTTATATTCTAGATCTGTTTTCAGAGAGGTCAAGCCAGCCAAATGAGCCACATTCCACCAAGGAAGGAGAAACCCCTTTTTTATACTTATTAGGCAGCCTGATTCCACCTCATATATGGTGTGTAGTCAAGCCCTAAATTTTGGAAGAACTGGATGAGATAAGATGGAAATGTTTATTTCCCTCCTTTTTACACAACTGCTAGTAGTGTTGCCTACATGAGACTGCAGGTTGGATCCCTGACATCATTTGAGTTCAGATCTCCAGTAGCTCAACTTGAAGAGCCAAAGGAGAGACTGATTTGGGACCTGTTAGCTTGGGAATGTACCTCCATAATTTTTGATCTTTTTCTTCCCAGGGGAAATATGACTTCATTAACGACATTGCCTCTCTAAAAGACCTACACACTGAGCAGGAGATTCACCAGTTTAAAAATGACAGCCTGGGGATGGCTGTCCTCCACCTGTGTCACATTGCACTTAAGAGAGGCATCTCCCTTGAAGAAGTGACAGAGAGAACCAGGTGAATTATTGTGGGGATGGGACAAGTAGTTGTGTTTATGGTGTGCTTCCCAATCCAGTAATCCCAAACTGCTTTGCAGAGGGTTGTTGGTATGTCCTCTCTCCCCCCATCTTCACTTGAAGTGTGGCATTGATACACATGGGTTGGTCGTCCCGCTTACTGTGTTTGTTTCTCTTGCAGCTTCAAGGAGTGCATCCCCCGTTCTTTTTGTCGGCAGATTCAGCAAAACAATTATCTGACCAAATTCCGCATGAGGAATGTTTTTAAGAAGTTCTTGCAACGTTTCCAGAGACATACAATGAGCTCTGGCAAGCTGACGGAACAGGACATCATGTATAAGTACCTGGTGACCTTGGAGAACCTGGCCCCACGTTTTGGGAGTGAGTTCTTCATGGTCCTCTCACTGGAAACTGTTTCAGAGGGTGAGAAGGTGCCACTTTACATCAATGGTGGGCACACACTTCTGGAGAACTTCCATTCCCCTCCTCCCAGTGACAGGCTTGCTACGCATGAGGTTCTGGTCACGGGCACAGATGGCATTCAGTGGCGTCCCATCTCTGCTGAGGTATGTTCATTTGTGAGTTCATCACCACCTATTGTCATCAGTAACAAGCTCTCCATCCCTGGGCACTGGGACTCCACTTCCTGGATTGGAAAGCCATGTTGAGTACTTAACTTTATTTGGCACAATACATTAATTTTGCTCTGGCTTTTAGCTCACTTCTCAGGGGATCAGGGCAAGTAATAATCAGTTAATGAAAAGCCCAAGTTACCAATAGTTAAGCCAGGAAGTCAGGTCAACCCAAGCTGAATTGCAGTTATATCTTTCCTGTACTAGAGCAAGAGTCACAAAAAGATGGGGGTTGGGAATCAGGTTACTGGTTCAAAATATAGGTCTGAATAAACTGAACCTGACATGGTTAGTAAACCCTAACCATGATGATGTAGATGTGAGACTTAAGTTTAGAAGCGTTTTGCACATTTTGCGTTTGTCTTGACTAATTTGTCCCTTTCAAGAAGCAATTTGCAGGGTGCAAAGCTGCACATTGTGGCTGTTATTCCTGCCATCACTCTAGCCTTTGCTTTGACTTTGGAGGCAGGGATTGTCTCATCCTGACATGTGTTTCACTTCAGAGGCACTTCAAAAGAAACCTGAGGACCTTGGGCTAAACTTTTGATCTCTGACCTAAAATACGTGCTCACCAGTGGTGAACAAGTGCACTGTGGTTGACCATATAGTTGAAAATAAGTAGGCTAGTTGGCTGGTTGCCTCTGATTGGATAGCAGCCAGAAGCTTCAGTCTTTAAGCTGACTCAGCCTTCGGAGACACACTTTGAAGAGCAAGTTTTTCAGAAAAGTGAAGAGTGTGTCTTAGTAGCAATAAAAAATTCCACTCAATGCCACCGCAGTGCATGCCATTCTGTGGGTCTTTACACTCTTGATACCAAAGTCATGCCAGGTACATCTTAGATGTGGTAATTGAACATAAGCATAGAGAGAAGTTCCTTAAGTATTCTGGACCTGAGTCGTTTAGGGCTCTGGCACCATTAGTTGAGTTTTAAAGTCACTACAGAATTGGTGGAGATTGTGGAGCACTGGCAAATGTGCTCCCAATGATCCAAGGTAAGCCACAGCAGTTTGTAGCCACAGAAACTGCTTCTTGGGAACTTGAACCTCCTGGCAGAAACATCTCTAAATCAGAAACTCAGGGTGGTATCCAACGAAGTATGGATACTAGTATGGATACTAGTGCAAGGATTTCAGCTTGTGCAATTGAGTTTTCCCCTTGCACAGTTCTGTTGCGTAGCCAGAAGTCCTTGCTCTAGTGGAAGTACTCTGTTGGATACCACCTCAACTATATTACAGCAAAAAACAGCAGCATAAAATGGTGGGGAAAATGAATTCCTTCATGGGTATTATGCCACTGTTGCTATTCTGGACATCCTCACTCTCCAAACTATCCACCTAGCTATGTGCATGCTTCTTCTCAGCAGTAGAACTTTAACAGGGGCCAAAAAGATTCAGAGGCTGGGAAATACTCAGCTTCTGGAAAATGCTGGTCAACTGTCACAGGAGCCAGCAGCAAGCACATTTGGCAAATAGCAGAGAGAAACAAGGTACACAGCTCACTTCAGCTAGCAGCTCTTTTATTAGTGTCAACACAGAAACACACCAAGATTCATGAAGTATACTCCTGCAGCATGAGCTGTTGCCCAAAGTGGCTAGCTTCTCCCATCCTGTCTATTTTCCATGCTTCAGACCTCAAGGGACCCTCTTTGTTTCTGCCTGGTTTTCTGTTCTGTTATGTGGAGTAATTGTCTTGTTTTAGAGGTGAACAGTGGGTCTGGGAGGCTGTAAAGGGACAAGCTGTCAGCTGGTGCTGATGTTGCCTTTATTAGACCTGATTCCTATCCTTGCTCAGGGCCGGGGCTTCTGTGTGTTTCCTCCTGTTCCTCACCCTCCTGACTCCCAGCTTCCAGTATTTCCCAGTCCTCCTCCTCCTCCTCTGGGGGGTTTCCTGTTTCCCACCACCATAAACCTGAGTCCAAACTGTCCTCTCCTGCATTTTCCCTGGAAGCCTCTTGGGCAGGCAGTCTCCACCACTCCTCTTCTAGCCAGTCCCTGACATCAGCCAAATCTTGCATTTTCACTATGTGTATAGCATGACCTAGTGCCCTAAAATCCTCAAAGCTCAATAGTAGGGTAATTTGTTTTCCTCCCTCTTTCAACCCTGAAACTGCCTTTGGAGCTACCTGTGCTGCAGCGCTGGTGTGACAGTCCTGGAGCTTGGGCTCTTAGCTCTGTCTTTCTTTTGTAGAGATTGGAAAGCCATCCCCATAGAGGTTATTTGGGGGAAAAGGCCAGGACTAAAGACCACAAGCAGGCTTACCAGCCAATGGAACGACGTGAATCCAAATGGGTACACTTCTGTGACTTCCAGGAGATCACACACATTGTTATCAAAGACTGCAGAGTCAGCATCCACCGTCAAGACAATAAGTGCCTGGTAGGTGGGAATGTGTCCCTCTGCTACTCACCTCGATTCATTTACAATTACTTCTGTGAACTGTTGGTGACTGACCAAGAACGAGGCCTTCAGGTGACAGCAGGTATCTGAATTATGCCAATTCAGTGTGTAGCAGCCGTGGAAAAGGCAAATTCCATTACAGTGGACCCTCCAGATACAAACTTAATTCATTCCGGGGGTCCGTACGTACCCCAAAAAGTCCGCAACATGAGGCTCTGCTTCTGCGCGTGCACGTGGTGCAATAGAGCACTTCTGCGCACGCATGTGAGGTGAAACCCAGAAGTATACAGTTCCGGGTTTGCCGCGTTCGCAACCCGAAAGTTATGTTACCCGAAGGTAAGGTAAGCTGAGGGTCCACTGTACTAGGGTTTGTTAGGAAAGGGATTGAAAAATAAAACTTGCAATATCATGATGCTTTTATACAAACCTGTGGTGCAACTTCATTTGTAATATTGTGTAAAGTTCTGGTTGCCTCACCTCAAAAGGGATAGGTCCGAGTTGGAAAAGGTTCAGAAAAGTGCAATGAAAATGATCAAGGTATGAAAAAAGCAGATAAAGAGAATTTTTTCTCCCTGTCTCATAGCACTAGAACTCAGGGACATTGAATGAAGCTAAGTTTTGGAAGATTGAGGACAAATGAAAGTAGTTCTTCATACGTGCATAAAGAGGATCAGATAATTCTTGGAGGATAAGGCTGTCAGTGACTACAAGCCACAGTGGTTATGTTATACCCCCAGTATGTTTCTAAATATCAGCGGCTGGGAATCACGTGTAGAGAGTGTTTTGTGCTCATGTCCTGTTTGAGGGCTTCCCATAGAGATCTGGTTGGCCACTATGAGATCAGACTACAAATTCTGTGCATATGGAATCTCAAAGGTGCATACTCTGGGCTGCTAGACTAGAACTAGACATTAGGGATATGCACAGTTTGGTTCACTTCCCCCATGTCCTGGTGTCACAACAGTATATTTATTCATAAAAATTATACACTACTTGATTGTAAAAAAAAATTCAAAGTAATTTACCATGGTACCTTGGTTGTGAACTTAATCTGTTCCGGGAGTCCATTCGACTCCTGGAACCGTTCAAAAACCAAGGTGCGGCTTCTGATTGGCTGCAGGAGCTTCTTGCACTCAACGGAAGCTGCGGAAGCTGCATCAGATGTTCAACTTCCGAAAAATGTTCACAAACTGGAACACTCATTTCCAGGTTTGCGGCTTTCGGAAGCCGATTTGTTCAGGAGCCAAGCCGTTCGAGAACCAAGGTACCACTGTACAAAAAAGACAAAACACTTAAATTACCACAAACAAAAATTAGCAATAATTTAATACTTTTGAAAAGTTAAAACAATAATAGTCTAAAACCAGATTAAAACACACAGCAACTTTCTAAACTTGCAAAGGCCAAAAAAGTACAGTGAAGGCTCCTGCCTTATAGCAATAGGCAGGAAGTTAGTTCCAAAGTATAGGTGCTGCCACATGAAAAGATCAAGTTACTACAAATGTGAAGCAGGTATGATGTGGTACCTGAAACAGTGCCAATGCCACAGATCAGAGTGGCTGAGTAGGCACATATGGCATAAGGCAATCTCATAGGATTGCCATCTTTCTCCAATGGAAATTTTCCCCAGAGCATTCAGGAACATAATGGGTTCCATCAGTTTCTGAGGGCAGGTTATCAGAATGGGCCCACCACCCTTACATGTGATGGATGTGTCTGTTCAATGTTGCCTTGTATGACTGATCTGCAACTTTTAGAGACCCTTTTAGAAACAACAAGTTCAGCTGGGTAGGTTGAGTAGCTCTGTTCAGTTGTAGAGCACCTTCTTTGCATACAGAAGGTCCCAGGTTCAGTGTCCAGCAACTCCAGGAAGGATTGGTGGAGACACTTGTCTGACAACCTAGAGAGCTGCATGCCAGTCAGTGCATTCTATGGAATGAAATTTATATGAAGAAGAAGAAAATAGAAATAAAATTTAAAAACCATCCAGCATCCAGCACAGCACATTGCTATTGCTACAACAGGCAGTAAAATCATCAAGTGGTCTTTCAAGACCATCAGCAATTTTCAGGTGGTACATGGAAAAAACAGCCTGGAAAACACTGGCTTAAAGCACTGTAGCTTCCCAAGGGCCTTCAGCCCAGCATTGTGGCCCAGGACTAATGCTTAATGACTGTGCTTTCAAAAAAATTTCTATCTAGGATCTGACTCTTTCATCCTACGAAGCTGCCCTCTCCTTGATTTCACTGGTGGATGGTTATTTCAGATTGACAGCTGACTCTAACCATTACCTGTGCCATGAAGTAGCCCCGCCCCGGTTGGTAATGAGCATTCAGAATGGTATCCACGGACCCATGCAGTAAGTGATCTCTGCTTAAGCCATTCAACATTTTCTTCTCAGAACTTGGTTTGGGACAGGGGTCTCCACAGGCCATATCTAAAATGTTTTCTTTTCCTAGTGAAGAATTTATTATGGCTAAACTGAAGCGAGAAGAACAGGAGGATGGCCTGTATGTCCTTCGCTGGAGCGTCCTTGATTATAATAGATTGATCTTGTCGGTATTGAGGAGAGGCCAGGTGAGATTTGTGGAAGTGGTTGTGGCCTGTTCTAATTCTATAGGTTGTGTAAAGCAACTTCCCCCTGCATCCCCTGTTCACCTCTTAAATAGTTTCTGAGTTTTCTCTCAATCCTCCGGAGCAGATCTGGGTACAGAGCAGGGAGAGGAGAGGCAGGGAGGTTGTTTCACTTGCACATTTATTTTGTTGAATACAGCCCTTGTCCTTGATGCTTTGTGAATGAGCCTTTTCCAAGTATGAGTATGTTGCTGTTGATTCTGAGCAGGGTGATCAATCTGTGCTAGGCTACTGGCAGTATATTGTCCAACCAATTTCATACAAAGAAATAAAGATAATGGAAAGCCACTGGGGAAACAGGACTGAGGTTCTTGTGTCTGCTGTATGTCCATAAAATGGAATTGAGCAGATGAAAAATGAAACTTGATAAGCAGTTGTAAGCCATGGTTGCTCAGATTGGTTTTGTGTGATGTCTGCATTGATTCACAGAGTACGCTTTATGGTTGCATTAATAAGTCAACTAAGATTGCTGACTCTAGTTTCCCACAATATAAATGTGTTAGTCACTTGTTTCCAAAAAGGTTTGGAGGTTGTTGTTGGAAAACTCTGTAACATACCCGTGGCTCACCACTTGGGGACCATTCTTACTTACTGCAGGCAAACACCAGAGTTGTTATTTGCAAACCTCAGTTAGCACTTTTAATGAACTCTTAAGATCATTAATGCTATTGAACAGGCAGTTCTTTTAACAAATTATAGTACTTTGTTATAATACAGTCTGTACATTATTATATTTTTTATAAGGCAAACTGAAAACCATTAAAAATAGATTGGGTTTGATTCAGAGTTAATCACGTGTAACAGGTGTAGCTGACTTTTGTGACTGCCTCCTCCCCAGGGCAGCCTACCAAAAATGCTCCTCAGAAGGTCAAGGGACCCTGCTGAATGGGGTGGGTTCATAGCAAGGGGCTTGAGGTGGAGGGGAGAGATCCCCGGAAATCAGGTTGATGCAGCTTTTGAAGCTGGAAGCTGTGCTTGTAGAAAGTGATTTGGTCTGAAACAGCTGTGCTCATGCTTTTCATGAAGATCGAAGGAGTAAGAAGCATGTTCCTGTGGTCTGCTGACTTCTGATCATTGGGACAAATAGGGGGGTGTAAAGTTTGAAATGCCTGTGAGTGGGACAGGCATTTGGGGAGAGATGTGTTCCATGGTCTGCATATTTCAAGCAAGGCTGCTGGCTGGGCATGTAGGCTAGTGTCCAGCTCTTACTCTCTCTCATGCTTCTTGTTTGCCACAGTCCTTCCAGAGCCAGGATGCCACAAGCTACAGACAGTTCCGAATCCAGAAGAAGGGGAATTCCTTTGTGCTAGAAGGCTGGGAGCAAGAGTTTCCAAGCATCCAAGAACTGATGAATGCCCTTAAAGGCTGTACTCTGAGATCTGGAAATGAGACCTTCATTTTCCGCAGGGGGTCTCTCCCAAAGCCAGGAGGTATAAGTCAAGAATTGTAAATACTGTTCCTTTTACAGTGACCTAGTGATATTCTCCCAAAGATAATCTGGCTACATGAATATAGTATAGAAACAGAAGAGGTGAATCTGCTACACAGCATAGGGCCTTTTTCTTACCACAAGGCCTTGTAATTGTTTAGCATTTTACTGAATATCCAGCAGTTCAGGGGATTCAGATGTTGGTCCAAGGCATAATTACTGCTGAAGTTGCAGCTTTTTAAAACCACAGTCATGGATAATGTAGACCAGACTTTAAACAGAAGTATGTGGCCACATTAACATGGTGGTTTCTGGGTACTTAACCAGAATTAAGCACTATCTACACTGAGAGTACTATTGGATATCAAGGGAAGCAGCATCCCTAATCTGCATTTTTTACTGTAGGTTAAGAATAAACTTGGACCTCCAATATACTTCGCTTGCCTAGGTCTAGATCTAGGTATAAAATCAACATTTGTAATTGAAAGAACTAGCAGCCACAAACCTTGGGCTTGTGTTCTTCTCCAGCTCTAACAGGAGAATAGCTAAAGCTTCTAGTCAGGGTTTCATGTTGATATGTTTTAATTGCATTTTCTCATTTCACACAAATACAGGAAGCTCTGGTTTGTACAAACTATAGCTAGTGAAGAAACTGGGGTATCAAACTAGGATTAACCTGTGGTTTAATACCATGGTTTCTTAACTATGGTTTTAATAAACCACAGTTTTCTGTATAGAGAGGAAACCGAGGCTTGTTTTTATGTCTGAATCAGGCCACTGTGTGAGAACATATCCAGGATAGCCTCTATTCTTTCTTGTCATGTTGTTTTCCAGAAGTAAAACCTCTCTGTTAGTTGTGTGAACTAACTATTATTTCATGAACAAGAATCACCTGAGCTTTTCAGGTTCTTCACTTTAGCACCATCCTTTCCAGCGCACTCTGTTTGGGCGAGCTTTAAGAAACCCCATTAGTAGGCTTACACAGGGCTTCTGCTTGTGCAGTCGGGCTTCCTCTCCCCCTTCCCACCTCCTGAAATTGGCTCTGGGTGGGGGCAGGAGAACCCCCAGAACAGCATGCAGTGAAAGAGAGGGGATCTGGCAGGCTGCACTGCTTCTGCAGTGGAACATTAAATTCCACCCAGTGTCTTGAAAGAGGTGCTAATTTAGCAACAAGATATTGACAGAAAGAAGCTGTATTCAGGGAGGAATGCTGATTAAACTCACTTAGGGAATTCCTTAAATTAAAACCTCTTAACTCTCATTGGGTAGCAGCATGCAGTTACTGATTATTATACCCTCCCATATACAAGTTTCTGTTTGTGAACAAAGTTGTGAAATACTTTCTTAGAAATGGTCTGCTTTTCTGTTCTGTTCTGTTCTTGGTTTTTTTTAGTGTGCTTTTGTAGATCTGATCTTTGGGACTAATCTCTCTCCTACAGAGATCTCAGACCTGCTGATCACACGAAAAGTGAAGGACAGCACCCGACAAATTCTGAACTTGACGCAGCTGAGCTTCCATCAGATCCGAAAGAATGAGATCACCCAGGTCAGCACTGTTGTCTTGTGACTTTTGTGGGGGATGAAGGATTAGGATTATAAAGGTGTATCAACCTGGAAACGACCTAACATTCTCTTTTCATGCAAGGAACTTTAATCCCAAGTCTTCTGACCATGCAGTATGCTAATTTTGATGTAATGCCAAACTAAGGCTTAGGAACCTATTAGACAAGTTGCTTAGATGTTGCTTATGTGTCTAGTCTCATGGCTTCCAGTATGAGTTTTATGCCTTCCAGGGGGTGGAAATTGACTTCACTGTGTGCCTAACAAGCATTGCTGGAAGACAGAAGTTGGTTTTACTGTGATATAACAGAGCTATGAATCCTGTCTTTAGTTCTAGTTGGAGTGAAAGATTCACAGGAAACCATGGTGGGTTATAGGACTGGGATGTGGGTTGGTGGGGGGTTTTGTTGACTTTTTGTTGTTACTGTTATATTATTTTTGTAGCTTTGTTTTTAGATCTTATAATGTGGAAATTGTTCAAACTGGTTGTGTACATTTTGATGTTTTATATTTATTGTTTATGACTACTTTTGTTATGTTTGTAAATCTTTCCATCTTGTAAGCTGCCTTGAGCATGATCTTAACTATGGAAAGGTGGCATACAAATAAAATGATGATGATAACACATCCATGTCTTAAATCTCCTTCAGAGAGCTCACCTGGGACAAGGGACGTGCACCAACATTTATGATGGAGTGCTGCATGTATGCGGTGCAGCTAATGGTGATGATGAGACGGAATACTACTCTACCGAGCAGAACAACAACAATCGTGAGATGCATGTAGTACTCAAAGTGCTTGACCCTAGCCACAGGGACATTGTCCTGGTGAGTTGTTATTGGCAGCTGTCTATCTCAAAAGACAATGGAGTATGCCTCTGGGCAGGGGAGGAAATCAAACCGCTGCATTAGTAGCACCAGAGTTACCTCCCTAAGGTGCAAGCCTGGGCGGTGTGTGTGGGGGTCCTGGGCTGCCCAGGCAACAAGACTCCCCTTTCAACCTCACTGATGTGGTCTAAAGGAAAGCAGAGCAGTGCGTTTGGCACCAGCTTGTTTGCAGGAGTTCCCAGAAGGAGCCATACAAGGTCCCATCCAACTGTCTTAGGGACTCCACTCTGGATTTGAGTAGGGTTTAAAGTAAAGGTAAAGGGACTTCTGACCATTAGGTCCAGTCGTGATCGACTCTGGGGTTACAGTGCTCATCTCGCTATATTGGCCGAGGGAGCTGGTGTACAGCTTCCGGGTCATGTGGCCAGCATGACTAAGCCGCTTCTGGCAAACCAGAGCAGCACACGGAAATGCTGTTTACCTTCCCGCCAGAGAACCTATTTATCTGCTTTGACGTGCTTTCGAACTGCTAGGTTGGCAGGAACAGGGACTGAGCAACGGGAGCTCACCCTGTGGCAGGGATTCGAACCGCCGACCTTCTGATTGGCAAGTCCTAGGCTCTGTGGTTTAACCCACAGCGCCACCCATGTCCCATTGAGTAGGGTTTATTCCTTAGCATTTTCTTCTTCCAAAGATGTCCTGCAAGTCAGTAGAGTTTTCCTGCTCCTAGATGTGCTACCTTCCCAGGTTGACAAGCCCCATCTGTCATCTTTTTGACCATTAGATCCACATTGCTCTTGTTCGCTCAATCCACCGGAGCCTGTCTTTGCATACAGGAGAAGTTCCTAACTCACTAAGGGTTTGAAACCCATAAGCTACTCTCACCTGGTTTAGCTGGCCAGTCAAAGCTGTTCCAAGGGTGTGGCTGCAGTCACATGCTTACAGCTTCTAGGAGCCACAGGTGAGAACTAAGTGTAGGGTAGGGACCAAAGGTGGACAAACTACTCCAGAAAGAGCAAAATGTGTCCCCCACCAGAGATACTACCCCTCCCCATACACCCCATACATCCCTTTCTAATAAGCAAATTGGAAAGAGAAAGGGAGTAGGCATCTTAAAACTGTAGCAGGGGAGCCAATAGGTATCCTAGCTGTCTACTTGTATGGAGTGTGTCTGTATGGAGTGGGAAGGGGAAGCTCTAGGGGGTTAATGGCAGGTTAATGGCAGGAGGGTTGGTGAGTGGAGCAAATGGGTTCATCTTCCAATTTGTCTATATAGTCATTTGGATAATGAACTCTTAGGAGAAAACATGTTCTTGTCAAATGTGATGATCAGTGCGCTGGCAACTAGTTTTTATTTTACTTATTTTATTATTTAGTTACATTTTTCCCTTTTGTTTCCAGAATTGCTACCTCCTTTTGCTAAAACAAATATAATTACAGCAGTGTGATTATAAAAAAGTAAATGCAAGATACATTTTGAACCAGAACAGATCTCTAGCTAGCTTTATTTTTTAGAAAATGTTTGTTTATGAAGTTTATTTGTCTTGATGGCAAATGCAAATGGCAGATAAAAAATTAACTGCACAACACTGGAAAAGGTAAGAAGAGCTGCAGAATTGTTATTGGGCTGGGAATCCAATCAGTAGTTGCTGGAATCCTGGTCCTGTGCTAGGATTGAAGTGCCCCAGTTGCGTTCCTTGGATAACAGCTCTCATGTGATGGCCTCCCTTCTGTCCTCTGCAGGCATTCTTTGAAACAGCAAGTCTGATGAGCCAGGTTTCCCACATCCACTTGGCTTTTGTGCACGGGGTTTGTGTGAGGGGCTTAGAGAGTGAGTATTAACTGCTTTCTGTTATGTGGCTTCTCCCTGTATAGCTCACTGAGATGTAATTGTCTTGTGTTCTCAGCTGCCCTGCATGTTTCACTATTTTATTCTTACGGTCCTGCAGTTTTTTATTATTTGAGAAATACCGTGTGTTTCATTTTGTATTTGGGGAAACAGTGTCAGACTTCCACCCACTTATCCATGTTTATTCATGTCTTGACAGATTACTTTGGAAGACAGTTGCCTGTGGTTCATCTTCCTTTTGTGGTTGTCTTAGATCTATGAGAGCAACCAAAATAGCCTTTTCCCATTTCCATTCATGTTCTTCAGCCAGTATGTTACCCACTGCTGAGAAGCAGCAGTACTAAACCTATATTGTTTTTGGATTATCACATTTCTTCCTTTTCCTGCTTTCAGATATAATGGTGGAAGAGTACATTGAGCATGGGCCCCTGGATGTCTTCTTGCGGAAAAACAAAGGGCGGATAACAGTGGGCTGGAAATTCACAGTTGCTGCACAGTTAGCAAGTGCCCTGAGTTACTTGGTAAGTCTCCTTAGAAGGGTTTGGAGCCAACCTTCTGGAAGTGTCAGATCTTCACTATAGGTGTATACCACCTTATGCCACGTTAACTGCCAGGGCTTACCCCTGACACTGGGATGCGGGTGGCACTGTGGGTTAAACCACAGAGCCTAGGACTTGCTGATCAGAAGGTCGGCGGTTTGAATCCCTGCGATGGGGTGAGCTCCCGTTGCTCGGTCCCTGCTCCTGCCGACCTAGCAGTTCGAAAGCATGTCAAAGTACAAGTAGATAAATAGGTACCACTCCAGCAGAAAGGTAAACGGTGTTTCCGTGCGCTGCTCTGGTTCGCCAGAAGCAGCTTAGTCATGCTGGCCACATGACCTGGAAGCTGTACTCCCGCTCCCTCGGCCAATAAAGCGAGATGAGCACTGCAACCCCAGAGTTGGTCATGACTGGACCTAATGGTCGGGGTCCCTTTACCTTTACCTTTACCCCTGACAGGGATGTGGCGTCTTGAGGAGAGTGTTGCTTAGACTGTGTTCCTTCCCTTACCTGCCAGAACTTCAGTTCTCTTGGGGAGAGAAATAACTATGAATCTAAACCTACCTTGTAAACTATGACATTGGAAACCACCTTGCTTGGGAGAAGCAAGAGGGGCAGAACTGTCCACTAGCGATTATCTTAGAATCCCACAACCTGATCGATACGGATAACAGAACAGGAGATGGTTATCCATTGTCAAACCATTTGGGGCTTATCGGTTTTTGGGATCCTGCTTTGAAGCAAGAATTCAGAGTTTCATGCTTTTTTGACCCCTTCTGAGTCTGTGATTCTCAGGCTTGAAGTGCCTGAATCAGCCAGAGGCAGCAACACTTGCAGTTCAAGGTTGCTTTCCCTGATGTTTGGGTAGGGCAGGGGCAGCAGCATAGAGACATGGACAGTAGACCAGTTGCTTAAAAGAACTTTTAAGGTTTGGCAAGGAGGCCCAGCTGACTACTGAACCAGTTAGCTTTCTGCTTTTTGCTTAGCGATCCCCTTGGGGAAACGGAGGCACAATGGATCAACGGCCGAGTTGCAAGTAGGCATGCTAAAGAGACAGGGCTTCTCACAGACTAGTTTTCTGCATCTATTTAAACAGGAAGGCAAAAACCTGGTGCATGGCAGCGTATGTGCCAAGAACATCCTATTGGCCAGGAAAGGTTTGGAAGATGGCTCGACCCCCTTCATTAAGCTCAGCGACCCTGGAGTCAACTTTGCTGTGCTCTCCCAAGAAGGTAGACCCAACTCTTCAGAGGGCTTTTTCCCTTTTCACGTTCGCTTTCACTGGAGGTGCATGGTTTTGGAGTTGAGCAGAGGGAATTAATTTGGACACAGTGTCCCTGTTTGCGTATCGCAGGAGGTAGGTCATGGTGTATAGTTTGCTGTGAGTGAGCATTGTGCCTGACACCATTCTCTGGCAGCAGCTCCGCGTCCCATCTCCAAAACCAGCTTCTTCAGAAGCAGGTGGGTGCAGGTGTGGGTGGGTGTCTGTTTAAAGAAAGGGAATGTCTGCCTGCTTGTGATCTGCTTCCAGTGTCGGGCAGCTGCACTTCCGAGTATTGCACCACATCTCTTGCTAACCATTTACTCATTTCATTTATAAAACTTCAAAGTCACTGTATATCATTCAGTGACACACAATAAGCCCACAACTTGCACACATTTCACTTGTGCAGATTCAGATTTACTCGTTCCATTTTTTTTTAAAAAAGTAAAAAAACAAAAAGTGGGTTCCGAGAAAATTGAATTTGGGAATCCCACCTTCCACCCAGTGGAATTTGACTATATACAATTTTGGCTTTAGGCGCAATCCCTGCAACACAACCCCTGTGCAAGTTGCAGGCTTACTGTGTTACTCGAACATGACAAAAAACAATATAGACAGCATAAAAGCCAGTGGCAGCATAATTCACCCTTTTTTTCCCCCTCAGCGTTGTTTCTAATATGTGAGGAATCTGTCCTCCATTTATTGGTCTGTTCAACTTCTTCAGCTTGCTATTAAAGCGTGCTCCCTTTGAAGTGTCCTAAGTACCGTATTGGCCTGAATATAAGCCTCACTCTCCCCCCAAATTCTGACTGAAAAGTTAAAGTGTGGCTTATATTCACGACCTTACAGTATGCAGCCAGGAGCATGGGGCAAACGGTTCCAGGAGTGTGGCAAAGCTGCGCCCAGCTCATGCATAGTTCCCCCATCCTCCCCGCAAGGCCGGGAAGGGAGAGAGTGAGGAAGGAAGGGGAAAGGCTCCCCCTCCCAAGTATGCAGCCAGGAGCAGTGAGGAATGGAGCAGCTTATATTCGGGTATTTTTTTCCTTTTTTTTCCTCCCCCCCCCATTTTAAAGGTGCGACTTATATTCAGGTGCGACATATATTCGGGTCAATACGGTAATAGTCTGCAGAGCCTCCTTTAATAGGTGGAAAATGCATCCCAGAGAAATTCCAGAAAAGATGTTTGCTTGGCTTTGTCAGAACTGAGAGTACGTAACTGAGTTGTGTCTTGTAGCAACCAAAACAAGCATCTAGTTAAGACTCTTAACTGGAGAAGAATAGCTCTGTACTGAAGGAGTAGATTCCTCTAAGGCAGAGGCTTCCTGCACTGGCATAGACTTCCCCAACCTTTGGTCCACAAGGGTTGCTGCACTACAAACCCTCTCTTCCCAGACCAACGGCTACGGATGATTGGGGAAAACTGTGCTTATCCCATACTTGTGAAAGTGTAGTTCACACCTTTCACCTCCATATCTGAGGGAAAATAATTCCATGAGTCAAGTGGCTATATGTACAGGCCTTCATGTGGATTGTGCACATTGCGCATTACATCCTATGGCAATCCACATGAACACTGCCTAGGTGAGTGTCTGAGTGTCCTTTCTGTCATACCTTCAGCAAAACTAGGACTAGTATTAAATATGTCAAATATTGCCTGCTACAGTGGTACCTCAGTTTTCAAGCGTCTCGAAAGCTGAACGTTTCGGTTTTCGAACGCTGAAAACGTGGAAGTAATTGCTACCGTTTTTGAACGCGCCTCGGAAGTCGAATGGCTCCCGCTGCGTGCTTTTCAGTTTTTCCAGTTGAATTTGCAGTCAGCCCTTTGCGCCTCAGTTTTCAAATGTTTTGGAAATCGAACGGTGTTCCGGAACGGATTACGTTTGAGAACCGAGGTACCACTATATTTGTATTTACTTATATGTTATCCATTGGGGGATTTCTAACTCTTGACTTACGGTGACGGCTTAGCAAGCAGGCTTCGGAGCTCCGCAGATAACAGGACTGTAATTAGCATTGACTGCCACCCAGGGAAGTAATTTTTCCTTTTTTACTTCTCTACTTTTTAACTTACTGAGATTCTAACAGCACCTTCTTGTCTATGCTATGAGAAACATCCTGGGCAAGTTCTGTGAAGCATCCTGGGCAGGCCGCCAGCTGCTAGCTATTAACCGCCAACTCCCTTCTATACCTTGTTCCTGAAACTCCTGGCAGCCTCCACACAGAGAAGCTCTTAAATTGAACAAACTGAGCACTTTCTAACTCTTGACTTTCCTTCTTGCAAGAGCGAGTTGACAGGATCCCATGGATTGCTCCGGAGTGTGTCAAAGACGTAAACAACCTCAGTACAGCAGCTGACAAGTGGAGCTTTGGTACCACACTGCTGGAGATATGCTTTGATGCGGATGTGCCACTGAAAGAACGTACCGCCTCTGAGGTAGCATCTGCCTCTGCTCTCTTTTTTGCTCCTTTATTTAAAAAAAATATTATTTATTGAGTTTTTGCATTGATTATTTGTATACATATTCCTTTCGTTCTTCAAAATACGTTATCTTATACACAAATGTAAACCAAAATAAATCAATACTTCTTCGCAGGTGACTTCCCTCCACCTCATTGCGGCTCCTTACTTCTTCCTTATCTTTTTAACTGGGTCCCCCCCCCCTCATTTCACTTCTCTTACATAATATATGTTATCTATCTGTTATTTACTTGGCAAAAAAATTAGTCGAAACACATCAAATATTGTTTGAGAACAATGTTTTTCCAAGTACCCTTTAAAACAGTAGGACCTCCTCTATCTTGCCCGCAGGACTTGGAACAGGGTGCCTGCAGAGAGTAGCTAACCTATTCCAGAGCATCATCAAATTCTGGGATGTATCTACTGGGCAGGATCTGAGCTGTAACTCTTCCATAGGAATGTTGTGCCAGTTTGTTGTTGGGTTTGGCTTGCCCAGTTTACAGGTGCATACTGTACTTTTCTGTCTATAAGACACCCCCATGTATAAGACATTGGGGGGGCTCAAATTTAAGAAAATTGGGGGGGGGAGATGGGACAGAGTTCAGCTTTTTTGTGGAGGATTGCCCAGAGTTGTTCAGATTTTGGGGGGGAGAATTCACCTGAGTCCTGCCGAACTGAATATCACTCACCCAACTGGCAGACGCTAACAATCGCAAGCAACGAAAGCCAAATTGCCAAAGCGGCAGCCAATCAAAAGCAGCCCTTGCCACATCCGCTAATAACCCACCCATTTGACAAAGCAGCAGCCAATACAAAGCAGCCCTTGCAGCAGACACCATTCACCCACCCAATCGCTAGATCCTGCTCGCGGATGCAACTAATGGCCCTCGCCCCTCAGCAGTACCCATGTATAAGACGACACCCCCACCCCACCCAATTTTTTGCTTTATTTTGGAGTAAATAACCCTCGTCTAATACATGGAAAAGTACAATAACTTGGGGGGAGATCTTGATTTCTACACCCAAAAGCAAAGCATATTCTGTGAGCAAAGCGCACACACTGAATTATTTAGCTCATAGCTGAGCTGTGAGCTAGGAAGTTCCCCAGCTGTGAACTTGCCAAGTGGCTTGAGGCAAGCTGCTATTCTTCCATCCTAATCAGCACTAGGGCGATAGTAATACCTTACAAGATTGCTGTGAGGATTAAAGTGCTTTACATACAAATAACACTCTTAATTGTGCAGTGCTGTGCGTGTATGCTCAGAGATTAGTCCCATTTAATTTAATGGCGCTTACTCTCAAGTAAGTGGTTATAGGATTGCATAAATGCTAAGTAATATTGGGTAGAGAAGCCTAAAATTGCTGAATTTACATTTTGTTTTGTGGTTGTAAATTTAGTTGGGAGTTGTGTGGCTTTTTATTATTATTTTCCATAACATGCTGGGGGGAGGGTTGGTCAGGAACTAGAATAATGGAAAATTATGCAGGACTAGTGTGCTTAGAGCAATTTTCATGGCCATAGAAAGCAAGTTAATGGTTTTTCTTTTTCGTAGGAGAATATAGCGCCTATATTCTTGTCTGTAGTTTTTGCTATCATTATTGTATTTATGTGAGGGTTTTTTGCTTCGTATTTTTTCTGGTTTGGTATTATATGTTCGTTTTATTTATTGTTTATTTGTATGACGCGTAAGTGTAAATAAAGTATTGGAAAAAAGCAAACAAGTTAATGGAATGCAGCTATGCTCTTTCGAGCCTTAGGTTCACATGTCCCAATTTAGACATATCTGTATGACCCAGAAATGCAAACATTTTCAACTTGTAAGCCTGGTGTTGCAATGCAACAGACTCCTTTAATTCATAACTGTGTTCCTTTTTGCAGAAAGAGCGTTTTTATGAGAAGAAACATCGCCTTCCAGAACCATCTTTCAAAGAACTTGCTACCTTAATCAGCCAGTGCCTGAACTATGCTCCTGGGGAACGGCCTTCCTTTCGGACCATCTTACGAGACCTTACACAACTGCAGCCACATAGTAAGGATTCCAGAGGGCTCTAGGATACTGAAAGAGCAGCTTTCAGACATCTGATATAGTGTGTCCTTACCCCACCCCTCTCCCTGGGAGTCTCACAGTGCCATAGAAGGGGTTGTCTGCAAACTGGGCCAGTTAATGTGTGAGAAGAACAAACAATCCCTTTGTTTGTGGCCTCATCACAGTTGATTCAGTTGGAGTACCAGTGAAGTCTGGGACTGTACTAATTAAAGTGTAAAACTTTGTTAACACAAACTACAGCATAAAATACTGAATTCGGAGCAAGATGTAAAACTCAAGAAAAGAAAATGTAAAAGTTAAACGGAGTGCAAAATCAAGGTGACTGCACCATACAAGTATGGTATAAGGCAGCATAAGTAAACCTACAATGATCTCTTGTCATGCAAAGGCACGCCATGGCTCTATGGGTTCCAGAACAGCAGACTGCAGACATTTTGCTCCTCCCAAGTCATTTTGGTGCTGTTCTGAGCTAAGCTATTGCTTCGCATTGTGTGTTATCCAAACCTGGGTTCGTAGTTTAGTTATCTCCAGACTAACCATGAGCTGAGGGTTAAGCCACAGACCCTAGGACTTGCCAATCAGAAGGTCAGCGGTTTGAATCCCTGCGATGCGGTGAGCTCCCGTCGCTTGGTCCCTGCTCCTGCCAACCTAGGAGTTCGAAAGCACGTCAAAGTGCAAGTAGATAAATAGGTACCGCTCTGGTGAGAAGGTAAACAGCGTTTCTGTGTTCTGCTCTGGTTTGCCAGAAGCGGCTTAGTCATGCTGCCGGCTCCCTCGGCCAATAAAGCGAGATGAGCGCCGCAACCCCAGAGTCTGCCACGACTGGACCTAATGGTCAGGGGTCCCTTTACCTTAACCATGAGCTGTAAGTAACGCATGTTTGTCCTGCAGTTTATGGCTCATGGTCTGGATGACGCATTTAGCTAAACTATGGCTTGGCTCAGCACAGCAGCAGAGAGACAGGTGGAGCAAAGTGGCTATAATCTCTCTGGTTGCCCAGAGGTACAAGCCATGGTTTGGTTTGGTTTGGTTTGGCTTGGCTTATTATAATGTGTGAACCAGGGCAAAGATAACCTAGGAAGCTGATGGTTTGCTTAAATGGGGAACAAAAAAAATTAAGACAGAACCAAAATCTTTCTCTGCTCAAATATATCTAAGATGATCCAGTGCATTTGTTTCCTTCCACTGGTCAGTGTACATCTTGCCTGGTGTTTTTAGCTTCTTCCTCTTATTTTTTCAGACCTCCTTGACATCAGCTCTGTGTACACTGAATTCCCTGTACCCGACCCTACTGTCTTTCAGAAGCGCTATCTGAAGAAGATTCGAGATCTGGGTGAGGTAATTCACCTTTGCTAGTGAAGCATTATCACTAATTTCTTTACTTCAGTTCTCACCAAGTAAGAGCTGAAACTGAAGCTGATGAACAATGCCCTTTGTGATTTATCTGTTCCCGGCTGTACCATTTCCAACAGCAAGTGTTGGATCTTCTCCAGACTTCAAGAAATAGATCTTTGCAAACAAAACTAGTCGTCAGGGAAAAGTTAACACAAAGCCTCCTCTCTGACATAGGGTTGTATGTGAGACCTCTGGTTATAGAGCGGTATATAAATTCAATAAATAATAATAATACAATGCATGTCTTTTTGTAAACTAAGAAATCTTTAATAAATATATATTTTAAATAAATGAATGATCCGTTTCAGTTGTAGAAAAAAATCTAAAGGCAAAAAATGTTGATTCCCAACACACTTTAAGATAACCTTTTCACAAGGAAAATGTAGAATTCAGTAGACTCACAAATTGTGTGGCTGTTACTTTCTGGGGAATTACACATTAAACCAAATTGCATATAGTCAAAACAACCAGCTTCTGAAAGGTAGAATTGCTGGCACGAGGGTGACTCCAGAAGCCATTCTTGTTACGTAGTGGGATCCTAAGGAAATATTGCAAGGTTCAGATTGGTTTCTGAAATTCAGTACCGTATTGGCCTGAATATAAGCTGCACCCAAATATAAGCCAAACCTTTAAAATTAAAGGGAAATTTAAGCCGCACTTCAACTTTTCATGGCTGGAATTTGGAAAAAAGGTGTGGCTTATATTCGGACCAATACGGTATTTGTCGTATGTCAGCATAGAGTTGGGAAGGCCTGGGGAAAAAAGCAGAAAAATTGGGGGGGGGGGGGAGGACAACCAGGTTTTTTCCTGTTTTTCCCCAAAGCCTTTTTTTGTTGTTGTTTGGAAAAAAACGGGGGGAAACCTGCCCCCCCCATTTTCCCGTCCCCTCCGCCCCAGGCCTTCCCATCTCTCTGTCAGCAGAGCTTGTTAGAGATACTGGGCGAAGGTGGATCCTGTTGTCAGATTAATCCCTGCACTGGTTTGTGGCAAGATACTGTTCTACCTGAGAGTGTTATTAGTCCACCTTCTGGAAAAAGTGATGTATGCCAGCCAGGTGCAGTGAAGGCTCTAACAGGATAGCAGCTAGAATGATTTGCCTTTTGAAATATCTCATTCTTGGCTTGTTTGTTTTTCCTCCTTTTCTACTAGGGTCACTTTGGCAAAGTGAGCTTATACTGCTATGATCCCACCAATGATGGTACTGGTGAGATGGTAGCTGTGAAGTCATTGAAATCAGGCTGCAGCCAGCAGCTGCTGACAAGCTGGAAGAAAGAAATTGACATCTTGAAGACCCTCTACCATGAGAACATTGTTAAATACAAGGGCTGCTGCAGTGAGCAGGGTATGGCATCTACTGAGTTGGCACCTCGAGGGCTGGATGGCAGTTGATAGGAGTGCCTTGTGGGCAGGGGAAGAGAGACAGGAGATGACAAATGGGATTGTGCTTTCATCTACCACATTCCTTTCTCATAGTTACCCTGAGAACTTCCATAGGTACATAGGAAGCTGCCTTATACTCAATCAGGTCCATCTAGCTCATTGTTACCCACACTGACTGGCAGCAACTCTCCATGGTTTCAGGCAGGAATCTCTCCAAGCCCCACCTGGAGATGCCAGGGAGTGAACCTGGGACCTTTTGCATGCAGAGCAGATGCTCTATGGCTGAAGTATGGCCCTTCAGGCATAGAGCATAGATCTAAATTTAAACATAAATTATCTTCACTTTGAACCCCCCTCCCACAGTCATCAGTATTCTAACACTTGATCCATTGATAGCATAAGAGGAAAAATGACTATTACTCAAACTTCGCTGCGAGAAGCCAAGTTACAGGGAACCAGGCCTTCTCGGTAGTGGCACCCGTCCTGTGGAACGCCCTCCCACCAGATATCAAAGAGAAAAACAACTACCAGACTTTTAGAAGACATCTGAAGGCAGCCCTGTTTAGGGAAGCTTTTAATGTTTAATAGACTATTGTATTTTAATATTCTGTTGGAAGCCGCCCAGAGTGGCTGGGGAAACCCAGCCAGATGGGCGGAGTATAAATAATAAATTATTATTATTATTATTATTATTATTATTATTATTATTAATTGAAGCACAACCACAAGGACTCCTGATTAGGCATTTGTCTGTGTGATGTCGAGTGTTATTCATTAACTCTCTTCTTTCCTGTTTCCTCTTTGTTATTGTCTAAACTTTAAACCAATTCATGGACCAAGAACTTAGCATTGTCTGCTAATAATGAACCTTTTGTTACAGATATTACTGCAAATTTATTATGCTAGTTTTGGGATATACAAATGACGTGAGAAGGATTGGTCGATTTAGTTGTATCATTTATTATTCTTACGATCTTTGTTTATCCAAGGAAAAACTTATTAAAAAAAAAAAAAATCCCAGTCCAACCATGGTTACACACTGCGGCCTTGAATTGGTCTCCACCTGCTGTTTTCCTTCCCTATAAGTGATACCTCCCATGCCAGAGCTTCTATAGATAATGAAATGTGGGAAGGTAAAAACACTTCCTTTTGGAGTAATATCATTGTTGGATTTTTTTTCTCCCCAACTCTAGGGGAAAAGGTTGTGCAGCTTATCATGGAGTATGTGCCTTTGGGGAGCCTGAGAGATTATCTCCCCAAGCACAATGTCAGCCTGGCCCACATTCTCCTCTTTGCCCAGCAGATTTGTGAGGTAAGGTGTATCAGCTTGGGATGTAAAAATTAATGTAGCTGCTGGTACAGTGAGTATTCCTTTGTTTTGGGATTATTGGTCGAGTTCTAGAAGAGGCATCGACTCCTGTGGTTGAAATAGGCTATGGGGTTTGTTTAAATGGCTGCTCCTTGGCTCTGGGAAGATAAATGTGTACAGTTATGATTGTCTTTCCTCAAAAAGGATATGACAGAGCTGGGGAAAGTTCAGGGGGAAATGGGAACCAAAATGATCAAGAGTGTGGAACAACTCCCTTACGAAGAAAGGTTACAATATTTGGGGCTTTTCAGATTAGAGAAAATGTTGGTAAGAGCTAACATGATATAAATGTATAAAATTATGAACGGTGCAGAGAGAATGGATAGAGAGAAGGGACCTCTAATGAAAATGAATGCTGGGAGATTCAAGGCAGACAAAAGAAAGTACAGTTGTACCTTGGTTCTCGAACGCCTTGCGACTCAAACATTTCTGGACGCTGCAAACCCGGAAGTGAGTGTTCCGGTTTGCAAACATTCTTTGGAACCCGAACATCCGACGCAGCTTCCGATTGAGTGCAGGAAGCTCCTGCAGCCAATCAGAAGCTGCACCTTGGTTTTTAAATGTTTCTGGAAGTTGAAGGTATGACTGTAGTACTTCACACACCACATAGTTAAACTATGGAAATTGCTGCCATAATGATGGCTTCCAAGCTGGATGGCTTTGAAAGAAGATAGATGAATTCATGGGGGATAACTAACTACAGTGGTACCTCGGGTTAAGTACTTAATTCGTTCCGGAGGTCCGTTCTTAACCTGAAACTGTTCTTAACCTGAAGCACCACTTTAGCTAATGGGGCCTCCTGCTGCTGCTGTTCCGCCAAAGCACGATTTCTGTTCTCATCCTGAAGCAAAGTTCTTAACCCGAGGTACTATTTCTGGGTTAGCGGAGTCTGTAACCTGAAGCGTATGTAACCTGAAGCGTATATAACCTGAGGTACCACTGTACTGACTCTGAAAGAGATGTTTTTCCTCCACTGACAGAGGCAGAGATGCTTCTGAACACCATGCAAAAGGGTTTGTGCTGCTTGTGGGCTTCCCATAAGCATCTGGTTGGCCACTGTGAGAACAGCATGCTGGACCAGATGGGCCACTCACCTGGTCTAGTAGGCACATAGGCTAAAATTCAAAACCGGGGCCTCTGATTCAGAGTATAGTCCTGGGTGTTTGTCTTCCTTGCTTGCAAAGCTGGTGGGGAATAACACCATATTTGCTCTTTGCAGGGAATGGCTTATTTGCACTCGTTACGCTACATCCACAGAGATCTGGCAGCCAGAAATGTGCTCTTGGAGAATGAGAATGTAGTGAAGATTGGAGACTTTGGTCTTGCTAAAGCTATCCCTGAAGGACATGACTATTACCGTGTCTGTGAAGATGGAGACAGCCCTGTTTTTTGGTAAGAGAGCGTTCATAAAATGTCATGTCTCTCAGACATTACAGGGGTTTTGACTGCATTGTAACTCAAAATCAAGTCCTGAGGTGGGGCAAGATGTTATTCTGAATACTCCCATGAACACCCCCAAGCTCTTGAATGGCAGTCTCTAAGAGAATTTGCTGTCTTTTTACTTTATCCTTTCTTCTGGTTAATGTTGCAATATGTTTAGCTTTTCGTGAAATGGTTGACACTGGAGGAAATGGCAGCACTTGTGTGCTTCTTCAACTTCTATGGGAACACCAAAAAGCATATCTTTAGAATAAGGGAAGAATGGAGATAAGTGAATGTTAAAAGTACATGCCCTCTTTGTGAGCTTTTAGAGGTATATGTCTGGCTGCTGCTGGAGACTGAGAAATGGAATAGATGACCTGATTCAGCAAGGTGGCTTATGATACCTGCCTAGCTAGCTAGCTGGAAGCCATATCTAAATAGAACTTGCATGTTCAAGAGGTAATATTATCCACTGGGGATAAAAAGATAATCTTCATTCCCTTGTTGTGAGTTTTTCTAAAAGTATTGAACATGTTCCTGTTGGAAGATGGGTTGCTGGACTAGATGAACCTTTATTTGATACAGCAATGCAATTTTACATTTTTAAAAATTTTCTGTTCATCGGCTCTGTTTTCTTGTTTTTCCTTGTGCTGTAGGTATGCTGTGGAGTGCCTGAAGGACTGTAAATTCTACTGTGCTTCTGATGTTTGGTCCTTTGGAGTTACTTTATATGAACTCTTAACACACTGTGATTCTAGTCAAAGCCCCCCAGCGGTGAGTCTGATTGCTGGGCATACAAGGGAGGTGAAAGCATTTGTTTAGCAGTGCTGCAATGTGCAGGGCTCTTAAGTCTACAAATATCTAATGTGTGTTGGAACACATTTAGATCACTGCACTTCAGGAGACTGACTATGCAGTTTCACTTGCAGTGCAGTAATCCAGGGTGCTTTGACTCACACTGGCCCCGTGGCTAACTGCAGTTGGCACAGAGCCTGTGTACAGCAATGTTCTGACAATACTTGCCTTACCATAGTTTGCTTCCTGATTGGACTTTACTGTGGGTTTCTGTTATAGGCCCCTGTAGGGATGGCAGATGCAGGGCGCAGGGCACCCTGCCACAGCGTGTCTAGCTGCCATGACCTATCTTTTACCTTTTGTCTCTTTTGCAATGTGCTGTGCGCTGTCCTTGACCTTTGCCTCCTCTGCAAAAGGCCCCCTCTGATGGGAACATGACGTGGTGGAACAGGTTGCGCAAATAACAGGGCGACACCCAGAGAGCTCATGACTGGAGAAGTTAAAGGGCAGAGTCTGGAATGTGTCTGGTGGATTTTGCATATGCTTGCTAATAAAGAGCTCTGTGAAGCTCGTCAGTGTGTGGTACACAGCCCACCTGCACCAGCAACGCCTGTCTCGCCTCCATTCCTTCAGACCCCTGTTCCCTGCACCCACCTGGTGGCATTGGTGGTGGGGGCTGGGTTGGCACAGTGGGTTTTGTTCATCCTCCACACCCCAGCCCCAGGCACTGATGGAGGATGCAACGTCGCTGGGTGGTCTCTCCTTCCTTGGATATTTTTAAGCAGAGGTTGGATGGCCATTTGTCATGGATGCTTTAGTTTAGATTCTTGCATTGCAGGGGGTTTGTTCTAGATGAGAGTCCCTTCCAACTCTACAATTCTATGATTCTAGATGACCACAGTGGTCATCAAAAATCATAGATCATGGGAGTCTCATTCTCTTATCAACTGAGCTATCAAGCAGCTGGCTGGTCCACCCATTGGTGGAGCTGACCATGTGTGGTATGTGTATGTATCTCAATGGCATCTCCCTGTCTCTTTCTCAAAGTGCTCAATAACATATTTTTCCCTGTTGTCTTAGAAATTCATTGAGATGATCGGAGCAACTCAGGGACAAATGACAGTGCTGAGGCTTATAGAGCTACTGGATAGAGGGAAAAGGCTGCCCATCCCAAAGGACTGTCCTTGTGAGGCGAGTCTGCTTCTCCCTTTCTTTCTTCTCTTATTGTTCTTTCTCTTTTTATTCTGTGTGCTGTTCTAAACCTTTGCCATTTTCTACAGATTTACCGTCTTATGAAAAACTGTTGGGAATCGGAAGCTTCATTCCGCCCGGCCTTCACAAACCTTGTGCCTATCCTCAAAGCCTTCCATGAAAAGTACAGGGCCCAAGCCCCCTCCGTTTTCAGCGTGTGTTGAGCAGGATGCAGAGATTCTCGGCCAAAGACCACACTCTTCTCTGCACTCGGTGTCTCAGTTCTGTCTTTTTTGTGCCTGGAAAGCCGCAGTGCCATGGAAGCTGCTTCAGACTACTGGCACACCTTGAGACTCTGACTTCTGCTGTTTTGGTATCCAGAACCAGCGCAGAACATTTCTGCCTTTTGATCTCGCCAAATGTGATGTAATGAGTGTGAAGTTTCTCTGCCCTGAACAAAGGCAGAGGCTATTTATGAAGCAGCCCGTGCCTGGAAAGCCACAATACGTGGTCTGAGTATGTGAGGTCACAGGTGCAGGAAAGTGAGTGAATCAGTTGACTTCCTCACAGTCTTTTTAACAGACTGCTGGGCCTGTTGGTCTGATGCAGAGAGAGAATGGGAAGGAGGCCCAAGCTATTCAAGCGCAGCGCTCCAGCTTGCTATAGAAAATAACCATCTTGGACCAATATGTTAAGTGCTGCACTTGCTTATGGAACAGAGGCGAGGTATCTGGCCCTTTCATGTTCCTTGCAAAAACTTTTGAAGGAAATGTGCTTTTTCTGAGACTTGCCTTTGGCCTTTCTTTTCAAAGTAAATGCTTTGGACTCCCAAAGATATATAAACTACCCTTCCCCCCCCCACCTGATTTCTAGGTGTTTCAGAACTGCAGGAGCTTTTAGATACCACCACCACCCCTCTTCCTATAATATATTTGTATTTTCTCTTTGGAGAAGGCTCTCATCTACCCTTTAGAAGTCCAGTGTGGAGCCAGATATGGTCTCAGCTGATTGGATACTGGAGAGGCGAATGTCTTTATCATACATAAGTCATTGTATTTGCGTATATAAAGGATTGCTCCCAAAGAGCTATCCTTACTTGCTCCCAAATAAAGAAAAGGTTGTTGTCCAGAAATATGGCTCCCCGCCCCCAGTGAGAACTTAACTAATGCAGTAGGTGCCTCACTTGTTCTTTGAACTTCCTCATAGCCTACCATCCAGGATATAAACAAGCCTGCCGTTTCTGTTGTACCAAGATGCATTCTCCTTATTATTGTTGGTTTAGAACCAACCACAATCCTCTTCACACACACCCATCCACTGATGTTGTCAGTCAGAAAATGTGAATTTGAAGTGGGAGGGGGGGCAGAAAGGAAGCTTCAGGCCTTAAATTGTATGGAAATTGAAGAAGAGAAATGTGTTTTGGCCACTAATTTGGTTGCTGCTGCCCAAAAAGCATTCTTATGTAGCAACGTCGCAGTGGTCTCTGCTATCAAGCTCACATTCTTAGTCTATCATAGAATCGTAGAGTTGGAAGAGGCCATGAGGGTCATCTAGTCCAGGCCCCCATAATGCAAGAATCTTTTGCCCAATGTGGGACTTGAACTCACAACCTTGAGATTACAAGTCTCATGCTTTATGGACTGAGCTATGGTGAAAACTAGCTGCCACCTACCCATGAGAGCATAGCTTTCTGACATTTCTCTAGCTTGAGGCCCAAATTTCTGTTGTTGGCATTCATCTGTCTTGAGAGATAATGGAGTGCACCTCTGGAGGTGAAGTCAAGTGTGTCAAGCACAAAGTGACCTCCCTGGGATGCAAGCCTGGACAGTGTGTATGGAGGTCCTGTGCAACCCAGATGACAAGGCCCTTTCTCGGCCTCACTGATGTGATCCAAAAGAAAGCAGAGCAATATGATTGGCCCCAGCTTGGCTGCAGGAGTTGCTGGAAGGAGGCTTACAGGGTGCCGTCCAACCATCTTAGGGACTCCACTCTGGATTTATGTAGGGTTTACTCCTTAGCCTTCTTCCGAAGATATCCCACAAGGCAGCAGAGGTTTAGGATCAGTCCTCCTCCTAGATGGGCTACCTTCCCAGGTTGGTGAGCCCCACCTGCCCCCTCATTTCCCTCTACAGCACATGCAGAAACCGCTTTCTTGACATGTGGGCCCATTATTGGTCTCGTCCACTCAATCTGCTGTAGCCTGTCTTCACATTTAGGGGAAGTCTCTAACTCTACAAGGGTTTGAGACTCATCAGTTACCCTCACCTGGTTTACCCAGCCAGTTGAAGCCATTTTTTGGGGTGTGGCAACTGTTGCATGCTGACAGCTCCTAGGGCAGTGGTTCTCAACCTGTGGGTCCCCAGATGTTGTTGGACTACAAGTCCCATCATCCCTGAGCTCTGGCCTTGCTAGCTAGGGGTGATGGGAGTTGTAGTTCAACAACATCTGGGGACCCACAGGTTGAGAAAGGCTGTCCTAGGAGTTGAGTGCAGGATGAACAAACTACCCCAGAAGGAGCATGAGGTGTCTCCCACCAGAGGTGGTACCCCTACCCTAACACCCCACACATGCCAGAATACTTCAGAGACTGCAAGTGGGGCACAGTTGGGGGGGTAGGTATAGGTAAGACTGGTCAAATGTTCTTATCATTGTCTCTTAGAAGGAATGTAAGAAACATTTAATTTCTGTTGTCTCCCACTCCTGGCAGACCTGAGTCAATCTCTAAAGAATTATGAAACTAATTCTTGAAGGCCAAGGGAAGTATGGCCTGCTGAACTCAAAAGAGTTATTTAAAAACAAAGGTATATAGGATCACAGCCTTATATTTGTTTTTTATTGAATGGTATCCCTCCATATCCTTTAAAGTGTTTGTAGCATGAAGAGGTGGCGGTTAGCCATTCGACTGTGATGTTACAAAGCTTGTAAAATGTAGGTTGAATGAGGTAACAGGTGGATTTGTAGCTGGTTGACTGACCAAACCCAAAGAGTACTCATTAATGGTTCCTCGACACCCTTGGAAAAAGTGATCAGTGGGGTGCCGCAGGGTGCTGTCCTGGGCCCATTGTTGTTCAACATCTTTACAAATGACTTGGATTAAGGAATTGAGGGGATGCTCATCAAATTTGTAGATGACACCAAACTGAGAGGGGTAGCTAATGCCGCAGAAGCCAGAATCAGAATTCAGTGACCTTAACAGATTGGAGAACTGGGCCCAAGCTAACAAAATGAATTTCAACTGGAATAAATGTAAGGTTCTACACTTAGGCAGGAAGAACCAGATGCACAAATATAAGATGGAGGAGACCTGGCTTATTAGCAGTACATGTGAAAAGTATCTAGGGATCTTAGCGGACTACAAGCTTAACATGAGTCAACAGTGTGATGTAGCAGCAAAAAAACCAAGCCTTATGAGGAGTGGTTGAAGGAACTGGATATGTTTAGCCTGGAAAAGAGGAGACAGGAGATTTGGTAGCCAGTCTCCCTCAAGAGGTTATGGACTCTCCTTCCTTAGAGGCTTTTAAGCAAAGGTTGGATGGCCATCTGTCATGGATGCTTTAGGTGAGATTCCTGCATTGCAGGGGGTTGGACTAGATGACCCTTGGGGCACCTTCCAACTCTCTTATTCTTTATTACTCCTCAAGTGTATGGGACTACTTGATAGAAAAGGCAGAGACATTTGGTGTTAAACTCTATTTTTATTTTTTATAATTGCATACAAAACTGTTTATAAACTTAAATGGTTGTTTTTCAAAACTTGTCTTCTGTCCCCCGGTACATGTTATTTGTGGGTTCAGGATTGCCCCAAGCCTGCACTACCAGCCCTGTCTATGGAGTGTGGCAGCCCACCCACCTGTTTTGGCTGGCAAATTGTCTTTGGGCTACAATGCTAAGCTGGAAAACTTTGCATCTGAAACTGCACTCGATTTGAGGCAAGGACTTCTCCCTCCACAGAAGCCTGGCAGGTTTTAATTCCCCTCTCCTCCCCACTTTTTATGCATCCAAAACGGGTGTGGGTGTTGGTGTGTGCGTAGAAGGAGAGAGATTGAGAGCTCTCTACTGGAAACCCTGCTCTAATGTGAATGTATTCTGTACTACTCTAGCAGCAGCTAGAATCCCCAGCCACATGTAACAAGATCCTGGTGATGTCCTTTAAATTTTATTCAAATAAACACCATGTAACTTTTAATGGCTCAGTGGAGTCTTGATTACTGTAGGCTGCTTTTATGAAAATTACCATTACTAGAAAATGGCAATCTAGAGTATATTCAAAGTGTGGTGTCGAAACCACACATTTCAACAGGTTGTGCTTATTGTTTACAGCACAATCCATTAATAATAAACAGTCTTGTGGCACCTTAAAAACTAGCAGTTTTATTGTGCATAAATTCTCAAGGACTAGAGTCCACTTCACTAAATGAAGTAGATTCTAGTCTACAAAATCTTATGCCATGATAAATCCATTAGTTTTTACGGTGCCACAATACTTCTTTTGTTTATGTACCCTTGACAACTATCTTAGCCTCCCTAAGAAGCCCAGTACAGTGGTACCTCGGGTTCCATACGCTTCAGGTTCCATACGCTTCAGGTTACAGACTCTGCTAACCCAGAAATAGTGCTTCAGGTTAAGAACTTTGCTTCAGGATGAGAACACAAATCGTGCTCCAGCGGCGCGGCAGCAGCGGCAGCCCCCATTAGCTAAAGTGGTGCTTCAGGTTAAGAACAGTTTCAGGTTAAGTACGGACCTCCGGAACGAATTAAGTACTTAACCCAAGGTACCACTGTATTTACTTTTGGAAATGCCCTTGATCTTTGCATACTGAAAGATGCCATTAGCATGCAATGGCGATTCCACAGCTTCCTTGTGTAACTTTTGAAAAATATATACATAAAGAGTTTTCAGACAGACTGGGTAAATCTGCATTCTACAATGATGCTCAAGTTTATTATTCTTGCAAGATTTAGGAGCTAACTTTAATGTGAAGGGAGAGGAGGAAACATTGTCTCAGTGCTCTTCCTGTTTCCGGCTAAAAATGAGGGGGAAGGAAATACTGGGTGGCAGTGAAGAAAATAAAGAATAGTAAAGGGCATGGAAGAAGAAGATAAAGAGGAGACATGTGAAAAAGAATGCTAGGATCAGAAAGGTACAGAAATGTCAGAGAAAAACCTGGATGGGGGAGGAAAGCTGAGAAACTGATCAGTGTGTCGGAGGAAGAAAGGTGAAGCATTAAAGTAGTTCAGGAGCAAAAGAAGGCAAATGAGCAAAGGCTGAATTTTTAAGCAGTTGCTTTCTTAGGTCTAGCCGTTTCTCTTGAGCAATTCCTCTTGGAAGACTTCAAACTCCTAATTTTCTTCTTATAAAAGTAAATGGTGCTGGATAAAGGATAAAGAAAGGAATAACAGAAAGCTTCATCCCCAAAGAAATCAGGGTGGCAGCAGGAAGGATGACACTTTAAATCAGAAACATTGCATGACACTTTTAAAGAAAAAAGCCATCCTGCCAGTTACAGAGCCATCCTCCTGGTAGGAGTTTACCTTAACAGTGTGAAAAGTGTTGAGAATGGCATAAACCAAGCAACTCTCAAGTGTGAATGGGGTGAGGAAGAGTAAGCAGTGGCCAGATCCTATGCATATTAGAAAACCTAAGAGGAGAAACCCTATTTTTCAGCAACCCAAGTGCCAGTTAGCAGGCCCACTTGCTGCATCTGCTGATGGCTGCTGCTGGTCATGATGAAAAGGTTCAGGGGCTGGTGAGAGCCAGCTACTAGCTAAAGAAAGCAAATAGGAGTCGGAAGCTATTGCCTTCCTGTCCTCATGGGCTTCCTCCAGGCAGCTGCTCAGCCACGGGGAAATGAGACAGTGGCTGCTTTGGTCTGATCCAGCAGGCCTCATGTTCTTAATGTCCCAATAGCAACTTGATTTTGTCACTTTGCTTTAGCACACACATAATAATAATAATAATAATAATAATAATATTTTTATTTGTATCCTGCCCTCCCCTGGGCTCAGAGCGGCTAACATCATATTAATAACACAATATACATAAAAACATGCAATAAACTGATTAAAATGCTTCCCAAAATTAATTCAAATAAAGCCTTTCCTGGTATCGCCTTTGCTAACAGACAGGCAGGTCCTGTAAGGTACACCTGTATTTCCAATCTAACACTAGAACTCAAAGACACCCACAACTTGTTAGAAGATTCAGGACAGCTTAAAGAAAGTTCCTTTTCATGCAGTGCATAGTAAAAAACATGGAACTCAGGAAGCAGTGATGGCCACCAACTTGGATGGCTTTAAAAGAGGACTAGAGCAGAGGGCTATGAATAGCTACTAGCCATGATGACAACGCTCTACCTCCATAGTTGGAAGTAGCAGTGCCACAGAATATCAGCTGCTGGAAACCACAGAAGAGAAGGGTTGCTCTTGAGCTTGCATTCTGCTCCCTGATTTCCCACAAGAGGCATCTGGCTAGCCGCTGTGAAACCAGGATACCTGATCCTGGAGGATATTATTATGTTAGCTTAAATGTTAGCAGTGGTATCTACATTTAGAAACCTTGCACCTTAACCATGGCTATTGGCAGTGCCGGGTTTACCTATAAGCTAAACAAGCTATAGCTTAGGGCCCCACTCTCTTAGGGGCCCCCAAAAAATTTAAAGGAAAAAAACTTGGATGTTCATTTCCAAAATATGATAAAAAACAAATAAAATAAAACCTACATACAGCAACAGTGTTTCACTGTTTAATTGTATTTCAGTTCAACAATCAATTTGATAAAATACATATTTTGTTATGTGCAAATGGCTTTAGATACCTATTAGGTCCATAAATTACCATATAACATACTGTATATTGAGCAAAAAAGCCAGCGACAATTTGTGACAAAGGACAGTTGGACATATAAAGGGCCTCATTACCTTCAGCAGCTTAGGGCCTCATTAAAACCTAAATCCGGCCCTGGGTATTGGTGCATTCTGCAACAATAACGCAGGAAATACATCATATATATAGAAAAAGCCAACAGCTGGCAGCAGGCTGGGTGCGACTCAAGCTCCCGCCGAGGCTGCGCGCGCGGTTCTCCCTCTCCGGAGCCCTACCGCGGAACCAGCCCGAGCGCTCGCTTCACTTTATTCGGCTCCGGCCGGGCTTTCGCACCGCGGCCTCGGGTCAAACTCCTCCCTCGAGCGCGCGGGACGAGCTACCGGAAGAAGAAGAGCGAGCAGCCGCCTCCCGCGCGGACCGCGAAGGGTTAACCACTCCTCCCCGCCCCCGGCCCGGCCCTACCTCATTGGCGCGCCCGACCAACGACTGCCCGGGAGGCGGGCCGAGTTCTTACTCAGACCAATGGGCTGCCGGCGTGCCGCCGCCGCCGCCGCTCTTTCCCAACCCTCGCTCTCGCTGATCTTAGCCTGAGGGCGGGAGAAGAGGACGGCTGGCTCCCAAGATGGCGGCGGCGGCGGCGGTTTCCGCGGCGGCGACCGACTCTGCCTCATCGGCCCCGGCCAGCGCCCGCGAAGAGGAGCTCCCTCGCCTGGAGCCGGCCGAGGTGAGGAGCCGCCTGGAGAGGAGCGCCCGGCAGTTCCGCAACCGGCGCAAGGTGCTCGTCCGGGGGCTGCCCGCCGACGTCGCTAACCAGGTGAGCCTTCTCCCCGCCCCCCTGCCGCCTTTCTCAGTCACCTTCTCCGGCCTGCGGAGGAGCTCTGCTGAACCCTCAAGCCTGCGCGCGCGCGGCGAAGGACGCTTCGCTCTCGAAAAGCGGCAGACTAATCTGCCTCTGGCTGAGGGTGGACCCTCAATTCCCAGCACCTGGCCCGACTTACTGCCTTTCAGAAGCGCTATCTGAAAAAGTTTCGAGATCCGGGTGAGGTAATTCGCCTTTGCTAGCGAAGCATCATCACTGCTTTTCTCACTTCAGTTCTCACCAAGTAAGAGCTGAAAAACAGACGAACGAAAAGCCCTTGGCGATTTTATCTGTTCCTGGCTGTATCATTTCCTACAGCAAAGCGGTGGATCTTCTTCAGCCTTCAAGAAATCGATCTTTGCAAACAAAGCCAGTCTGCCAAGGAAATGTAGCACAGAACCTTCTCTCTGACATAGGGTTGTATGTGTAGGGAGTATGGGGGAATATTCAAACCCTTCACCAACTCACGCCCCAGGTGCAACCCAGTACAGATGCAAATGGGAGTCTGACATGTTGTTCAGCTATTTTAAGGGGTGTTCACACACACAGTGAACACATGAGAGACGATTGGATGACACCTTGTAGATGGGCCCCTGCCGACATGGCAACGTATTTTCTGTTCACAGGTATAGTTGTACGCAAACAAGGCTCTTGTCTTTGTACATCTCTGTCTCACAGACACTGAATGTGCAGCCTCCAGGGGAGGAAGAGTTGGTGTCCAGGGTGTGTGTTTAGCAGGTATATAGCCACCTTGGCCCCTCACACATTCACTGAAGAAAGGGCATGTTCTGAACGTGCTGCTAGTGGGAAGAGATGTGTGTTCTGCAATACAGACACTCAGACACCATGGTTCACAAACAGACTTCAGACCGTGGATTTTGAATCTGACTTCCTGCCCACTCACACACCATGACTTTGTTAGCTTGGACACCATACCACAAACTATAGCTAAGCCATAACCATAATTCAGCATGATGTCTGAATTGAGCCAGACACGTCATCAATCTTTTCTGTTTCTATGGCTGTTGTAGAAGAATGCACATAATCCTATGGGGCTAGAGGCGACCTCTCAGTTGTGCATTGTTTTGTCCTCAGCTATGTATCATCGATATATTTCACTACACCTTCAGTTTGTACGCCATCTTTCTGTATTGTTGTACTCAAGGTGGCTTACAAGCTGAAGAAACAACAGAATATACAGCCAGGATTACATGTCTTATAATGATCTGATCCAATGAAAATAAGTCATAATAAAAAGAACAACTTTAAAATAAACAAGTTCTATCAAATAAAGTAATATTCAATCATCTGTTAGACAAAATATCATTCTCAAATTATCAGCAAATAATAATTAACCAAATTCACTCTCAACAACCAGTGAATCATTACTAAACTATCATAAAGTCAAGTCACCATACATAATAATAGCACAATACATTCCCATAACCTACGCATTGTGTTTTTAAATGCAGGAACCAGAAGTTAGGGTTGTAAACTGTGAATTTAAAAGGTGAAGAAGTGCCAGGGGCATTAGAAGGTGTGGTATTTCTATGCAGAGTCCAAATACATTCAAGATAGTCACAATAGCAGTCACTGGTGATAACCATTCATGTTGGTGAAAAAATGCTTATTATTATCTTGTTTACATTTGGACTTTCTAAAGAACTCTGACACATCTACTGCTGCTCTCTTGTATTGGATAGAATTTGGCCCTAATGCTCAATCTTTTTTCTTCTGTAACCCTTTCACCTGTCAAGTGAGTAACGTGATGTACCTGCTGAAGTGGCTTTTACTCTGAAACTTAAGCAGTAAGAAATACGTTGGCTTTTAAAGTGCCGGCGGGCTTCTTATGTTTTGCTGCGTACATTGCTAAAAAGAGATATTTGTTTTCTTGAGTTAGTTGGCATCCACTTAGTGAGGTTGATGAGCAGCAGTTTTAACACAGAAGGAAGATGGCATGTTATTCACACAACACACCATTATACATTGCTGAAAACCTTTCTCTATGAACTGTAAATTAAACTGGCCATAGTTGTCTGCTTTGGAGGAAACAAATGAGCATGTTTTATTACAGAATAGTAGCACTCCAACAGAGTTGTTAAGGGAAATACAGTGGTAAGGAAGCAGTGTGCTAACATTTTGTCTTTGTGTGTTTACATATTTGCATCTCTTTCAAGATGTGTCACGGAACATGTGATGCAGTAACTTTGCTGAAACTAATCAAGTGTGGGTTGTCTGGTCATTGCCCACCTTGAGTTGGATAAATGGTGGACTAGAAATGTAATGAATCTACGGCGTCTATGCACATTCTCAGATTTAGTTCATAGAGACCTGAGGGAAGAGTGCTGAAGCCGGAAGAACTCTGATTTCAACCTTGAGCAGTTGAAAGACGGTTGGTTGAAATGCCGCCAATTAATTGCATGCAAGGTGGAGAGCTTAAAAGCTCCTTTTGTGCTAGATTTCCTGGCACAGAAAGAGCTTTTAAGCTCTCTACTTTGCTTATTGGTCTCTGTGAGGTCCTTGTGGGAACTCGCCAGCCTCGCTGGCGTCTCCCGGAGCTCTGTAAGCAAGGCAGAGAGTTTTGGCCCACTATAAGTGGGCTGAAACTCCTAAATGGATAGATACCATTTATTAGAGATACAGTGGTACCTCGGGTTAAGTACTTAATTCGTTTCGGAGGTCCGTTCTTAACCTGAAACTGTTCTTAACCTGAAGCACCACTTTAGCTAATGGGGCCTCCAGCTGCTGCCGCACCGCCAGAGCACAATTTCTGTTCTCATCCTGAAGCAAAGTTCTTAACCCGAGGTACTATTTCTGGGTTAGCGGAGTCTGTAACCTGAAGCGTCTGTAACCTGAGGTACCACTGTACATGTTTTATAAACGGGTTCTAAGATGCACCTCTGTATAAATGTCTCATTTAAAAAAAAAAAAATTCTTGTGAGGATTACATTAGCATCCACATCCTGTAGTGGAGTGAATTGCCTGATCAGGAAGGGCAATTGTACTTTAGAAAGGACAGTGGAACTTCATAGGAAATCCTCATTGTGTACATTTTACATTATTACATAGAAACAGTTGAACAGCCCACCAGGTGAAGGTTTGACCCTGTGACCTGTCCTCATTGTTTGGGTGAGATCACTTGATTCCCAAGCACTATTGATTGTTGCCAAAGTATCAGAGGCAGGCTTCTAGAATTGCCTTTAATTGGAATGTCTGCCTTTTCAAGGGCGTCAGTAACACCCTCTCCCTAGAGTTTGGCTAGGTTTATGTCGGAAGAGTACATTGGAGTGTTTCAAGCTGCCTCTGAGAGGCACATTTCAAACCAGAGTCTTGCTTATCCATCTATGCACTCTTGGTCTCATGGTCAGAATGGTGGAGCTAGCTGGCTTGGCAGAGTTTGACCTTGAGCGAGGTTGACTCCTTTCTGTGAAAAGATCACACATGCCTCAAATGAGGTAACCTGTTCAGCTCGCCTGCTTGCCAGAAGTGAAAAGTATCTTGAGCAATAAGCGAAAGTGTTGCCTCAGGCAGCATAAAGCACATGCTAAATATTGGCTTGCTGCTGTTCAGGAAGACTGCAGTCTGGAAAGGAAGCTGATCTCCTGTGGTGCCAGCTGTTCTGGTTGATGATTTATGCTGATTATGCAATTCCCTCAGTAAATACAGAGCATAATGTCATCTTTAAGTGGAGGTATAGTGCCTTCTGGTTCTCTTTTATTAAAACATCTTTTTACTTGAAAAACATTTAATGCCATCAACACAAAGTCATTTGGCAACTAATCCTTATAATGGTGAATGTAGGCCAGTTTTGTTTGTGAATTGTACCTTGAGACAATATTTATTACTAGATTTCTATGCCGCCCTTCATCAAAAGATCTCGGGGCCATTCACAAGATAAAAATACAAGATAAAAGCACAAATAAACAACAAAACAATACCCCCCACATGCACATTTAAAAGGCTGTAGGATGTTGTTCAGCCAAAGGTCTGGTTGAAGAGGAACATTTTTGCCTGGAGCCTAAATATATATAATGAAGACGCCAGATTAACCTCCCTGTGAAGAGCATTCCACAAATGGGGAGCCACTGCAGAAAACTCCTCACTGCGAGAAGTGAAGTTACAGGGAACCAGGCACAGGGCCTTTTCAGTAGTAGCACCCACCCTGTGGAACACCCTCCCATCAGATGTCCAGGTGATAAACAACCCTTTAAGTTTTAGAAGACATTTGAAGGCAGCCCTGTGTAGGGAAGTTTTAAATGTTTGATGTTTTATTACGCTTTTATGTTTGTTGGAAGCTGCCCAGAGTGGCTAGGACAACCCAGTCAGATGGGCAGATAATAATAATAATAATAATAATAATAATATAGCATATCCAAAACATATCCATTGAGCAGGTAAGTTTGTTCCTCGTTTATCTCAGAATGGATGATTTCAGAATAAATTACAACATTTAAACATATTTTACTATTTCAGATACATCATGTGAAAAGGAAAAGAGCCTATGTCAACCAAACCTTATTATAAACTGGCAACAGGGATTGTCAGACCACACCACAGTAAAGTTATTCTTAATGTGACTTAACACAATCCTCAGCTTATTCAATAATTTTCTAATAATGTATCCCATATAAAACAGAGAGAGACTTCTGTTTTCCATCACATTCAGTTTTGAAGTTACAAGCACTTTAACAAAGAATTATTTGTTTAAGAAGACTTCCCAAAACCATATTTGATTATTATAGGGCTTTTATGGACTTAGGATCAAAATGTGTATCTGATTACTTTATTTGAGGGGTGGCCAGTAATATTACTGAGTTTGAACCCAGAAAGGGGACTTTTTAAGAGCAGAGCATATTTGCTATTTGACTTTGTCAATTCACACACACACACACACACACACAATGTTGCCAAACTTTTACTCTTCTGCTCAACAAGAGAGAGCTTTTCAAACCAGTTCTGTGAAAACCTGAATTGTGTGGCATGTTTAGTTGGACTTTGTCCAAGCCTGCAAGATAAATCTTCAGATAAAAAATCCAGAACCAGGAAATGCTCAAAGCATTGATTAGGCTTTGCTGGAGTTGCTGCCAGTACGTGGATGCAGCTTTTACTATAAAATGAAATACTCATTTCATGCTCTGCAGTTTAGCAGTGGGGTGTGACTGGCTTCAGGAATGAGGACTGGGTGTATTTTGCTGAAACTATCCTCTGGGCAGATTTTGGCCTCTGTGGACTGGAGTGGGGGAAGCGGCTGGGATTCCTTTTGATGAAAGAGGTAATGTTTCCCACTCTGGCTCAAACTGGATTTCTTCTGTTGACTTTACACAGGAAGTTCATGATCTGCTAAGTGACTACGAACTAAAGTACTGTTTTGTGGATAAATACAAGGGAACTGGTAAGTAAACTAGCATTACAGAATTCTCCTTTCTGTCATAGGGTGGGTTGACTCTGTTCAACTCTTGACAAATAAAAAATAATCTACTGAACCTAGCTGAATGGACATCCCCTTTCAGTTAATCTCCATTGAATGCAGATTCATGGGTAACTAAAAGATTGGGTTGATGCACATAGTTTATGTGGGTGGAGGTCTTTTCTAATATTCTTCTTGCTTGCTCTCACTGCTGTGAACATGTTGTTTGTCTTGGTCTTACTGTCCTCTGCGTGTGATCATCCTTCAGTTTTGCACATTCAGCCATATGTGAGGTGGCTAGTGACTTCATTTGGAAAATTAGAAGCCCAGGAGCCCCATGAGGTCTTGTATGTGCCATATGGGGGTATCTGGTTTTTGTGCTGGAAATAACACCATTGGCTTTTTCTGTTCATTTCTGAATATCCATAACTCACTCTCCACAGGTTGGGCAAGGCTACACATATATTCTTCCTTGTTTAAACAGTAAGGTATTGTTGTGCATTAGAAATTGTTCATGAAAAGGAAAAGCTTCTGGCATGCATGCCTGAAGGTTGGTGGTTCTACTAGTGGGCCATTAACCCCATCAATCCTAACATCAATCAAGGAGTGTGGGTGGCACTGTGGTCTAAACCACTGAGCCTCTTGGGTTTGCTGACAAGAAGGTCGGCGGTTTGAATCCCCACCGCGGGGTGAGCTCCTATTGCTCTGTCCCAGCTTCTGCCAACCTAGCAGTTTGAAAGCACACCAGTGCAAGTAGATAAATAGGTACCACTGCGGTAGGAAGGTAAACAGGGTTTCCGTGCGCTCTGGCACTCATAATGGTGTCCCGTTGTGCCAGAAGCCTGGAAAGCTGTCTGTGACAAACGCCGGCTCCCTCAGCCTGAAAAGCTAGATGAGCGCCGCACCCCATAGTCACCTTTGACTGGACTTAACCATCTCTTAATAAAATATTAATTTAAAATGGAGTAAAACTGGGATTTAGATGTATGTGTAAATACATTAACGAAAAAAGAGGGAAGAAAGCAAACTTAGCAAGGGATGAATATCAGCAAATTTAAGTCACTTGTATATTATTTGAACAGAGTAGTCACCAAGTTTATAAAAGGCACAAAATTTATTTAGGATGGGGAAACACCAAAAGTAACCACAGATGTGCTCTTAAACTGGATGTGTAACTCACACCGTAAGCACCTAAAAGTCTTGGGGTAAACAATATTAATTTATCATGTCCCTGGCAGTTAGTTTTATTACAGCATCTTCCAGCTCTGAATGTCAGATGTTGGCAATGAAAAGAAAATAGTGGTCTGCGTCATGCTGTGCTTGATATCTGTTGTTTGGCCACAACTAAAGACAGTTTGCTGGACTGCGTAGATTTTCTGTCTAGTCCAGCATGACAATTCTGTTGTATACAGACAACAACCAATTAACGTGCATCTGAATGACGTATGATTGTGCATGCCTGCACAGCACCGAACCCAGAAGTGACCCAAAAACATCACTAAACACGTCAGAGGCACAACAGGGCAGGGCATACCAATATGCAGTGGGCTGGGAACAGAACCTCTGCGCAAAATGGTGATTGACTGTATACACCTTGAAATCTATGCAGAGGTTTGTGGGCCTTGACTTGTGTGTTGCTATATAACGTCTTGTCAATAGCTTTTACATAACCTCGATCTCTTGCAGCTTTCGTCACGTTACTGAATGGGGAACAGGCAGAATCGGCCATTAAGCAATTCCATCTGAGCAAGCTGCGAGACAAAGAGATCACAGTGCAGTTACAACCTACAGATGCCTTGCTCTGCATTGCCAACCTGCCTCAGCTTTACACGCAGCAACAGTTTGAGGACCTGGTTCGGCCCTTTGGGAACCTGGAACGCTGCTTCTTGGTGTATAGTGAGAAGACGGGGCACTCCAAAGGCTATGGCTTTGTGGAGTACATGAAAAAGGATTCAGCAGCCCGAGCAAAATCTGACCTGCTGGGCAAACAGTTGGGAACACGGACTCTGTATGTTCACTGGACAGATGTTAACCAGTTGACCCTAGACCTCATTCATTCAAAGTGCTTATGCATAGATAAACTGCCACACAATTACAATGACATAGAAGAACTGAGGCAGACCTTCTCTGCCATCTGCCCTCCAACATTCTGTCAGGTAAGCACCTTGGGCCACAGGGAAGAGGGCTGCCCTTCCTGTCCTTAGTGCAGCACTCAAAGCAGTTTCACACAACAGTCTTATTGCACTTATTTTAGAATCCATTTACCAGGATATTTCTGAAGCAACAAAAGATCAGGCTGCAACCCCTTCCAGTTTGCTTCTGTGAATAGCACAACAGTGTTGTGTCACAAATTTCTTCAATAATGAAATTTAGAAACTTACTGCTGGTCCTAAGTGCTTGGTCACTCACTGCCAGGGGATTAACATTTGGCATAATTTCCAGCTCAAAGAAATTGGTTTGCTTGAATCACACAACCTATCCCAAACGCAATAAGTTTGTTTTTCTGTGTGCTCAACATAGAATACAGTGGTACCTCAGGTTACATACGCTTCAGGTTACAGACTCCACTAACCCAGAAATAGTACCTCGGTTTAAGAACTTTGCTTCAGGATGAGAACAGAAATCGTGTGGCAGCAACGGGAGGCCCCATTAGCTAAAGTGGTGCTTCAGGTTAAGAACAGCTTCAGGTTAAGAACGGACCTCCGGAACGAAATTTAAAGTTTATATATAGACTTATGGTAAAACTAATGAGTGATAGAAAAATGGTGGAATGATTTTTTATTTTTTATAGGCTTAACAGAAATGTTATAAGGAGTTAAGCACATATAAGTATTTTAGTTTTAATGGAAAATAAGGTTAAAAAATATGTTATTTGCAATATCACAGAAAATGGAGAAAGATGGAAAGGATTTGCTGAAACAATTAATAGAAGTGGAAAACAAAAAGGGAGGTGTGAGGAGGTCGAGAAAACAAGGGAATGAAAGATAGAGTATGGAAAAGAGATGATGTATGTTTTTAAATTGTTTTTGTTTTGTTCTATTCAGGGTTAAGGTTAAGGAGTGGGGTTTGTTTAGCTTAGTTTAATGTGTTTAGTTTTGAGTTTAGGTTGTGTTTTGTATTGTTTATATATTGTATTGTATTGTTTTTCCTTTTTGTTTTTCTCCTTTGTTTTTTCTTTTCTTTTTTTCTTTTTTTCTTTTTTCTCTATTTTTGTAATCTATAAAAGTAATAAATATTATTAAAAAAAAAAAAAAAAGATCGGACCTCCGGAACAAATTAAGTACGTAACCAGAGGTACCACTGTAATAGAAATGTAGAGTTGGAAGGGACCACAAGGATCATGTAGTCCATGTTGACTAGATTGCACTTCTGGCCAGGGTCAAGGAAATGTAAAGAACATAGAAGCCTAATTCTGTGGCCACAGATAGTCTCTATTCAATTCTATATAGTTTTGAAATACTGGCACCTGTCTCCTCCATATTTTTTGTGGTTTTCTATAAACGTGAGATGGGCTATATCCTTTTTGCCACCTGATAGCTGTAGCAACAGATGCAGCCACACTAGTAGACTGTTTGCCACACCAATTTAAGTAGTAGTATTAATCTGTTGGGTAGAAAATGTAAAAGACTCTGGCTCAGGCAGTTGCATATTTTAAAAGCTGCACAAGCCCCATCAGTGCAAATGGGATATAATTAGCCAAATTACCTGTTGTAACAGTCTGGTCATTCTAATAACAGGGCTATTGGCTATAACTTCACCTTCCTCTGCCCCCCAATTCCATATAACAAAATGTGAATTGCAACATAGTGCTTTCTTTGACTGCATTGTTGGTCTTTTTGAGGGGGAAAGTGCTTGTTGGTTACCAACCTTAAGGCAAAAGAGGGATGAGGTTGGCTGTTGTGATCGTGCTAATGAGACTCTCATGGGGGGTTGCTGTAAGATTGTTCTGTCATTCTCCCCTAGCCTAGCAATTCTCTTGTAGTAGCTTGGTTCTCTTGACAAAATGAGGTGATACATGTCCCAGTAAGCCAGAGATAACCATTGTGGTGCTTTCCATATGTTGGACTACAGTTCTCATCATCCCTGACTACTTGCCATACTGGCTAGGGCTAATGGATGTTCGAATTCAACATCTGGAGGGTACACATTGACTACTTCTGTCCTAAGCGCAGGAGGATTTACTGATGCAGAATCTTGCTGGGATTCCCTTTGGTTGGCTCAAAGCGTATAAAGCAGCCATGTCCTCTTTCTTTTGTGCCGAGTCACCTTCTTACTGCCTTCTTTTCCTTTTGCATAGTTGGCATGTGGTCAGGATGGGCAGCTAAAGGGCTTTGCAGTCCTCGAGTACGAGTCAGCTGAGATAGCAGAGATGGTCCAAGAGGCCACCAATGGCTTGCCACTTGCTGGAAACCACATCAGAGTGTCCTTCTGTGCTCCAGGCCCTCCTGGGAGAAGTATGCTAGCTGCTCTGATAGCAGCACAGGCAACAGTAAGGTTCAATTCACAATAATTACTGTATGGTTTTATGTTGTGAGCTGCACTGAGATTTTCTTCATAGCAAGTGGTATAAATATGTTAAATGATGCCTCTTCCTGTGGGTAGTTTGAAATCATCTCCTTGCCAATAGTGTACCACCTTTTGTTCCTTTATCCACCTTTCTCCTCATGCCTGTATCTTTTTAAGAGGTTTATACTTTGGCCCAGAGCTGGGTGTTGCATCTCCAGGGACTGACACAATGCCTCCATTGTTTTGGTTTTGGACAGACTTCTGCTCATCAACAAGGCTTCCTCCTGTAGCCATTATCTGTTCTATATGGGCATCCACTGTATTGTGCGGATGGTTTGATACTGATAGACTCATTAAGTAAAAAGGAGAGCAACTTAATTACATTTCAGCTCACCTCATTACAAGGGTACATGTTTGAATCAAAACAAAATACAGCTCACAGAAGCCCAAAGGTCCCCCTCCAATGGCCCAATGTGGCAGGCTGTCTGTCTTAAGTGTTCTGTGTTGTAAACTGTTAGTTATTTTGTGATCTGAAACCTTAACTGTACACTCGGATGCTCCCTTCCTGCATGGTTAGAGTCATGATCATGAAAAGGTTCTTCTATCAGTTAGTGAGTCCGGGTGCCTCTTGATTTTTGTTTTGTTTTGTTTTTTTGCTGCTGTTGCTTTTACAGGCACTTAACCGTGGAAAAGGGCTTCTTCCCGAGCCCAATCTTCTTCAGATTCTGAACAGCTTAGGAAATCCTACGTCAGTCCAGCTCTTATTCAACCCTCTCCTTCATGGAGCCATTGGAGGAAAGCAAGGCAAGTATGCGTAAGTGGCCCTCAAATAGGATATCTCTGAAAGCACCTTTGGTATTGAGCTATGTGATCTTGGGGTTTCCTCCCACTGTGAGCCCATTGAGTATGTTAGATCTCAGCCCTATGTTAGATCTCCTCAGCCCTACTGGCATCTGCTAATGGCCAGATGTGTTGTCACTGACTTGATTGGAGCTGCAATCAGACAGGGATTGTTTGTATTCACGATACAGATATGACAGTTGTTGTTTTTATCTTGGGCTGTAGAAGAGCAGGTTCAAAAAGATGGGAAGCTTTCCTCAGATCAGAAAGAGCTTGAATTCTTACCAAATATTTGTGTTGGATACAAAATGGATAAGATGGCACTTACAGATGTAGTATATGCTTTAGAGTTCTTCATGAGGCAACCAAAATGGTGTTCATTCTTACTCGTAGTTTATCTAATGTGAGGGTTTGTGCCTAACAAACTAGTGCTGTCAAGTAAGAAAAAAAAAAACTAACTTGGACTCATTCATCAAAAGCAAAAGTGAATAAGGTATTCTGATAACTTTAAAAAATGAAGGGTTTCACGGTTTGGGCTGTTCTTTTTGGTTCAGTTTGCATTACTGCAGTATTTTGAGAGGTTGCTAAGGGATTCCCCACCCCATTACATTGGAGAGTTTTTAAAACTTTCCTTTTCTTTTTCAGGAATCCTAGGAGCCCCTCCATCAGTGCACCTGCTAAGCAACCCTGCCCTGTCCACAGCTCTGCTTCAGCTAGCGCTTCAAAATCAAACACAAGCACAACAGGTAACTGCCATTCAGTGTTGCAGGTAAAATAACGTTGATGTTAATCTTTGCCCTATCCATGGATGGGCTGGTGTTCCAGATTGCGAGAAGATAAAGAACAATCTCCTTGTCTCTCCCCCCCCCCCGCTCCTAAAAAAACCCCTCTATATACAGATACATATCTCTGCAGGGGCAGCGACTGCTTTGGAAACAAGTACCTTGGGGTTATACCTGGGGATCATTCTCTTCCACTACTCACCAGCAGCCTAACTCACTTTAGCCTCACACTCAAAAGAATCTAGTTGCATCTATTCTTTAATTCTTCACTGGAACTTCTCTGTGTACTGTTGCAATGCTATGCCAAATGGCAGGGAGAATTTTATCAGCTGTGGTTTCATCTGGTTCCTACAGGGCAAAATCTAGTCTGCTTGATCTCCTGGTAATAGAAATGTCCTTGGGGTGGCTTGCAAACAGCAGGAGTTTGATGCAGGCTCTTACTTTCCAACTTCCTTCTCTGTTTTTTCTTGTCTGTTTTAATTCTTTTGGCTTTTAGTAACCCTGTCTCTGGTCTCTATTTGCTTTCTGCTCCAGAAGGCATTTCTTGGAAACTTGCTCTTAGTCCAAAACCAGGTCTGGACACAACTCCTGCAGAACAAGGAAAACCAGGCCATATTCCATGTGAGTGGTAGGCCAGACCTGTGTGTGAAAATCACGCTGCTTGTGTGTGGGTGTTTATTGTGTGTACGCTGCATGAAGGTGCACTGCAGGGACCATCCTCCAGCTTTAATCATATTCTAGTCTCACTGGGGAGGATGTGTTGTGCAAGACATCCTCCTAGATCTAGGACTTCACCCTGTTTAAGCCTTAAACCCCATAGTTTCAGGGGGGCTGGCTTGCGGTAGCATTTAGCATGACTAGTAGAAGGCTTTCTGATAAAGAGAGGGTTCTTGGTTGATGAGGAGCGTTCTTGTCAGTATGCAAGTCCTCTTCACTGCCTCTTCGCTTCCTTAAGGCTGAATGGGAGCACATTTATTCCAGTGAGTGCTGTGGGCCTATGCACCATCAATTGAGCTGTACCGTTGTGGAGCAAAATTAATTGTGCATGATGGAGCAGTTCTGTACATGGTGGTCTGAAGTTTTCCAAATATCTAGCGTTATTTGACAAGGAGCAGTGGAGTAGAGGGCAAAGAGGTAGAGCTGCAAAAAAAGAAAAAAGAACAGGTCTGTTTTCCACATCTCCATCTCCTTCTGGAAGTATACCCAAATGGATTGACATAGGCCCTCTGAATTTGGATGGGGTAAACCTCTTCCTGATGCCTCCTTGTTGAAAACCATTGCTTATCAGACTTCAGACTTTTGTTCTCAACAAGTTGGGTTTCAGAGCATAGCTCTCTAGGCTTCTATTCTGCTTTGCTGCCTCCAACCATTGATGGAAGAATCTGCCACAAACAACTATTAGAACTTGCCATGGTTGGGGTGGAGTTGCATCGGAATTAAATAGCCTTGAAGGTTGTGGTTTTGCCTGCTGTTAATGTTGTCCCTGTTGCAGCTGAACAGCAAAATCCATCCCAACTATCACTGTACAGGATCTTTCAAATAATAGTAACTCGTATACTCAGAACCATGATGCAAGGAAGTTAGCAGCCAGGACTTTCTGTACTGGATTCTCTGAGGGTTGCTTTGAAATGGAAATACAGCTGTAGAAGAACAGTTGGAGAATGGGAAAAGGCCATGAGTGTGATGGAATTTAAGCTAACTGTGCTGTAGAATCCTGTTTGTGTTGCATTTGGGCCACTTGCAACAGCTAAACTCAAGTCTTCACCGCAAAGTCCTGTGAAGTCCATCTGAAAGACATTGGTGCACCTCTCTCCTATCTATAAAGTGCCATCTTTCTCAGGAGCTTTCTATGTTCTGTATCTGAACATAGCTTGCCAGGAGTGTCCGGTGGTACTCAGTTACCTGGGCACTGGTTTAGCAAAATGATCTGCCCGGCGTCTGTAAGCTGCATTCAGGTGGTCTGCAGCATGTATGCATTAAACAGTAATACTGGTTTTCAATTGTATTCTTACTGCTTCTTTAGATTCTTATATTGTACTTTATTGTGTTGCAGTCTGAATTTAATAGAATGCAAAATGTTAGAAATAAAAGAAACACTAAAAAATTAATTTTAAAACCATACATCACCTAGCACAGCACAATTGCTGCAACAGGCAGAAAAATCATTAAGTGGTCCATCAGCAATTTTCAAGTGGTCCGTTGGGGGGGAGGAGCTTGGGAACCACTGCTCCTGCTCTAGAGACATGAGTGATGTGGCTGTATGTAGTTGATCCCTTTTTCCTTAACCATTTGGATCAGTATGCCTTTGCCATTGCCTTGCTTGAGATTAGTGGCTTGTAGTGGGTTATTGGCTTGAGTGTGTTGGATTTTTATCACACACAGTCTTGTTTCCTGTCTTAATTGTGGGAACATATTGATTTGTTTGTAGAAACCAGGAATCTTGGGAGAGTCTCCGCTGGGTTCCTTGCAGCATGCTTTGGGAATGCAAAACACACCAACTTCTCAGACAGGAAATCAGTTACTGAGTGAGATGTCCTCAGGTAAGTGCTTTGTGGTATAGGGTCATAACAACATCCTCTGCAGAATTTAATTTTTGAGTGATGGTTTCTACTAGAAGCTAGGGAAATTATGTTCTATAAAGTCAGTACCTAGGCAGTGAAAGTATGGAAAAACTTAGGGATCAAGGAAACTCCTGATTCTTTCAGAAACTGACTGACCACATAATATAGCTTATCTGTTCTTATTTTTCTCATTTAACTTACTTTATAGATTTTTACTTTTAGTAAAAGGTGAAGATTTATACAATCTGAAGAGAAACCACCTTAATAACTGTTAACATACACAATTGTTATACTTTGTATTTTGGGTCTATGGACTGCAATAAAGCCGTGTGTGAATTTTACCTTGCTGATCCAAGGCCAGAATTCTTTCATCATAACAGAAGGGAGAGTATTTACTTGGGTTGCTGTATAGCAGACTGTCCTTTGAATAGGAGAAGGCTTTCGGATGTAGTGAGAAGGCAAAATATTTTTTGTTTGTTTGAAATCTTAGCATAATTGGTGCTGCACCTCACAGCAACTTCATCTCATCAAGATCTACTCATACAGCAACTACAGTAACTCTGTTGTTATTTTTGCGAGCAGCAGCAGTTCCTTCTTCAGCTATGTTCTGCTTGTTCTGGCCCACGAGAAATCTTTCTGTGCATTTTATTTTTACTTCTCTTCACTTCAGAGTAGCTCCTGCAGCCCTGTGTGGAAATTAGGTAGGTGGCGCCACTCCTCACAGAAGTTGTGTAGAGGAAGATTGGCGGAGCAAAGAACTCTGCTAACAGATCAAACAAGTATATCCTCAGGCCTGCAGTTGTTGAGGAAGGGAGAGGTTGCAGGCTAGTTGCACAGCAAGTTGTTCAGCAAGTCCTCATTCGGAGCAGGATAGCATGGAAGGGAGCAAATTAACTCCTTCCATGCAGTGAGTCCCGTAGTGTTTAATGAAGGGGTGTTTTGAGTCTTAGCTCCACATGAAGCCACCGACCTGGGGAACATAGAAGAAGAGTAGGGTTTGCTACCTTTCTTGCATTCTCTGAAGGAGTCTCCCCAACCATGTCTTTGTTGAAGGTGGTAGCAAACTTTCACCCCACCCATTGTGCTCTTGCCCCCATTGGAGCTTTTCATTGCTCTTGTGGAAAGGACTCAGACCAGCAATTTATGTATAAATCCCTAGCAGGTTGGGTAGCCCCATTTTACTCCCTTACTCACTGGCAAAAGTCCAGCAAATGACTTTCTACTCTTTAAGGTATTTTAACCACCATGAATTAAAGAAGTGGTTAGTTGACAACATTTGAACAGTAAATTGACTGTCCCAACCTGATGATTTGGGTTCCAAAACTACTTTATTTTAGGAAGTGGCTCTCACCTGGGTGCATGTCCTCTCCTTAGGTGGCTCCCTACCTTCTGATATGGCTCCAGGACCTGTGAAGTCTCCAATCTTGCCTTCAGGAAACCTGCCTTTGCCATCCTTTCTGGGACCATTGGGAATGGAGAGGGAGAACTCTGGGATAGGACCCCACCTGACCCCACCTGGGCTGCAAGGCCTCACCACTTCTATCCTGGGGTCTGTGATCAGTGGGCTTCAGAAGCCAAAGCAGACAGAAAATGGGCCTCCATCATCTGGGGTAAGTGTGAGGCTATCAATGAACTTTTGTGAGGAATCCGGTACCTTGTGAAGGTTTACGTTTGTGAAAATCTGAATATATGTTATGTGGTGCTTTTCTGTCCTTCATCATTGTAGTTCAGAAACATGTGAGGGTCTTGACTGAAGTGCTTTTATACTGCATGAGAGCTTCAGTTGTGCTTTTCCTTCCTGTCCCTTTTCCCTTGCAGCTCTCCTCCTGCTTTTGAATTCTTCAGTTCTCATGCCCGCATTGAAACCCTGGGATGAAACTGTTGCAACTGGATAGAAACATAACCAGTTCCTAGACTTCTAGATATTATTATCACTAAATTTATTACCTGCCCTTCAGCAGCAGGTCCCAGGGCAGGTTACAACAATTTAAAATTCAGAATTGAAAACAGTTAAAGCAAATTATAGTCACAGGAATAGAGTGTGTCCTGAAAAAACCTATCTTGGATAGCATAGGCCAGGGTAAAAAACATTTCCAAAACCTGTATAGTGAAGAAGCCAGATGCACATCTGTGATGAGGATATTCCTCATCTTCAGAGCTGCCACAGAGAAGGCCCTCTCCCCCTGGGCCACACACAACAAACTTCTGAGGGAGGTATATTCCTCAGGAGGTGGAACCACCAAGAGAAGCCCCTTATAGCATAACTGACTCCAGGGGTTTTCAAAATTGGGCTGCAAGTGATCAGCTGGAAGATGTTCAGCATAGTGTAGGCACTGTGTTTAGCCTGTCCACACTTCTGTAATCAGTATGTCAAAAGCATGTTATTAGAAGAAATTATATTAGAAGAAAAACTGCCAAGTGTTTGTTGCTGAGAATCTCTTTAAAACCAATAGATCACTTCACCAAGCTCCAACGTTGGACTTAACTTTTTATTTTTTAATAGAGGATGCATCCACCTTTTCTTCAAAAAATAAAACTGTTTAACTTTTTTATCACACAATGTGTGATTCACCTTTGTTAGGGGCACCAGCTGGAAACCTCTAGAAAATGGTGCTCACTGTTGCCTCTCTTACAGGTCTCTCTGCTAGGAGAGCCACCCAAAGACTTCAAGATTCCACTCAATCCTTACTTAAATCTGCAAAGTCTTCTCCCTACGAACAAGCCTGGAGGTAAGGTGGCCACATCTTAAGTGGTATTTGGCTAAAGTGGATCTGTTGAAATTAATGGGCCAAATTTAGACATGTTAATTTCAGTGGGTCTACACTGAATAAAAGTTATCTGAATGCCACCCTTACTTGGCACAAGGGGAAATGAAAGTACAAAACTGTGTCCTCTAGTACTTGCTAGAAAATCTAATTTCTGGTGTGCTTTGAGCTGTCTTATGGAGGCAGGATGGGTAAGAGGCATGGCAGTTTTTAGTGCTCTTTCTGCCTGCAGCTATAGACCTTGCATGATTAGACAATGAGGGTGTTTCCTGCAGCCCTGAGGTGAGTCTAGAGGGGGACAAAGCCTTTCCTATCCCTGGTTCTTCTACCGTGCTGCCTGCATGCTGTTAGTCAGCTCTTTTGTCTTTGTAGGTGGGGCCAACAAAGCGTTCAGCTTGAAGACTGGTGTACTGGGCAATGTTTCAAATCCCAGAATTCCACAGGCCTCCCTATCTGATGCTGTGTTGCCTTCTTCTGGGCTGACAGGAGACGGCTGTGCTTTTGACTACCAGCCAGTGAGTACTTGAAGATCCATTATGGCCATGGCTTCTGAATATAAACAGCAAGGTTAAAGTGCTGGAGTTGCTTTCATTTATCTTAATGCCCTTTAGGCGCTGCTTCTTCATTCTGTATTATTATTCTGTGTGGCAGCATCTGCTAAAAACATTCTTGTTTAGACAAGCCTGCCCAGATGCTTAGGGTGTAATTTTAATCTCTTTTAGTACTTTATCTTTTGTATGTTTTAGGGTTGTAATTTTTTATTGAGTTTATTGCCTTATCTTTTTGTAAAGTGCTTTGAGGTTATTTTGCAATCAAGTGATGTATGAATTTTATGAAATAAATGTTATGTTCCTGTAGGCACAGATTTCTAGTTCTTATTGGTGACCATATCAGTTCAAATGACATAGAATCATAGAATCAGAGTTGGAAGGGACCCTGAGGATCCACACTCTAACCAACTCAGCTATGAAAAGTTTGGGGCATCACTATATCCAGTTTACACAACTCGGGATTAAAGAGTTCCTGCCTTTTCTCTTTTCTATCAAAAGGACTTGGGAACGCGAATGTATCCGCAGGCCAGAGAGACAGGGCCCCAGCTAGGTGGATTTGCACACAACAAGCAGAAGGTAAACATCCATTGTTTTAAATGCCTCTACCTAGCTTGGATGGGGTAGATCCAGAGGCAGCCAACATGGTGCCCTTGCTGAACTGCAGTTCCCATAATTGCTGGCCGTTGGCCATGCTGGTGTGAATTGATGGGAGTTGGGAGTCCAGCAGCATCTGGAGGGCACCGTGTTGGCTACCCCTGGGCTAGTCCCAAGGCAGCTGCCTCTGTCATATTTATATTCCTAAATACAGTGTTGTATTTGATATGGTGGCACTAAAAAATGTCAGCTGCTGGCCTCATCCCCTGAAAGGCAGTAGGTTTAGAATGCTGCAATGCCATAACTATGAGATTTGTCGTTATGAAGTGTTGTGATTTGTGCTAGTTTAATGTGCATGGAAGATGGCCTGGTAAGGAACACCCACAAACTTGGCGGTTAAGAGCAAGCCGTACTTGAAACGGTCGCTAACTGTGTAGCAGAATGCACAAGGAGGGCACAGAGCTGTGGAAGGTTGTGGGCGGGAAACGGACTCTTTCTTCTAGCCATCCTGCAGTGCTGAACTGGTGACAAGTGCCTGCTGTCATCCTCCTTTCTCTCCCTCTCCAAGGCAAGTTGTCACTTAGAAGCGCTGCATAGGCTGGTGGGAGGGGCTCAGTCATTTTTAGTTGTTGCTGTCCTACAGTGTGGAGAGGGGTGTGAGAAGCTCTGCGTACAAGGAGCCGGTGTGAATCTTGTTCCCCTTTTCCAGGTGTCATCACCTGGGTTTGAACGGAACAGCCTTGGAGCCCCTCTGCCTCCGTTCTATTCCGGATCCCCAAGCTCCTATTTCACCAGCGGCCTTCAGGCTGGGCTCAGACAGAGCCACCTAAACAAAGTAAGATTTCCCATAATGATGGTTGTGCTTTGTTTTAGGAAGCAAATTTGGATAGTTTTGGATGCTACACTGGCACACAAACAGCTCCAGTCACTTGCTGATGTGGTCTCATTTTTGTTTTGTTATTTGTTAAATTTGTATACCTCTCTTCACCCCAAGATCACAGGGCAGTTCACAACATAAAAATACAAAATGTGAACACAAAATACATAAAAAGCAAAACAAAGACAAACTCATTCATTGGCTGTCTGAAAGCATCCCCCCATGCTTTTCATTTGAGTTTGTGGCCACTAGTTTTCCCTATGATAACAGCTTTTGCACACAGCTGAAGATAGAAATGGCCAAACCTCAGTAGAATATGATCAAGGGAGATTGCAAACACTTTCAGATATAACCCACAAAGTGCATGAGTTGCAGATCTTGTAAAAGAAAAGGTGAACATGGAATTGCTTTGATTATTATAGTGGGAATAGAGAATCTATTTTGTTGTTGGATTCTAGCTCCCATCAGCCCCAGCCATCACGGCTGCTGGTCAGGGATCGCAAGAATTGTAGTCCCAACAATACCTGGAGGGCAAGAGCCTGGAATAAGAAGGAAAATATTAGTATAATTATCCAAGACTGGAAACATTGGCTGGGATCCAAATAACAAGAGAACTAGTTTATGTGCCTATACTGTGCTCTGGGCTTGCTTTGCCAACAGCAGACCCCATGATACATTGTAAACCTTTTGGAAACTGATGATACTTTTTAAAAAGCATTCTGATCTTGCATTGATCTGTTTAAAGTGCAAGATCCTGATGGACATGCCTTGGCAAGCGTAGTGATCTGTTCTTGTATTACTAGCAGTCTCAAAACCTGCAACTGCAGAACCTTCTGTAGATTGACCCCAAGATATAAATTAGTCTAATTTCATGCTGTTATTTTGCACAGGGGCTTTCTGGCTTCATTTGTTAGCGTGAAATTCTTGGATGCTTTTCTTCAGGAACTTCAAAGAAAAAGTATTTGGAAGGAAATCTCACAGGACAGCCAGAGAGGTTGGGGAGCAGGCTTACAGCCATTCTAAGCAAACAAGCCAGCTCACTCAGGCCACTTGTGAGACCTAGCTTTGCCTCCATATCCCTGAAGGACTGACATCTTGCCTTTATCAGTGTAGTGTTTTTCATAGAATCACTCTGGGTAGTGGAGGGGGGTGTCAGCCTCGCAGTCAGAAATGATGTTAGTTCTACTCTTGCCTTTTCTTCCAGGCAGTTGGGATGCCACCTGTGAGTGCAGCAGATGGCATCATGGGACTAGGACCAACAAGTCACTCACACAGCACCTACTCAAAGGTGGGTTGGTACCGCTTTGACCTTTGAAACCTTTAGCTCCTCCATGTCTTGTCATTTCCCTAATTCTGCCTCTCTTCCCCCTCATTGCTTTTGCAGACTCCGGTTGGTGGCCAGAAACGGGCCTTTTCCCACCTGCTCCCATCCCCAGAACCCAGCCCAGAAGGGAGCTATGTGGGTCAGCATTCTCAAGGCCTGGGAGGGCACTACGCAGACTCCTATATGAAGCGAAAGAGGATATTTTAATCAGTTTCCTATAGAAGCACTCACTTTTCTCCTTCCCCAAATATGTAAATTTTTGTAAAAATGTTTTTAATGTTTTGCTTAGACTTGGTTTTAAGACTCGGTGCAGAGGACTTGGCTTCTGAGCATGGGATCCAGTGCAAGCACATCCTGGGCTTTGAAGATGAACCCTTGGTGCATTTTGCAGCAAATTCCCCTTTTCCCTAAGTGAGGCTATTTCGACAATCAGGAGAATCACCACCAAACTGCAGACAGCTCCCTACTGCCTCTCAGTCAGCTGGACCAAAATGAAACTGGATGCCTTTTCCCTACTTGGGCTCCTTCCTGTTCTGTGCTCTTATTGCAGTATATTCTACTTGCATGGTCCTGTTGAGCAAGGGCCTTGTCTTCTAGAGATACGAGTGTCTTGCCTTAACACTTTTTCCAGCGAAGGAATGTACTTGCATTCTGTAGGTGCCTCTGGATTGCTGCAGTGTGACAGAGCAAACTACTAAAGAGGAAGAAGATGGCAACGGAGAACTCTTGCGTCACGTTGGAAAACACGGTCCTGGTCAGTTGCAGCCTGTCACCTTCACTATGCTCCTGCGGCCCCCAGGTAGAGACATGACTCTGCCTCCCCTGCAATCTGACTTTGCTTTTATTTTTTTAAACATTAAGTCTGTGTACTTATTTTGGTTATGATTAATTTGTAAATTACCTTTTTTTTAAAAAAAAATCCATGCTTTTAGTTACTTCCTTTAAAAATACATAGTTTAGAAGTGTGTGATCTTGGTAAACTCTATGAACTTGATTTACTTGTTTTAAATTCTCTCCCTCCTTGGGTTGTTGCTGTTTTTTCATTGGTTTAGACCAATTCCCTCTTGGGTGCAAAGGTTTTTTGAGTGAGTGTGGTTTTGTCTTAATGCTGATCCTGCAGTCTGATAACACTTAAGCCAGGCTCCTGTGGCTGGGTCTGCCTTTGGGTGTTGTTCCCTGGGGTGACTTAGAATTTTGCTTAGTGTTTTTCCATCTTGGTGGCAACAGGAGTCCTCCATTTGGCTTTTTGAGAGGACCCAGCTTTGAAGCTACACCTGCACTTTTTGCAGAGCTACGATTTTTGAGTGGGTTCCACTGAACTGGCATTTTCCAGCTCCAGTCTGAACTTAATGGGCTGTGAATGATCCTCTTCCCCTTACACTGGGCTGAGGGTGAAAAGATGGAAAGCACAACCCTATTCTACCAGGACATTTTCTGAACAAGGTCCAGGTTTAGCTTGGTACAGAGATAAATAAATGGCCCTATAAGTTGCTTAACCATCTTAGGTTCACAGTAGTTCCATATTACCCATTCTCAGTGTGTGGAGTTTGCTTTGAGACAGAGAAGGGGTCTGTGGCCTTTTTCCTGGGGGATTTGTAGTTTAGCCTATATACATTTTCTGTTTTATAAACATGCTATGATGATTCTACTGTAGATACTGCTTGGTTAGCTGTATATGTCGTGGGATTTGAAATCCATTGGCAGCTGGATACCAACTTTCCAAAGTAAAGTTATATTTATATCAAACCTTGTCTCACTTTTTCATTCTTTGTGCATGGAGCTTTAAGAATAATGAGCAGTGGAAGCAGATGTTTTTGAGCAAGTAATACTACTTGCTGGCTTAAATAGAAGATGGAGAGGTGAGTGTGTGTTTGGAACTGGCACTAAATTGTAGGCTGTATTCAAAGACGAGTCACATCCATTGTTGTTCTTCCTTTTGCCTCTGGCATTGCCTGCCACAAGAATGCAACACCTGGAAAGTTGTCCAGAAGAAAATATGACCCTCTGGCTGAGAAAGGTTTACTCCCCGCCCCCCCAACTTGTAACTACAAAACAGGTTGAATTATTATTCAAATAGTACCACATTAAAGTGCAAAGGTGCTAGACTACAGGTAAAGTATCTGTTTCAACAAAGGCTCCTCTAAATGAATACTACAACTTCTAATTTCTTTGGGAAAAGTTGGATTAAGTTTGAATGATATCCTTCCAGCATAGATTTGTGTCGTCTTTTATAAGAATTTTTTTCCTGTAAGGTATACTTAATTCCCTCCTCTGTGACATATTGTATAAAAACGAAACAATTTTGTATCGAAACAAAATTACACATACACTTGCTTTGCTTCAGTGTACAATGCAAGTTGTGCAAAGTGCTCTCACTCCACTGGGCAAAGGAAATAATCTCTTAGTTTATGAAAGGCTTGCCGGCCCTCAACCACTCTTGAAGGGATAGTATCTCCATTTGTTCCATAGATTTTAAACATAATACCTGTCAAAATATTCAAGATTAGATAAATGGACCTTGTTACAACAATGTTGATGAAGGGCTTATTTACACCTTTGGTGCTAACTAGTGTATAAATCCAATATGCACCAGAAGAGAGTGAGAAGGCTACATAGTGATGTCCCAAAAGGAAAAACAGGTAAGATTTAATGGTGGACCATCCATAAGCTTCTGTGAGACAAGATGGAATAGGGCTACCATTGGCTTCTGATTAAAATATTAAGATCTGCCATTTCCCAGAGAAACGGTTGCTACCGTTGCTAAGCAGTAGGCCTTCTTGCCTCATAGATCACTTTCTGTTTGCTTCCTCCATGGCTGCCATGCTCATCTGCTTTATTTTGGTATTGAATTTAAGTGAATTCAAGCACAGGGCCTTTTGGACTTAATCCTCCTATGTTTAAATATGCCTGACTGCTCTAGATGTATCCCAGCCAAGACTGTCATTCACTGAAATACCTTGTACTTCCCTTGTCCATGAGGAACTAACAAAATGGTTATTTTAGTCCTTTCAGCATCTGCAAAGTTAGGGGATATCCTGCATTTCTAAGATGCTAAAACAGAAGCACTGAAAGTTCTCAAGTAGCGTTGTGCCCAAATGACTTCCAATAAAATAGATCTGATTGGGTCTTCTGACTTGTTACTTAAAAGCAGCTTAGGAAGGTGGAAAGGGTGGACTCTAAACATCATTAAAAGCAGCAATATTTGGAGGATTCTTATGGACAAACTGCTTTGATCAAAATCCAGTTCCGCTTCACCCAAGCTACTTCTAAGAATGAAGAAGTCCTGTGGAACCACTCACAATTCTTTAATAAAAATTATTAAAAATACAAACAAGCAAACAATTTGTGTTTGATTTGCAGCTTTTTAAATTAAAAAAATGCATCTGATCTCTTCAGTCTCTTGCGTCTTATGTGATTCTGCTCTTGGCAAGTAACTTATCTCAGCCTTTTAGTATGATACGGACAGGTCTGGCAGGAAGTTTTTCTCTCTCCAGGCATAATATATCACGAAAAGATGTCATAATGAGACAGGAGGGCACTGAAAGATACTTTTCTTTGGAGTACATCATCATCAGCGTCTTCATCATTTTATTTGTATGCCGCCTTTCCACAGTTAAAACAATGTTCAAGGCGGCTTACAATATGAAAAGATACATAATTACAATAGCGAAGTAGTTATTAAAAAAACACATTAAAAACTACATAATGTGATAAGAATGTTAAGGTCTTAGATATATATTAAATGTTCATAAATGTACCAACCAAGCACGTACATAGATCAGCACAGGAAGACCGACCTGAAACCATTTTTGATTCCCAAACTGACCAAATGTTTCCTCTGCAAGGAGGGAGGGGGTCAGGGAGCCTTCCCATTGTCTCAGGAATTGCATAATCGGCATTTTAATGGGTGACAGACTATCAGATAACCTGGCAGACAGGAAAAACAACATTCACATTTCTGTTTTAGACCTTTTCTGTGATGTAGGTATGTGGGAGGTGGTCTTGAGCTACACCCCTCCTGTGATGTATGTATGATGTTTCTGGGGGTGGTCTTGGACTCCAGGGCAGGGAATTTAAAATGTCTATATAAGGGTGGGCACACCTTTGTTCTGGGTTCCTCCTCCTCTCCTGCGGGTGAGGGGAGCACCCTGTTGCAACAGATCAATAGAGATCAGGCTTACTAGCTGCTTTGCTTCTCAATATTCTCTGGTTGGTCTCTGTTATTTCTCTTAACAATAGGGAACCTACGTAAGAACTCTATATGGGCTCTTGGATACCCCATAAGGGAAAAGGGCAGATTTTGTTTACAACAATATCCACATAAAAACTACAGTACTAATCCTTCTGCAGATTCTGCCCAAGGCCAGATCAGCGACCAGGCGACATTCCATCAACTGAGCAAGTTGATTTGTTGACATTATTTATCATCTTGCATTTGGTAATTCGAAACGCTTCTCAGCCAACACTTTCTAGCCTCCGCCCACAAATGTTTCCACCCGGAATAAGCAAGGGAGACTCCCTTTGAAAGGGGCGGAGGCAGAATAAGACAACGCTGCTTTCCAGGAGTGGGGGAGATCCCCGCGCAACGAGCCAGGCTCCCCTTCCCCTCCGTTGCCACGGAAACAGCCGCCGCCCTCTGACCCCGGCGGTCACGTGGCGCCTGTCATGGCGGCCTCCTGGGCCGCGAAGGGCGGCGCTGGCGTCTCCCGGTGTCCGGGGCGCCGTCGGGTCCTGGCGGCGGCGGCCGGCCGGCTCCTGCCCCGGGGCTTCCGCACTGCAGGTGGGCGAGGAGAGAGCGGGGCTGCTCTCTCTCCAGGGGTCAGGGAAAGACTACCGGGCTGGGGGGAGGCGGGTTGCTCTTTCTTCCCTCCCCTCCCCCTTCCCTGTAAGCTGCCGTGAGTCCCCGTCGGGGAAAAGGCGGTGTGTCAATAAATGTACAACAACAACAGCACCACAACTTGGTCACGAAGCGAGGGGCGCCTCGGGATTCATCGGCGGTGTTTTTGTTCCAGCAGGATCCCTCCCCCCCTGTTGTGTAACCAACAGCTCAGATTGTTCTTCGTCAGAAGTTCGATTTGGCCACCCAAACAAACTTGCTCCGAATTGGAGTAATTCAGAGGATCACTCCCTCCCTTCCCCCAACCTGGTGCCCTCCAGAAGTTTGGGGGCTCTAGTCCACACTTTAGTTTTACGCATGACGTGCCTTGTTGCTTTAAGCTATATAATAAATAATAATATTTTTTTATTTATACTTCGCCCTCCCTGGCCAGGGCTGGGCTCAGGGCGGCTAACACCAACATATGTACCCTGCCTTGAGATTGAATAGTAAAAGACAAGGCTCTAAATGCATATAAATAAATAAAATGCTGTGTGTTTTTCCCCCCCAGTGACCTTTCAAGCAGAAGAGGAGAACTCTGCCGCAGAAGTGTGAGTACTACAAAATGTAGCCGGGTTTAATTTTGGGGAGTGGGTTGGGTTAAACTAATCTTGGATCTTCTTTGGGCGGTTGACATATTTTGTGCTTTTGATAGCATCATCTCAATGAGAATTCGTGGTTTGAAATATTGCTTGTTAATTGTAAGTAGCGTACATACTTAGGCTAGGTGGTTGCAAGAGTCCTAGCAGCCTAATTTCTGCAGTGGTGTGTCCAGGTGGCAACTTCACAAATACTTTTTTTAAAAAATGAATTTTATTAGTATTTTCCACACAACAACAACAACACGAAAGATATCAAAAATATCTTCACAAATACTTGTGTGTGCTAACCAGAAATACAGGAAGCAAAACACACTAGGTACAATTGTTTGCTTAGTTCACAGTGCAACTCTTACTGGGGTGGTGGCTCATCCTATGCTGGTCTTGCAGTTACCACTTGTTACTTGTATCACGCATTGGCAGGACCATGTGGGGGGGCTGCTTTGAGTGCATCTGGACTGCATACCAGATGTACATTTGTCTCCCTTTACAGCTGCTATGTTGATACACACCAGTGCTAAACTTTGAACACTTAAAACTCAATTGGCTAGAAGAGCTTTTTGCTCTGTTGAGTCTTCAGCACTTCCTGTTTGTTTCTTTTTAACATTACTAGGGAATGGCTTACCAATTCTGCCTACCTGCTGCATCCCACAACCCCTCTGCCAACCTTCTTCTGGACCTTGCCCAACCCTGCCCCCATCCACCCCCTCAAAGTCCCCAATCGCCATGCTCCCCATATTGCTTTCTCTCCTTCACCCACTGCTGGTGCTGGTGGTGGTGAAGAGGAGAATGAAGAGGAGAAAGTCATTGTCCCACCACCACTGACAGAATGCAGGCTTCCTTCTACTGGCAATGTATCACAGCAGCAGGGGAAGAACAAAAGGGAGAAAGACTTTTCCCTCCTATTTCTGCCAGCTGTGGGGCCACTCACTCCTTCCTCCAGCCTACTCAGGTCCTAGGCTTTCCTTGTCCTATTGGGCATGCACGCACCCTTGTATGTTTATTTTATTTATACCCCACCCATCTGGTTGGGTTGCTTCCAACACAAATCATCATCATCATCAAACATTAGCAACAATCAGATCCTATATAAAAAGTCACAATAACAATGCCAGCATGACAACAGATGAGTGCAAATATAGTATAGAGGGATGAGAATATTTGGAATTCCAAACCTAAGTCAGCTGTTAGTTGTTGCTTGGTAATCTGTGCCTTTATGCAGAAACACAGGAGACTTTCAACCATGCTTGTAGCTTTTCAGCACCTGACAATTATGGGAAGGTCAATTGTTTGAAGATGTGCCTATGCTTTTTATCCTGCTTCAGAGTGAATGTGGTGTTTATAGACCGGTCTGGGCAAAGGATCCCAGTGCAAGGCAGAATTGGGGATGATGTGCTGCGCTTGGCTCAGAAACATGGCATTGAGCTAGAAGGTAGGTCTTAAGTGCCCTGCTTTATCCGGCTATGTAGCAGTCCAGTCTAGCATCCTCTTTCCAATAGTGGCTAGCCAGCTGCCATTGGGGAGTCCACATATAGCTTCTCCTGCATGCTTTGTTACCTGATATGTACTGTGTCTGCACATGGAGGTAGTTTTTAGCCATTTTGGCTAATGGTATGCACAATAATGTGCAAGTATGCTTTTTTGGTAGTGCCCCAGCACTGTAAAATCCCTTCCTATTGACTTGCAACTCATCCCATCTGTTTAGGCAAGTTCAATTGAGATTGTAAATAACTTGGGTGTTACAGAGCAGCTTCTTAATTATTCTGTGTGCTTGCCAATGTGGCTATTGTATAATGACTTGCTCCTGTCTGTTGCTTTATGAGGGCAAAGCCCTAAAATACTTGGCCAATGTTACTTGTTTCACTTTGTGTGGCAATGGGTGCTTTTTCAAGTAACCTGGTCACAGTATCAAGTTCTAGTATTATAATGGAAGGAGTAAAACTCAACCCTTCCTCCACACTGTTCATCAATGTATAAATATTACACCCTCCCTCCCCACTATCTCTCCCCTTGTTGTATGGGGGAGGGGACTACCATATTTTTCACTCTATAAGACGCACCCGGCCATAAGACACGCCTAGTTTTTAGAGGAGGAAAACAAGAAACAAGAAAGCAATGCAAAGCATTGAGCGAAGAAGCAGAAGCGCTCCCGCTGCGCTCAAGAGGCTTTGCGTGGCTATCGCTGAAGCCAGGAGAGCAAGAGGGATCGCTGCGCAGCGATCCCTCTTGCTCTTCTGGCTTCAGCGATAGCTGCACAGCCTGCATTCACTCCATAAGACGCACACATTTTTCCCCTTACTTTTTAGGAGGGGAGAAGTGTGTCTTATAGAGCGAAAAATACGGTAAGTCCCAACAGCTCTGGTATTTCCTCATATCAAAGGTGCCACAACTCCTTGATCATTTTGGTTGCCCTTTTCTTGTTTTATGATACACTTTTTGAGAGGCCAGGTGATTGGAATAGTGCACAGCATGCAGAGTGCCTTCTCTTGACTTGGCAGCAAAATCTCTCTCATTGTCTTTGCCTCTTATCTGCCCAGGTGCCTGTGAAGCTTCCCTAGCCTGTTCCACTTGTCATGTCTATGTGAGCCATGATGTTGTAGACAAGCTCCCCCAGCCTGATGAACGGTAAGGACCACCTTACGACCATAGACTTCTAGAGTTGGAAGAGACCCTGAGGGTCATCTAGTCCAACGTCCTGCAATGCAGGAATCTTTTGCCCAATGTGGAGCTCAAACCCATGACCTCGAGATTAAGAGCCCCATGCTTTACCAACTGAGCCATCCCTTGACACTCCTTGTAGCAGAAATGGCCTTTCTTAGCTCCCTGCTGATGGCATTCCACAACTTCCTCAGCAGTGGCTGGGAGGGCCCTGCTGTCCAAGCCTGAAGAAACTGGCAGGTTTCTGGTGCAAAAAAAGGAGGCAGTGCCCCTGAGACCGAGAGAGACCTCTAGTGGGGTAGGAGAGCTGAACACAATGCCAAAAAAATTCACATCAGGCAAACAATGCACCCCTTGGGTTTCAGATGGTACCTGGATAGAAGAGTCTAAAAAGCCTGGGACACAAATTTTCATGGCCCTCTATTGACTATGGTGGCTCATTTACAAGAAGTAATGAAAGGAAGACCTTTCATTGCCTACAGACAGCCACCCAATCGTAAACAACACTCCTCACCCACAATAATACAACAACCAGACTTAACATGGACACTGGTACCAGAGCCTGCAATAAACCTAGAGGCCAACTTTGCTGCCACATACACCCGGACAACACCATTACTGGCCCCAACAACATCAAACACACCATCTCAGGACTTATTCAATTGCTCATCTTCTAACATTGTGTATGCCATCAAATGCCAACAGTGCCCTTCAGCTCTCTATATTGGACAAACAGGCCAAACCCTATTCCAAATAATAAAAGGACATACCGGTAAATCTGATATCAGGAATCACAAGACAGAGAAACCAGTAGGAGAACACTTCAGTCTCCTAGGACATTGTATACAAAATCTCAAAGTAGCTGTCTTATTACAAAAGAATTTCAGAAATAGACTGGAAAGAGAAGTTGCTGAATTGCAACTTATTACCAAACTTAAAACCATGGAGAGACCTGGTCTGAATAGACACATTGGATTCTTATTATACATGATATAGCTATTTTTAGCCATCTCACCACTTGCTTTTTCCTGTAAGACCAATTTCAGTTGTTAACAGTCATCAACAGGTTTACCACACCTATCAGCCAATCACCCATTCCCACCACCCTTCTGAGTAATACCCCTTCCCACCCTCTCACTATATATAAGGGTCTGGTGACTTCTGTTTCAGTGTATCTGAAGAAGTGTGCATGCACACGAAAGCTCATACCAATAACAAACTTAGTTGGTCTCTAAGGTGCTACTGGAAGGAATTTTTTTATTTTGACTACAGCAGACCAACACCTACCTGTAACAAGAAGTAATGTAGTTAGTGTTACCTTTGGAAGTGTATACTTGATTCTGACCAAACTAAGCCCCCTAGAGCACAATATATACATCAGGATGTATATTGATCAGAGGGGGATAATGGGGATTGTTTTTTTCTGGCAAGTAGCACTGCTTGCACTGACGTGAACGTTCACCATAGTTCAGTGTTGAATTTAATCTAGTGACTTGATTCTTGTTTTTTGTTTAAAATGTGTTAAGATGAGCTATAATGTGGACTTGCTTGGTATTTTAGCACTGGTCGTACCAACTCTTCTTCATCTTCTTATCCACCTTGGGGGTTATGGGCTGGAAGTCACTCTTCTTGTCTTCTCGCAGGGAGGAAGATATGTTAGACATGGCACCACTGCTTCAGGAGAACTCTCGCCTTGGCTGCCAGATTATCCTCGACAAAGAATTGGAAGGAGCAGAGTTCACCCTCCCCAAGATCACTAGGAACTTTTACGTGGACGGGCACGTCCCCAAACCCCACTGAGTGCCATGGAGCCAAAGGCTGGACCAATCTCCAAAGTGAGCCTGATCTCTTAAGCAGCCGTCAGAGAGCAAGACAGCGATGCGGTCAAAGCACGCATGATGCTTTAAAAAATAAAATTGTGTTCTATGAACAAAAGACTGATGCAAAGAAAAGAAATGTGTATCTTCCAGAGAGCATTCTGAGTAAGGCCAGAGCTTTCTGCCTCTCTGAGCCTCCCTTAAGCTATTGCTTAACTGCATTCATGGCTTGAGAAGGATGTTGGGAGATGTACCTCCCCCAACCTAGAAGCACTTTCCCAAGTCCTGTGGGAAATGTTTCAAGGGGAGAAGAGGCTCCTGCAGATTAGCACCACTATTTTAAGGTGAGCACAGCAAGTACTGGCTTCATGGAAGGAAAGCGAGGGATGAGGGGAGTGGGTTACCCTCCACAAACACTTTGATTGTGTTCTTTCTCTCTGTTTCTGTGTTTTCTCTTGCTGCTCAAGCAAGTGCATTAATTTTCATCGGGGACTTCTTGTCTTTCACTTGCCATTTGACTGCTGAGAAGATCGGTCAGCAACATCATTCATAGCACCAAAGAAGCTGAGAGGAGGAAGGCACTTGCCCCACACCTCCTCTGGTTTTTATCAGTAAAAAAATAAAAGCAGCCTATTACTGTTGTTCTTGCATTTGTGTACAAATTGCATTGTGACATTCAGTTTGCATTATACTTTTATTATATACAGAGTTGTGTTTGATTGGAATACCATACAGGCAAGAACAATCCATCTACTCTTCAATAATACCTTCACATTAAAATTCATTTAAATAACCCCTCCCTCTTCTATTCCAACTAGAGCCAGTGTGGTGTAGTGGTTAAGAGCAAAAGCCTCGTAATCTGGGGAACCGGGTTCGCGTCTCCGCTCCTCCACATGCAGCTGCTGGGTGACCTTGGGCCAGTCATACTACTTTGAAGTCTCTCAGCCCCACTCACCTCACAGAGTGTTGTGGGGGAGGAAGGGAAAGGAGATTGTTAGCCGCTTTGAGACTCCTTCGGGTAGTGATAAAGCGGGATATCAAATCCAAACTCCTCTTCTTCTTCTAGGTCTCCCAATGCTTTCAAAAAATGTACAAGCTTGCATATTGGCAAGTCGTTTGGGGAGGAAGGAAAATAATTCCATTATAGTGCAAGTGGTGATACACCATCAGAAACAGTTCCTTCTATACACTTAACCTGACTGAAGTTGATAATACCATTAGTAGTGGACATTGAATGGGAAAGGAGACAGCATTAAAAGTATGCTGAGCTTAAGCTACTGTTGAAATGATCAGAAGATTAAATCCAGAGGTGAACATCTGTACATGAGTGGTGGATTTCACTCAAAATGTTTTCTGCGGTGCGCTCATTTAAAAGTGCTGTTTATATAAAATTATTGCTACTGTCAGATAACAAGGGCTCCAGTCCTGTGCACACTTACTTGGGAGTAAGCCTAACTGAACAGAGTGGGACATACAGCCGAGTTAAGCAGTGCAGCCCTCTTGGCTAGGGTCAATAGTTTTAAAAACTTGCTGCACCATTCACACACCATTTCTTGCCTTCCTGGTACTGCCTGAAGCTGGCTATTTCATCCTACTGCATAGCAGTCCTGATTGCAAATATGTTTTTAAACTTTTGACAAAACTAGAAACTGACCGGCAGAAACACACAACTGTAGCTGCAGAATTAAGTACAGTGGTACCTCGGGTTACAGACGCTTCAGGTTACAGACTCCGCTAACCCAGAAATATTACCTTGGGTTAAGAACTTTGCTTCAGGATGAGAACTGAAATTGTTCTCCGGAGGTGTGGCAGCAGCAGGAGGCCCCATTAGCTAAAGTGGTGCCTCAGGTTAAGAACAGTTTCAGGTTAAGAATGGACCTCCAGAACGAATTAAGTACTTAACCTGAGGTACCACTGTATTTGGAAGCAGATACTTTCAATATGGTACACAATATAGTTGGACCAGTGCAACTATCTGTATGCCCAGACATTTACACAGGGAGCCCCCCAGGTAATCAATAAATTGAATTTGGCAGTTCCTGCTTCTCTTTGCCTAAACTGCAGAGATAGGGAGGCGCTGAGCATAAGTTGTTGAACTGCAGCGGTCATCACATGGGACTTGGTAGTCCAACAATATCTGGAGGATCACAGGTAGTAGTTATATTATTAATATTTGTTAATTGCTTTGCTCAAGGAAGTGACTCAAAGCGACTTATAGACACAGTCCTGGCCTTTTGTTGTCCAGGAGAAACATCTGATAAGGCAGGCATAGGCAAACTCGGCCCTCCAGATGTTTTGGACTACAATTCCCATCATCCCTGACCACTGGTCTTGTTAGCTAGGGATCATGGGAGTTGTAGGCCAAAAACATCTGGAGGGACGAGTTTGCCTATTCCTGTGATAAGGGAAGAGAAGTGCACAAAAATAACTTTTAAAAGATTGAGAACATCCCCAGGGAGTGCTGCACGTATAATCTGCCTCCACCAGTGGTGGATGTCTTAAACAAGAGTCCAGGTGGGTGAATAAATTCTCCATGCAGGGAGCCAAGTTGATAAGAACTGGGGTCAGTTTTTCCCAAAGCAAAACATCTGAGCAGAGTCCAAAGTGCCCTGCTTTTTGTGGTGGGTGGGAGAGGATTTCTGATGGGGAAAGAGATTTGCTATGATGTGTTTATGAGGAGGGTTCTGTCAATTTATAATGGAAACATTTCCCTATCTATTCACCTGTTCCCAGGCTTGCAGTGCAGAGGACCTGTGGTTCTCCAGATGTTGGGACTCCAACTCTCAGGCATTATGGGAGTTGTAGTCCATCAGCAAGATCTGAAGGGCTACAGGTTTCACCTCCCCGACATAGGGATTTTCATAATTCAAGCCCAAGCATTATTTAACTCTGGAGGCACGAATACAGCATCAGAGGGTGGCTCCTTTGGGGTTCATTCATCCTTACAGCTTTGCTCTGCAACAAGGCTGCTAGGAGCACAGGGCAAATGGGGCATTTGCCCATAATGGGGCAGCTTGTCATCAAACCTGACAAGCAGATGGCTCAGCTAATACAATACAGACGAAGCATAGGAAGACTAATTGCTTGACACAAGTCTAGAGCACCAGAACTGGTTTTTACAGTATTTTATTCAAGTTGGCACCCCTGCCAGCATTTTGCATCTAGCTCTGGTTGGTGGACCTCAGGGTTCAAGAACATAGATCCCACTAGTCTAGACCTGTACACTGGGGACTGTCATTTTATCCTCACAGGAAGTCTGAAAAGTAGGTTCAGCTGAGAAAGATTTGTGGCTAAGTATGGTTTTGACCCTGCAATGATCACATCCAAACCCACCACTCAAGTCCAAAGGTGGACAGAAGGTAGATTGGACTGAAGGGTAGATTGCTGGGTGATTTGTAGCATAGCATCAACTCTGAATATGATATTTAACAACAACAGCAACAACAAAAATATTGCCATAAGTTAGGCTGTTGGAATATTTGATCTGTAGTAATTCAGATATAGATTTGTAACAGGGTGGTGTAGTGAAAACCTGCTCAAATCTCAGCCACTAAATTCAACTGGGAAATCTTGGAGTAGTTGCTCTCTCTCACCCTAACCTACCTCACAGGGATGTTGGTAGGATAAACTTGGGACCGTGGTACTATAATAATAATAATAATAATAATATCTTTATTGTCATTGCCCCCTTCGGGGACAACGAAATTACTATGCATGCCACATTGAGCTCCTTGGCAGGGAATGCATGCATGCATGAAATGAAATGAAACATACACACAGGTGAGTCCTGTGTATGACTTGTGAGGCATCCCCAAACTCGGCCCTCCAAATGTTTTGGGACTACAATTCTCATCATCCCTGACTACCGGTCCTGTTAGCTAGGGATGATGGGAGTTGTAGTCCCAAAACATCTGGAGGGCCGTAGATAATTGCCTCTTCCCCCAACCCTAGATTTAAGTTGATGGGCATTGCCATTCAAATGGTGTGCATGCATGCACCATATCATGTGATCGATTAAGTGGGGCAGGGCTCACCCAGTATTTTATTTAAGTTGGCACCCCTGCCAGAATTTTGCATCTTGCTCTGGTTGGTGGACCTCAGGGTTCAAGAACATAAATCCCACTAGTCTAAGACCTGCCCATGTCTGCAAACTAGACCACAGCTACCAACCAGGAAGTTTCTAGAACAGTTGGTCTGCAAGTACTAAGAAAGGATGCTGTGATTACTAAGACCCAGCATGGGTTTCTCAAAAACAAGTCATGCCAGACAAATTTCATTTCTTTTTTGACAGTTACAAGCTTGGTGGAAGAATGCTGTGGACATAGTGTATCTTGATTTCAGGTTTTGTCCTGGGCCAGCTGTTATTTAGAAATCTGTTAAACGACTTGCACAAAGGAATTGAGAGGTTGTTCATTCAATTTGCAGATGACACCAAACAGGGATGGGTAGCTAATGCCACTGAAGACAAAATCTGGATTCAAGAAGACCTTAACAGATTGGAGAACAACAAAAAGAATTTCAGCTAGGACAAACATTAGGTTTTTCACTTAGGCAGGAAAAAACAGCTGTACAGATATAAGGTGGGGGCCACCTGGCTTGCTAATAGTACATGTGAAAAGGATCTGGAGGTCTTAGAAGACCACAAGGTGAACGTCAACAGTGTGATGCAGAGGCAAAAAAGAGCAAATGCTATTCTTGGCTGCATCAACAGATGTCTAGCATCCTGATCAAGGCAGGTAATAGCACTGCTCTGTTGTGCCTTGGTTGGACCCCACCTGGAATACTGTGTCCAATTCTGGGCACCACAATTTAAGAAGGACATTGACATTTGTAGAAGAGGGCAATCAAGATGACCAAGGGTCTGGAAAGTCTTATGAGGAAAAGAGGAGACAGATATGATAGATCTTTAGCTATTTGAAGAAGATAAAGCAAGCTTCTTTCATCTTGCTCTGGAGGGTAGGACTGGAACCAATGGCTTCAAGTTACAAGAAAGGAGTTTCCAACTAAACATACGAAAAAACTTTCTGACAGTAAGAGCCGTTTGACAGTGGAACAGTCTCCTTCAGAGGGTTGTGGACTCTCCTTCCTTGGAGACTTTTAAGCAGAGGCTGGTTGGCCATCCATCACAGATGCTTTAGGTGAGATCCCTGCATTGCAGGAGGTTGGACTAGATAATCATTGGGGCTGTGCAGAGAAAGAAGGTTGCTGGCTAGAAAACAGCACCAGAAAGGCCTTGGTTCAATTTTCTAGCTTTTGAGAGAGTTTTGCTGTACCAGATCCAACATACGTTTCCAATACTGTCTCTGGAAAGTCATATGCAGGTGATGCCCCCAGCAGATACACTGCAGTTGAACATGGAGGCTCTGTTTACGTATGGCTACTAATAGCCCCATATGAAGTCACCCTTCCACTACATTACCTCATTCTTCTTATAGGATTTCTTGCTCAGTCACAAACACTGAGTACCCTCAGTTAATGCCTCTGCTGCCTCAGTTTCCCTCTCTGTAAAAGAAGGCATTAAGGTAATTTTAACCTTTGGGGTTTGTTATTCAGGTGCAATGTATGGAAGTGAGAGCTGGACCATAAAGAAGGCTGATTGCCACAGAATTGATGCTTTTGAATTATGGTGCTGGAGGAGACTCTTGAGAGTCTCATGGACTGCAAGAAGATCAAACCTATCCATTCTTATGGAAATCAGCCCCGAGTGCTCACTGGAAGGACAGATTGTGAAGCTGAGGCTTCAAGACTTTGGCCACCTCATGAGAAGAGAAGACTCCCTGGAAAAGACCCTGATGTTGGGAAAGATGGAGGGCACAAGGAGAAGGGGACGACAGAGTATAAGATGGTTGGACAGTGTTCTCGAAGCTACCAGCATGAGTTTGACCAAACTGCAGGAGGCAGTGGAAGACAGGAGTGCCTGGCGTGCTCTGGTCCAGGGGGTCACGAAGAGTCGGACACAACTAAACAACAACAATTCAGGTGCAATGTGCTTTACACCAAAATGTGGTAAGCTAGCCCTGTGGCGTTGCTGGTGGGCTGCTCCTTCTGCTAAGTGGGGCACTGAGCATCTCCGCCTCTAAGTCCTACCTTGACGGCATCCCTCCTACCATTTGGCAGCCTAAACGGGACTCCGGAAGAAGACACTCTTTCTCAGAGATGCTAATCCTGCCTCCAACCTCTCTCCACACACCTCATCCCGCGACCCGGGCCCTTTTGTAGTCTTCCTAATGGTCCTCCCCCCTCCCCTTATGGCTGCCGGCGCCCTGGGCTTTCAGCTGTATCCAATTAAACCCCTCCCCGGCCCACTGCAAGCAATATCTGAGAGCCGCGCTTCCCCGCTCCTTCTGGGCCCGCTAAGCATGGAGGGCGAGCTTTTCGTGGACCGGCAGCTCCCGGAATTCTCCGTCCTGCAGGATCTGTTCAGCCCGCCCTGCCTGGAATCCGAGGCAAGCAGCAGCTCCGGAGGGTCCAATCCGGCGGGCGCTGAGCCAGAAGCTGCCGCTCCCAGAGGATCCAGGTTAGCTCCTCTTGACACCTGCTCGTGAGAACGGGGCGAATCCAGATCAGTTGCCCCTAAAGGAGGGAGGATCCGAAGCGTCCCCTTCTCCTAGATCGGAACCGGGGCACCGGTCCCTGACGGTAGGCAGGAGAATCCAATTTAACTTTAGGAGCCCACGGAGAACAAGCGAGGGCTGCAGTCTGCGGACGCTAAACTCCGTAGGGTTTACTTTCGAGTCAATGTCCATAAGATCGGAATGTGTGGGCTGATCTATACGTATGTCTTGCATGGGCGAAGTCATAGGGGTGCAGGGGAACAGCTGCACCCCCAAAGTCAAGTAAATAAATTTTATTAACTGACCAGTTGTCGCAGATAACTCGGTTCTACCCCCCAACATAAAGTTGCCTCCCTAAAATAAATCCTGGCAAAGCCCATGCTGCTAGGGAATAAATCCCCTTTATCGGAAGACTAAAAACTGCTTAGGATCGGCCTGCGAGACCGATTCTTCTCGCGCTTCCTCGAAAGCAAGCCCCCACCTGGGCGTGCCGATGCTTACTCCCAAGTAGCCGCGCGCTCAGGGGACCGGCTTCCAAGTCAGCAAGCATTGGATCCGGCCTTCGGCGCAGCTCCACGCGCCGGCGTCTGCTCCTTGATTCCGCTGCGGGTCAAACCGGCTAGCGGATCCGACCCGAACGCTGCTTCTCGCGTGCGGCCCGGGCTGCTCCTTTGCGCGCGCGCTGCCCGGGATCGCCAGCCCGCCAAGCGGCGCGAGCCTCCGCCCGGGCCGCCGCCATTGGGCGAGGACTCGGGCGTGGGAGGGGCGCCTGAGGGGAGAGGCAGCGGGAGGGCGGCTCCGGGGAGGTCAGTCGGGGGGGGAGAGGACGGGCGAAGCGGGACGAGGCGCCGCCTCGGCAGGGCTGGGGAGACAGGCGCCGGTCCTTGGCGCAGCCCCGGGAGGAGCGGCGGCGGCGGCGGAGGGTCGCCCCAGCTGGGCGGGGCAGGGCGCCGTGGGCCTCCGCCTGGGTCTTTCCCAGGGGCCAGCCCCCCAGGGCGCGGCCTCGCCTCGCCTCAAAACCCTGGGGAAAGGAGCGCGAGCGAACAGCTTCCACTGAAAGGACGAATCCCTTCCGCCTGAAGGGGAAACCGGCGCGGTGGCTTCGCCTTCTTCCCCAGGTGGTTGTGCTCCCAACTCAGCCGCCCAAATTACTCGAGGGATCCTCCTCAGAGTCGAGCTTCCTTCCTTCTCATGCCCGCCTTCTGCTGAAGTGATCCTGGGAGATACAATGAGGGCCGTCAAGGGTCGTCTAGTCCTGCCACTAGTGCAGGGCCGGATTGAGGTTTGACGAGGCCCTAGGCTACTGAAGGCAATGGGGCCCTTGATATGTCCAGCTCTCCTTTGTCAACAACAAATTGTCGCTGTTTTTTGGGTTGAATACATGGTAATTTATGGACCTAATAGGCGTTTGCACATAACAAACACAGAGTCGCTCCTCGTCCCGCCCCTTCAGCTAGTCTTGGAAGCGGGCATCTCCGAGCCCGGCTTTTTTAAGACCTTCATTTCTGTACCTCAGGAGTAACGAAAATCAATCCGTGGGTTCTCTCTCCTTATGCCACTCCGAGTCGGGATAACTTGGGGAAGCTCCTTGGTATCAGGAAGGTGCTCATTACAAGGAATTCCTGAACTTAAAAGCAACTGTTCGGAGTTAGTGTTAAGTCCAGGGCGCACAAGCCCAGGGCGCACAAAGGCAGGTGGTGTGTGGGGATCTGGCCAAGGGGGTCTAGAAGTATCTGACAGTTCGCAGGGAACGATCCGCTCTCGCTCTGAAAGTGTGATCCGCGCCCCTAACGGGGCTGGCCGATCAGGTCCCGAACGATGCCGCGCCGACCTGGGGCGCCCCCGGGCTGCTTTTGGCTTTTCTGCTCGCCGCAACAGCCCTCGGGTTCCATCTACTGGCTATCATTGGGAACCGTTAAAGAGCCCCGGGTGTTAACTGTGCGAACTTCGAGAAGGACACTGCTGCGAGTTAATCGGAGGCTTTGCTATTGCTGCAGCTCTCGAAAAAGCTGCGCTTGGTTTTGGCCACTAGCCCTTCCGTCCTGTCCTGGGGGGCTGAGGACAGAGCGGAGGGGGGCTTTTCTCTGGGTTCGTTCCCTTGTGGCCGCAACCCACCCAGAGCCGCCCCGTGGGAACACGAGCCGCGTGGATGTCGACATGTGCTCACGATCTTGCCTTTCAAAGAGTTCGGGGAGGGGGGGACGCGATCGCCAAGCTCGAAAGTGGCTCGCTCGGACGCCGGGCGGCTCTTCCCTCCCCCCCCCCCCAATTTTTAAAATTAGTTTTCACAATATTATAAACAAACAAACAGACACACACACAAGACAAACATAAATCATAGCCTTATTAAAAATCACACTTATTAACTTTGTTAAGTGACTTCCTGGCTTCCCCTTGGTTGAATTTCATTGCATGTCCTTTTAACGGTTTTCCAAATCCCAATTCTTACGAAATTTAACTTAAACATTAACATCCTTCGATCTTCACCTTATGGAATTAGACATATTCCCGGCTGACGCGCTGCCCTCTGCTTCTCCCTCCTCCGCAGGTGCGAGCCCCTCGGCGCCATGGCCTGCTGCCTCCAGCTCTCGGACCCCAGCGCGCTCAGCTTCCTGCAGGAGACCGCCCAGCGTCTCTCCCCGCCGGAGCCCATCGGCAGAAAGCCGGACAGGCCGGCGGGCCGGGACGCGCGCCCCCGGCGCAGCGCGTCTCCAGGCGCCGCTCTCGAGCCCTTGGATGCCCTGAGCCTCATCAGCCTGCACTGCGCCAGCCTCGGCGCGAAGCCCGCGGATCGGGGCGAGCGCGCAGAGCCCGGCGCGGCTGCCCGGAGAGACTCCCGGCGCCCTCGCCAAGGGGCTCCCCGCCCGGCGCCGGCGCGCAGTGGGCGCGGAGGCGCAGCGCGGGACGGACGCCTTCCCTGCGGCCGAGTCGCCGCGGGCCGGGAGGCGAGTCTCCCGCAAGCAGCCCCGACCCCAGCGGAGCTGCGAGGCCAGGGACGCCGCCTTCCAGGGGGTCACGTTTCGGATGCAGCTGAGCTTCTGCCGAAAGAGCTCCGGGGGTTGTCGGCTCCTCATTCGCCCGCGATACAGCAGGTACAGCCGCCACCTTGGGAAAGAGCAGGTTGCGTTTCTCTTCTGCTTGGCTGCAAACGCAAAGTCGGCATGAAATGTTTCATGGGATGCTTTGCTTTTTCCGCCTCGTCTTTAAGGGCCCCTTAGATCCCCAAGAGGGCATAGATGTACCTCCTGTAGTCTGCATTTTTGGCAGTTCCCAGGCCATTCAGTGGGGCTTCCTCCGGTCCGGAGCAAGTCTACAGGCAGACTTCTTGTGGTAAGGAGGAGGCCTAACGCTTCGCCTGATGGGGGGAGTACTTGCAGGATAGCCAGACCTAAATACAGGCAGCCTAATATGTTTGAAGTTAATGAGTGACTTCCAGCCGCATTCATACTCAAGAAGAGATCTAATGAAATCAATGAACTCCAGTCTTCTCTCAGTATGAATAACACTGGAGTCGAAAATGGATTTTTGTTAAATTAAAAAGCACCTAGTATAACAGCACTTTTGTATTTATTGGTTGGATTTCTGAAAGGCAAGGGCAGATTTCCCGCTCAGTTAACAACCGAGGTGAATCTTCTTGGCACATGATATGTTGGCTTCTCTTGTTATTGGTGCTTGCATGATGTAGTTTTACAAAGGACTTAAATGTATTTAGAAGTCTTTTTTTTAACAAAAAAACAGCATGGCGGGGATTGGCCAATTTGGATTGAAAGCATAGCATGGAAGGAAGAGGTGTTTTGCCCCTTAACATTATGAGAATAAAAGTTCAGAGCAGACAATTTCAACTAACAACTTATGTCTTCCTGACTGAAAATATATTGCCTCTTTCTTAGAACACTGGATAAAACAAATTCTATTCAACATGTTGGAAGGGTGATTAATGCTGCTGTATTTTCAACCACACCTGTGATGTAATTTTGACATGTTCATTTAACACACTATTATACCACTTTAAACAGCCATTGCTTCCCCACAAGGAATCTTGGGAACTGTAATTTGTTAAGGGTGCTGAGAGTTGTTCTCCTCCCTTCTCCTCACAAAACTACAATTTCCAGAGTGGTTTAATAATCAATCCCTCTGCCCAGGGAACTGTAGCTCTGTGAGTGGAATATCCCAATCTGGTGATAACAGAATGATGCAAGGAGTGAGCTGCAGCCCAGTATAGGAAAAGAGGTGGTAAGTGAACCCCTAGCTACTTTAAATGAATTCAGATCTCCAGGGACTGATGAGATGCACCCAAGGGTACTAAAGGAGCTTGCAGGTGTAATCTCAGAGCCTCTGTCTATAATCTTTGAGAATTCTTGGAGAACAGGTGAGGTCCCTGCAGACTGGAGGCGGGCAAATGTTGTCCCCACCTTCAAAAAGGGGAGAAAAGAAGACCCAGGTAACAACCGACCGGTGAGCTTGACATCAATACCAGAAAAGGTCCTAGAAAAATAATTCAGCAGTTAGTCTGTGAGCACTTAGAAAATGATGCTGTGGTTACTAAGACCCAGCATGGATTTCTCAAAAACAAATCATACCAGACAAGTCTGGTGTGTATGTATGTGTATATATAGATGTGTGTGTGTGTGTGTGTGTGTGTATATATATATATATATATGTTGTTGTTGTTTAGTCGTGTCTGACTCTTCGTGACCCCATGGACCAGAGCACGCCAGGCACTTCTGTCTTCCACTGCCTCCCGCAGTTTGGTCAGACTCATGTTTGTAGCTTCGGAGACATTATCCAACCATCTCGTCCTCTGTTGTCCCCTTCTCCTTGTGCCCTCCATCTTTCCCAACATCAGGGTCTTTTCCAGGGAGTCTTCTCTTCTCATGAGGTGGCCAAAGTATTGGAGCCTCAGCTTCACAATCTGTCCTTCCAGTGAGCACTCAGGGCTGATTTCCTTAAGAATGTGTGTGTGTATATATATATATATATATATATATATATATATATATATAATTACAAGCTGGATGGATCAGGGGAAATGTTGTGGGTGTAGTGTATCTTGATTTCAATAAGGCTTTTCACAAAGTCCCCCACGATACTCTTGCAGAGAAGCTGGCAGAATGTGGGCTGAATGAGGTTACTGTTAGGAGGATTTGTAGCTGGTTGACTGACTGAGCCCAAAGAGTACTCATTAATGGTTCCTCATCATCCTAGAAAAAGGGACAAGTGGGGTGCCACAGGGTTCTGTCCTGGGCGCAACATCTTTATAAAAAACTTGGATGAAGGAATTGAGGGGATGCTCATCCAATTTGCAAACACAGTGGGGATTCAAAATGACATTAACAGATTGGAGAACTTGGCCAAAACTAACAAAAATAATTTCAGTTAGAACAAATGTAAGGTTCTACACTTAGGAAGGAAGAACCAGCTGCACAAATATAAGATGGGGGACACCTGGTTTACCAAGTGTGAAAGGGATCTAGGGGTCTCAGTGGATCAAAAGCTTAGTATGAGTCAACAGTGTGATGCAGCAGCAAAAAAAGATAATGCCATTCTAGGCTGCATCAACAGAAGTATAGTGTTTAGATCAAGAGAAGTAATAGTCCATTCTGCCTTGGTCAGACCCCACCTGGAATACTGTGTCCAATTCTGGGCACCTCAATTTAAGAAGGATATTGACAAGCTGAAACGTGTGTAGAGGAGGGCAGTCACGATGATCAAGGGACTGAGATCTGATAGTCATCTTCAACTATCTTAAGGACTGTCACATGGAAGATGGAGAAAGGAGATTCCAAATCAACATCAGGAAGAACTTTCTGACAGTAAGAGCTGTTTGACAGTGGACTAGACTCCTTCATTGGACGTTTTAAACATCTGTAATGAATGCTTTAGTTGAGATTTGTCCATTACAGGAGGTAGGACTAAATTACTCTTGGGGTCCCTTCTAACACTATGATTCTGTGATTCTATGGGAAGGGTAGCTAATGCCACAGAATACAGAATCAGGCTTCAATGTGATTCTAACAGATTGGAGAACTGGGCCCAAACTAAAAAAATGAAATTCAACAGGGACAAATCTCAGGTTCTGCATTTAGGCAGGAAGAACCAGCTGCACAAATATAAGCTGAGGGACACCTGACTTGCTAGTAGTACATGTGAAAAGGATCTAGGGGTCTTTGTAGACCACAAACTGGATGTGAGCCAACAGTGTGATGCAGCAGCAAAAAAAGCTCATGCTATTCTGCATCAACAGAAGTCTAGTTTCCCAATCAAAGGAACTAATAGTACCACTCTATTCTGCCTTGGTCAGACCACACCTGTAATAGTGTGTCAAGTTTTGGGCACCTCAATTTAAGAAGGATATTGACAGGCTGGAACATGTGCAGATGAGGGCAACCAAGATGATCAAGGGTCTGGAAACCAAGCCTTATGAGGAACAGTTGAGGGAGCCATCTTCAAACAGCTGAAGGGGTGTCTGTCACATGAAAGATGGAGTAAGCATGTTTTTTGCTTTGGAGGGTAGGACCTGAACTAATGGATTCAATGGAAGGACTAAACATCAGGAAGAACTTTCTGATGGTAAGAGTTGTTTGACAGTGGAATGGGTGGACTCTCCTTTCTTGGAGGTTTTTGAGCACTGGTTGGACGGCCATCTGTCATGGATGCTTTAATTGACATTACTTCATTGCAGGGCATTGGTCTAGATGACCCTTGGGGTTCTTTCCAAATCCACAATATATGATTCTGTGAATAGGGGTACTCCAATAACTCTCAGCATCCTTTACAATTTTCTGGATTCTTTTGGGAGAAAAGAGGCAGTGCGGTGTAATGGTTTGAGTCTTGGGCTAGGACCTGGATTACCCCACAGGGTTGTTGTGAAGATAAAATGGGGGGGGGGATGCATGTACGTACATCACCTTGAGCTCCTTGGGGGAAAGTTGAAGTGCAAATGTAATATACAGTATACATATGCCATGATTATGGTATTTAAAGTGGTGTAATAGTGCTTTAAATGTATGGGGCAGAGGGGCCTTAACTCTGAAATATTTTCAGTCAGGGAAAGTAATTATAATTGTAGCTCCATTTCAGGGATGAGTTACATATAACTCTGGAAGCTGCCTATATGTACAACAGGCTTTAAATACCTGGGTTTGATTTTACTACTCCACAGGCTTTCATTTTCATTAATGTTTTCTTTTTAAGCATGTGTTGTATGGTATAAGTCTAGTAACCCTCGCTTATTTTGCTTCTGTCTGTAATGGAAGTGGATTAAGTGGCAAATGATGATTCTAGGAGATGTCACAGGTTTTAAATCCCTCACTCAGCAATAAATTATTTAGAATGATGTTTAGGTGTCCTTGAATGCATGACTCACCTCTCAGCCTCAGTTCCCCAATCATCAAAATGGGAATAAGGTGGCCTGTCCTGGAATGACTGAAGACACGTGAGATGAGGAAAAAAGGTTGTTGGTTCTCTTGAGTCTCAGGAATCACTGAAGAGTGCAAAACTAAGTCAATTAGTTTAGAAATTAGATTTCTGAAGCAGATCTAAAATGCTATACATCTAATCTGTGTTCAGTGGAAAACTTGGGAAAAGAAGCCGAACCCCTTTAGCGAGAGAAGAATGCAGAGCTGGCAGTTCCAAGGAGGAAGAAGGATGTCCCTCTACCCACAGTATGTCAATAATTTAGGCAATAAATACTTGTAGTATCAGCTGGCAATATTTGGGATACCAAGGACAAAAGAAAAGCTTGTTGTGATAATTTTTTCTCCAGGAGAAGTACAGAGTGGGGAGGGTCTTGTTCCACTTGCCAAGCATGTGGTTTTTCTGTAGCAAACCAATGAACGTTGTTGTTTCACCTATTGGTAAGGCTAGTTTTTAAAAAAACAAAAACAAGGGAGGGGGAGAGAAAGAGAGGAAGTAAATGGATGCCTCCCCTATTTCAATGTATGAAATTATTTTTTTAGAAAACCATCCATCCCAGAGTAGCTTCACGCCATTAGTGGTTTCTGTACCCACAAGTGTGAAAGGGAGGTTACCTCCCTAAATACTCAGTATGCCTTAACGGTGGGTTGTGCTGAACTAAGTGTAGCCATGTGCAACTTTTCTAAACACTGTGGGAAAGGCAAGTGAAGCTTGGCTGCTGTAACATCTGAGTCAGTTCTGACCTCTCAGTCTGATCACTACTCAGCTGATCAGAGTAACTTTTATTCACACTTTGAAATGCTGTTCTGGAATCTTTTGATGAAGTAATATTCCAAATAAGGTATGCCAGGCTGTTTGAAATTAATACGCATGAGGGAGGTGCTTTGAACATGCAATAAACATTAAGTATTGTTTATAATAAGATTTGTATTAATCCATTAAATACCATCCAGGGTTGTGGCTTATAAACTGCTATTTGACCCAGTTGCCCTTTGTCTTTAAGGGGATAAGTGCTGTGCTTCTTGCAAGACCAGGAAAACACCACTATGGAGAGATGCTGAAGATGGGACCCCCCTCTGTAATGCTTGTGGCATTAGGTACCTTATGACTGCTGAAATAGCGTGGCGTATTTCTTGTTGGTTTCCTTAAAAGGTATGCCCAGCATATCTTCTGGCAGTGCAAAAAGTTTAAAAGATAATACACAACAGCACTGAGTACAACTTGCCATGTAGCCTGAAAAGGCTCTTCTCTGTTATCTGAAGCCTGTGGTGAGATCAACAGATTTAGAAGCGATTGCAGCTCTCCTAGCGACAGCTAGAATTTGCATCGCTAAATACTGGAAGTCTGAAGCAATTCATTAGTTGAAAGATGGGCTGGAGAAGACACAGCAAGTGTTAACATGCATTCAAATGACATGCTAAATCACATAAGCCAGAAACCAACATGAGCATAAGTTCTTAGAGTGCTGGGTGCTGTTCATACGTTTTTGGAATGAAGGAGTTGTGGACAATATCTACCCTTACAGCTTATCCTCAGTGATCTGACTCCTAGATACTCTTTCTTATTCTTCCCCTTTAAACACCCCTTATTTGTGGCATCTGCTAGTATTATTTTAATATTTCAATAGGCTAAGATACTTACCTGTGTATGATGTCTAATGAATTCTGCCATTCTTCTCTCCATTTATTTTTGATTTTTCACTATATAGGCACCCCCCTCAAAAAAAGCGATGATGAGACAAAAGCGATGATCTGAACTGCATGGCAATATTAAAGCATTTATCTGAGCTTTTTTTTTTTAAAAAAGAATAAAGTTATACCCAACTTTTCACCACAAATTTTTAAAAGCTACAATGGTCAAAATTTTATGCATTGAAGAGTAACACATTAGAACAGTATGTATTGTGCAAGGGCACCCTGAAATAAAACAATTTAACCTGTTTGTTCCAGGCTTATTCATCTAAAAGGGTCTAACAGTTACCACTGTACAGAAACAAGCTGTAACAAATTAAGGTCGTCAAACCTTAACAAACAAACAAAGGTCGGCAAACAAAGGTCGGCAGTTCGAATCCCCGCGACGGGGTGAGCTCCCGTTGTTCAGTCCCAGCTCCTGCCCACCTAGCAGTTCGAAAGCACGTCAAGTGCAAGTAGATAAATAGGTACCGTTCCAGGCGGGAAGGTAAATGGCGTTTCTGTGCGCTGCTGTGGTTCGCCAGAAGCAGCTTAGTCATGCTGGCCACATGATCCGGAAGCTGTCTGCGGACAAACGCTGGCTCCCTTGGCCTATAGAGCAAGATGAGCGCACAACCCCAGAGTCATCCGTGACTGGATCTGGGGTCCCTTTACCTTTATAGTATATAACAGGCCACAGCACTTGAGGCCATTGCAGTCTGTGTGCCACGCTCAGTGAAGCCCCAACACTATGCTGATTGACCCTTATCATATGCCACCATCACCTTTCATTCCTATATCCTGGCATCTGGGATCCTAAGCCTGATGTTTCACCTGACACCCCTCTGAAAGATGATGCATCTCCGCTTTCATGCCATTTGGAATTAACTGGGAGATTAAGTTGCGCCGGGGGGGGGGGGGGAGAAGGTTACTACAGTCAGACCTAAATGAATGGAATGACCTGCCACATGACTTAATCAACTCTGTTTTTGACCTTCAGGTACAAAAAGTACAGAATCCGGTGTTTTCAGTGCTGGAATATTCCAAAGCATGGTGGGAATCCCTTTTCTCATTGTTCCAGTTGTGGACGCAGGCTGCATTTAGTTGCTGCCCAGGAGAAATCTCGGAAAAGGTAAAGGGGCAGGTGGCGGGAGCAGCAGCTTCTAAAACACACCAGCCCTTCACCGGCAGGAAGAAAACACAGCTGCTGCCAACCTAAGGGCTCTCTTTTCTTTCCATTTCTAGATGTGGAAGCTTTCTAAGGGTTTGCAGTTAGCTGGATATCAAAACAGCTCTTGGGAAATCTGGCTGACTTGTCGGAAGGGTCTGGCTGAACAGCCTGGTAGATTGGTCATTAGGAGGTTCAGTGGATGAAGGGCTCTTCTTTGTTTGTCTTTGTCTTTTGTTTGTACGCTGCTTTTGTTTTTGAAGTCAGTGCTATGTGTCGTATGTTGGGTGTTTGTTTGCAGTGTGTGGGAGGAGGCAGGAAAGAAGGGGATGTTTTTTGCAAGGGAAAAAGTGTTTGTTTCCATTAACTTCCATAAGCAATTGGGGCTACATGCTGGAACAGAATGCAACGTTCCCATTGTGGATGGACACATTGAAATTGCTTTCAGGCAGTGATTCCCACCCAACCTTTTAGCACTTTGGGTTGCTGCCTTCTTGTTAATAGTTCTTTGTAGTGATGGACTGGAAAGTACAAAGAAACATTTCCACAAACTACAAACTTTGGGAACTGCAGTCATTGAGCAGTTGTGGTGGGGGAGGGAGTTTGTTTAAAAGACATGAAGCTCTTTCGTGAATTCCTGATGATTTTCTATTGCACTAAAAATGGCAAGTGTAAATATATAATATTTATGATACAAAATATTTATATACTTGATTCAAATATTTTTTTGGGATGCTGATGAATATCCTTTGTTAGTGCAACATGCAGCATTGCTGAATGTGTCTCAGAAAGTGTGTCCAACCAGGATTGTGCCATGGGGCACTTTTCTTTTCAAAGTGGTATTTATTTTTGTAAATAGTGTTTATATTTGAAGTATTTGTTTTCTGTATTCTCCCTTACATAGCACAGCCAAAAGAAAATGAAAATAAAAAATGTTGTGAAATTGAAAGCAATTAATCTGATTTTCCTGTAATTTTCTGCTTACTATCCCAAGTCAAGGTTTTGTTCAAGAGTACTGAGCTTCTTGATGGTTATTTTGCTGGTTATAAGCTGGTTACAAGCTTCTGCAATAAATATTATTTATTGTAACCAAGTGTAGGAAAGTCTTTTAATTCCTAATTTTTCAAGTCAAACTTGGAATAAAGCTTTGAGGGGCAGGGAAGCAGGGAAGGTAGCCTGAGAAAGACACAATTGAATTTAGGTGTGGTTAGGCAATTACTGTACTACTTTGTAGTCCTTATTATAACAGCAGAGGAAACCTACAAAATAGGAGCTCATGATGTACTTAGGATTTTGATGGTGGCTAGCTGTTTTCTAAGCAGAGACCTTGGCCTCTAGTAAAACGGTAGAAAATTCCACAAGAGACCTTGGGAAACGATCTGGACCCAACAAGCCTTACAGGGGCAAACCCCTGAAACTGATCCATGCTACTCCTCCCCACCCCCGCAAGTGCCCTAAAGGTCCAACTGAATTGGATAACAAGCTGCCTCTGACAACAGAGCTATCATTAATTCCCTTCTCTTTCCACCTCCCTACCCCAGTACAGAAAGCCAGATCCAGTACACTGGCACCTCAGGTTAAATACTTAATTCGTTCTGGAGGTCTGTACTTAACCTGAAACTGTTCTTAACCTGAAGCACCACCATTAGCTAATGGGGCCTCCTGCTGCTGCTGCGCTGCGGGAGCACGATTTCTGTTCTCAACCTGAAGCAAAGTTCTTAACCTGAAGCACTATTTCTGGGTTAGCGGAGTCTGTAACCTGAAGCGTATGTAACCCGAGGTACCACTGTATGTGTCCTGCCAGATGCATTTTGTCCTGATGTAGTTTGACAGAGAACCATGGTTGTCATAGCAGAGATAAGAAGCCAAGCTGCCACAGACAAGACTAACTTGGCAGAAAACTCACTCCGAATCTGACCGGACACAGGTTAGAGCTCAACGTCGAGCCTACCAAGTGGCGATAGCGACGGCGAAGAAGACTTTCTTCACCGCCTCTATTGCATCTGCAGAAAATAGTAGCAGGAGACTCTTTCAGGTGGTCCGCAATTTAACCGAACCACCTTTACCACCGGGGCCTTGTAAAGACCCCAAGATCTCCTGCAACGATTTTGCAAAGTTTTTTGCAGATAAAATCACTCATATTCGGAAGGAGTTAGACACCACCGTGGGAGCAGGGCTGGGGCGGGAGAGTGGTAGAGCCCTGTCTGGTCAAGTTGCATGGAATCAATTTCAATCCGTTACCCCCAAGGATGTGGACAGGCTGCTTGGATGTGTGAAACCAACCACCTGTCTCCTTGATCCTTGCCCATCCTGGCTAATAAAAGTAAGCCAGGAAGGGCTGGGCGATGGGCTCTGCGGGGTGGTGAATGCTTCCCTCTGTGAGGGAACATTCCCAGATCCGCTGAAAGAGGCGGTCATTAAACCGCTTCTTAAAAAAACATCTTTAGACCCGGCCAGTATGGCCAACTATCGCCCAGTCTCAAATCTTCCATTCTTGGGCAAGGTGACTGAGCGCGTGGTTGCTGAACAACTCCAGGCACGCCTGGAGGATGCGGACCATTTGGATCCCTTCCAATCGGGATTCAGGCCTCATCATGGGACTGAAACTGCCTTGGTCGCGCTGGTTGATGATCTCCGGCGAGCTAGGGACAAAGGTGAGAGTTGTTTCCTAGTTCTGCTGGATCTCTCAGCGGCCTTTGATACAATCAACCATAACATCCTTCTGGATCGTCTAGAGGGGCTGGGAGCTGGGGGCACTGTTATACAGTGGTTTCGCTGCTTCCTCCTGGGCCGTGTTCAGAACGTGGTGGTGGGGGATGAGTGTTCAGACCCCTGGGCCCTCACTTGTGGGGTGCCTCAGGGTTCCGTCCTCTCCCCCATGCTTTTTAACATCTATATGAAGCCGCTGGGAGAGATCATCAGGGGGTTTGGACTGGGTGTCCATCAATATACAGATGATACCCAGCTCTACCTCAATCCCTTCCCCAGCAATCCATAAAATGGAATTTGCCTTTTTCGTGGCTGCCAGACACTTGGTCACTGTCTTTGAGCTACATCAAGATGAACATGTTGAATACCGTATCTTCCAGTTGTTCCAATTGTTCATCAGTATGCGGATGATACCCAGCTCTACCTCTCTTTCAAATCAGAACCAGTGAAGGTGTAAAGGTCCTGCGTGAGTGTCAGGAAGCAGTTGGAGGATGGATGGCAGCTAACAGATTGAGATTGAATCCTGACAAGACAGAAGTACTGTTTTTGGGGGACAGGGGGCGGGCTGGTGTGGAGGACTCCCTGGTCCTGAATAGGGTAACTGTGGCCCTGAAGGACCAGGTGCGCAGCCTGGGAGTCATTTTGGAATCACAGCTGTCCATGGAGGCGCAGGTCAATTCTGTATCCAGGGCAGCTGTCTACCAACTCCACCTGGTACGCAGGCTGAGACCCTACCTGCCCGCGGACTGTCTCGCCAGAGTTGTGCATGCTCTAGTTATCTCCCGCTTGGACTACTGCAATGCGCTCTACGTGGGGCTACCTTTGAAGGTGACTCGGAAACTACAACTAATCCAGAATGCGGCAGCTAGACTGGTGACTGGGGGCGGCCGCCGAGACCACATAACACCGGTCTTGAAAGACCTACATTGGCTCCCAGTACGTTTCCGAGCACAATTCAAAGTGCTGGTGTTGACCTTTAAAGCCCTAAATGGCCTCGGCCCAGTATACCTGAAGGAGCGTCTCCACCTCCATCGTTCTGCCCGGACGCTGAGGTCCAGCACCGAGGGCCTTCTGGTGGTTCCCTCATTGCGAGAAGCAAAGCTACAGGGAACCAGGCAGAGGGCCTTCTCAGTAGTGGCGCCCGCCCTGTGGAACGCCCTCCCATCAGATGTCAAAGCAATAAACAACTACCTGACATTCAGAAGACATCTTCAGGGAAGTTTTTAATGTGTGATATTTTAGTGTATTTTTGGTTTCTATGGAAGCCGCCCAGAGTGGCTGGGGAAACCCAGCCAGATGGGTGGGGTACAAATAATAAGTTGTTGTTATTATTATTATTATTATTATTATTAGTGAGGATGTACAAGTTACCCCATACAGTGGTATCTCGGGTTAAGAACTTAATTCGTTCCGGAGGTCCGTTCTTAACCTGAAACTGTTCTTAACCTGAGGTACCACTTTAGCCAATGGGGCCTCCCACTGCTGCCGCCGCGCGGTTTCTGTTCTCATCCTGAAGCAAAGTTCTTAACCCGAAGTACTATTTCTGGGTTAGTGGAGTCTGTAACCTGAAGCGTCTGTAACCCGAGGTACCACTGTACCAAAAGCCTTTTAAGGTCTTCAGTGCCACATCTGAGGCATGGATTAATATTTTTGCCCATTGATTCATATATATATAGCTTCCAACCCTTTGATAAATGCTATCCCAAAGTGCATAATTTCCATAGTTCTCTTCATAAATGCCCAAGAAGCATTGTCAAATGCTTTTTCAGTATCCAGAAATATTAAGATAGCCTCTTTTTCATTCCTCTTTTCTAAGAGTTTGATAATATTCAATACATTTTGAGTGTTATTTCTTAATTGTTTTGTCGGTAAGCAGCCTATCTGCTCTTCTTGTATATAAATTTTAAAAATCATTCTCTGTTCAATCCAGTTTGTCCTTATCTCCTGCCTCTTTCATTCAAAGTTTCCTGGGAATTTCCTCTGTGGCCCCCTTCTTTGCTGCCATCACTATCTGTTTTAATTGGTTTTCTTCTACACCTTTATTGTTACTGTTTTTTTGGGTTTTATTCAGAGATCCTTTCTTCCACCTCGCTTTGACCTGCAGCTGTTTTCTTCACTCTGCTGTACACCTACTATAATCACGCTCAAGGGTATTTGGATATTCCTTAGATCTGCTGGCATTATAATACCTTCTCCCCCCCCCCTTTTCCCCCTTGCCATGTTCGCACTTTACAGTCTGTTCTTCCTTCGCTTGTTTTTTCAAGTTCCACCACTCACATTATTGTTGTCGTTCTTGTTCTTGTTATTTATTAATTTGTGTACTGCCCTTCTTCTGTAGATCTAAGGGTTGTTTGCAACATAAAAATACAAGATAAAAACCACACACAATACGTAATAAAAACAAGGACAAAAACAAACCAATAATTGCTCCCCCAAACACATTTAAAAGGGTGCATCACACTGTTGACTCTTGTTAAGCTTGTGGTCTACTAAGACCCCAAAATCATTTTCACAGGTACTGCCAATAAGCCAGGTGTTCCCCATCTTATATTTGTGCAGCTGGTTCTTCTTTCCTAAGTGTAGAACCTTTTAGCCTTGTTGGAGTTCAGCATGGGCTCTTAAATTTATCTCCTTGAAATCTATGGAAGTAAGAAATGCTTAACTTTGGCTGATGTCAGTTTTTTTGTTGTACAATGGATGTGAAAGAGTGAGTTAGTGTCTGTGAGGTACAGTGGAACCTCGGTTTTCGAGTGTCTCGGAAGCTGAACGTTTCAGTTTTCGAATGCCGAAAACCCGGAAGTAAATGCTTCCGTTTTTGAACACACCTCAGAAGTTGAACAGCTTCTGCTGCGTGTTTTTCAATTTTCTTAATTGAACCTGCAGCCAGCCCTTTGCACCTCAGTTTTTGAACATTTCAGAAGTCGAACAGTCTTCCAGAATGGATTACGTTCGAAAACCGAGGTACCACTATATTTAGTTTAGGCTGGGATAGTCAACATGGTGCCTTCAAAACTCCCATTAGACCCAACCAGCACAGCCAATGCTCAGGGATGATGGGAGCTGGATTTCAACAACGTCTGGAGGGGACCACCTTAGCTATTCCTAGTTCAGGGGAATTTAGATTATTGTTGTCTGCTGCCTTCTATGAAACTGCTTTATATTAAGTCCGACTATTAGCCCACAATGCTCACTAATTATATTCA